CAACCTCTCCTACTTGGTCCAAAATCTCAAACGGTCCAATAAATCGTGGCAACAACTTGCCACTTTTTCCGAATCTCATCAATCCCTTTCGTGGAGAAACCCGTAGAAAAACGTGGTCTCCCACCTCAAAGGATAACGGTCGTCTCCGCTTATCCGCATAGCTCTTCTGTCGGCTCTGATCTGTAAGTAACCTCTGTCTTATCAACTTAATCTTCTCAGTAGTCTCGAGTACAATGTTGGGTCCTAAAGCGGCTGTCTCGCCTACCTCAGTCCAATAAATAGGAGACCTACAAGGTCTACCATACAACGCCTCAAATGGAGCCATCTGGATGCTCGCCTGATAACTGTTGTTGTAGGTAAAATCAATAAGTGGAAGGTGATCCTCCCAACTACCTCCCAAATTAAGTACACATGCCCGAAGCATATCCTCCAAAATCTGGATAGTACGCTCTGACTGACTATCTGTCTGTGGATGAAATGCCGTACTAAGATGCAACGCTGAACCAAACGCTGCTTGAAGTCCTTCCCAGAACTTCAAAGTGAACTTAGCATCCCTATCTGAGACAATGGTTACAGGAACTCCATGCAACCTTACAATCTCCTTCACATAAAGAACACCAAGCTTCTCTGCATCATCTGTTGCCTTAATAGGCAAAAAGTGAGCCGTCTTGGTCAATCTGTCAATGATGACCCATACGGCCTCATTGCCCCTTCTTGACCTTGGAAAACTTGTCACAAAATCCATAGCGATATGCTCCCATTTCCATTGCGCTACAGGTAATGGTTGCAACAAACCTGCTGGCCTCTGATGCTCGGCCTTCACCTGCTGACAGGTAAGGCATCTAGCCATAAACTGTGCAACATCATTCTTCATTCCGCTCCACCAATACTGACGTCTTAAATTGTGATACATTTTAGTACCACCTGGATGAACTGCAAAGCGAGAAGTGTGAAACTCCCGTAGGACGTCCTCACGACAACATGTGGGAACCACCAACAAACCCCTGAACCGTAGTCCCCCATCTGCATGCAAGGCCCAATCTTTCACTGTCTCACCACTAGAGATCAAAGCGTGGATGGCATCTAAGTCCGGGTCCTGTCTTTGTGACTCTATCACTCGTACAACAAGAGTAGGCTGAGCCACAAGACTAAATAAGAATGCCGACTCACTACAACCATCATCATCACAACACTGTAATCCCATCTCTGCCAGATCTTCAAGTATCTTCCACTTCCGAATAGCTAAGCTAGCCAAAGTTCCACGAGATTTTCGGCTTAAGGCATTAGCTACAACATTTGCCTTGCCCGGATGATACTGCAAATCAAAGTTGTTATCTTTCAAGTACTCAACCCATCGTCTCTGTCTGTTGTTCAAGTCCTTTTGGGAAAAAAGGTACTTGAGACTTTTGTGATCTGAAAATACCTCGAATCTCTCACCATACAAGTAGTGTCTCCAACACTTTAAGGCAAACACAACTGCCGCTAACTCCAGATCATGAGTAGGGTAGTTAAGCTCGTGAGTCTTCAACTGTCGAGACCCATAAGCCACTACTCTACCATCCTGCATCAACACACATCCCAACCCGTCACGTGAAGCATCACAATAGATCACATAACCCAAGCCATGCTCAGGTATCACCAACACTGGCGCTGTAGTCAATCTCGTCTTCAACTCCTGAAAAGATGAATCACAGGCCTCATTCCAGACAAACTTGACCCCTTTTCCGGGTCAAACGGGTCATAGGAGCTGCCAAACGGGAGAATTCCTTCACAAATCTCCGATAGTAACCCGCTAAACCAAGGAAACTGCGGATCTCAAACACATTCTTGGGTCGCTCCCAAGTCAAACCTGCTTCAACCTTTGATGGATCAACTGATACTCCACCTTCTGAAACAACATGCCCCAAAAACTTCACCTCCTGTAGCCAAAACTCACATTTCTCGTATTTGGCATTCAATCGGTGTTCCCGCAAAATCTGTAAAACAATACTCAAATGGACCTCGTGATCTTCCCGAGTCCGTGAGTACACAAGAATGTCATCCACGAAAACTACCACAAACTGGTCCAAGTAATCGTGAAAGACGCGGTTCATCAAGTCCATGAATGCCGCTGGCGCATTAGTCAAGCCAAAAGGCATAACAAGGAACTCATAGTGTCCATATCGTGTACAGAATGCTGTCTTCGGGATATCCTCATCCCTAACCCGCAACTGATAATAGCCAGACCTCAAGTCAATCTTCGAGAAACAACTGGCTCCCCTCAACTGATCAAATAAATCATCTATCCTTGGCAAAGGATACTTGTTCTTGATGGTGGCATGATTCAACTTCCGGTAATCAATGCACAACCTCAAAGATCCAACTTTATTCTTAGCAAATAAGACAGGTGCGCCCCACGGTGACACACTCGGTCGGATGAAACCTTTTATCCTCAAATCATCAAGCTGCCTCTTCAATTCTTCCAATTCAACTGGGGCCATTCGATATGGTTCCATAGAAATCGGCGCGGTACCTGGCATCAAATCAATAGAGAACTCCACTCCTCGGTGTGGAGGCAACTCTGTCAAATCTTCTGGAAAAACATCCAAAAAGCCACAAACAATCGCCGGATAAACTTCTCCCACAACATCATCTTCTTCGGCTAGAAGACTAGCTAAGAAATAATCACCATGACTTCATCCATGAACTCCATCAAACAATGAAATGTGGGAATCACTCCAATCTCCCACGAAAAAGAAACAGTCTCCCTCGGGAGTGCAAACTGTAACCCTTCCTCTGTAACAGTCGATCGTGGCATGAAATGAAGCCAACCAATCCATCCCGAGAATGACATCAAAGCTAGTCATCTCCAGGAGGACAAGGTCAAACACAAAGGTCCGCCTAGCTATCACAATGGAGCAATCCCGCACAACTCGGCTCAATGACACTGAAACCCCAACTGGCGTATCAACACATAACGCCCGATCCATGAAACTAACCTCTAACCCCGATGCAAGTGCAAATGATGATGAAATGAAAGAATGAGATGCACCAGAGTCAAACAAAACACGGGCCCAACAACCAAACACTGGGAATATACCTCGAAGAACTGACGGTCCAGAAGATGCATCAGTCTGTGCAAGTGCAAAAACACGTCCCTGTGGTACCTGTGCCTGAGGACTGCCAACCTGAACACCTGACTGCTGCACTGACATAGTAAGAGTATCCCTCTTAACTGATCGTGAACCCTGTGAAGACATAGTAGGCTGTGGTGGTGGTGGTCTGAAACCTGACTGAACTGTAGCCGATTGTGACGGCCTCTGCTGTGACCCCCTGCCACTACCTGTGCCTGCTCCCTGGCCTGGACAATCACGAATCAAGTGACCCTGCTGGCCACACCCATAACAAGCCTTCGGAGCTGACGAAACTGAAGACGATCTCATCGGACAACTGGATTTGTAATGTCCGGGCTGCTGACACTAATAACAAACAACTGCACTCCTGTCAGGTCCAGCTGGCATAGGAGTGGTAGGAGCGGATCGTGCAGTCTGCTGCCCCTGAAACTGAGATGGACTGCCCCTGTTCCTTTTCCAAGAAGATCCCTCTGAGGATGGCCCTACACCCCTCTTTTGCTTCAACTGTTCTCTTCTTGCATCCTTCTCTTTATTATCAGCCTCCAGCATCAAAGCCCTTTCCACTGCTTCAGAGTAAACCTTAATAAACTGTGCCGTGATCAACGGCCTCATTCGATCATTAAGACCTGAGACAAACTTCCGAGTCTTGTTAGCTTCATCTTTCACCATTTCTGGAGCAAAACGGGAAAGTGAGATGAACCTGTTCTCGTATTCTGCCACTGACATGCTCCCTTGAATAAGGTTATGAAACTGGTCTTGTAACTCCCATCTTTTGGAAAGCGGAAAATACTTCTCATAAAACAGCTCCTTGAACCTGTCCCAACTCATCTCTTCAATCTTGTACTGGTTGGTGATCGACTTCCACCAAACCTTGGCATCCATAGCAAACTTGTAAGTTGCTAGGATGATCTTCAAGTGATCCTCTGTCACATCCATTGAGGTTAACTGAGTTTCAACTTGATCCATGTAGTTATCGGCTACTATTGGATCCGCACCGCCCTCAAACATAACCGGCATCAGCTGAGAAAACCCCTTAATGATCTTGAGACGCTTCTGAGCTGGAGTCTCCTCAACTCGAACTGTAGGTTGTGGTACCAACTGCGGCTGAGCAACAATAGTTGCTCTCACGGCATTTTGCAACAATCGATTCAACTCTAGTACCACAGAACCTTCACCCACTTCTACGGGTACGGGTGTTTCAACATTCTCTCTTCTTGGGGGAACAGCTCTTGGGGGAATCAAGTCCCTAAGAAGCATGTTCTCATCAACTAGCTCCGCCGGATTGGAGCTAGAGCTCTCACCAACATCAACCTTTGTTGGCCTAGGGCCAACTTCTCTAGGTTACTCACGCCGTGACATCGTGCTTTAAAATGAGAAAACGATTCAGAAACATGACACTAAGGTCCACTGTGGACGACTCAACAAGAATTAATACCGTATAACACTTAGCATGCAAGACTATGCAAGAAACATTTTAACATAAACAAGTAAGCAAGTAAGCACATAGGCAGTTAAGCATGCTCATTTAAATAAGATACCACGTAGCAAGTAGTCAAGTAAGCAACACAAACAACATTCCATGCGACTCTATGTAGGCCTCTACCCGTCGTCCTAAAGGTTTTCGAACCTTTGCTCTGATACCAAATTTTGTAACGACCCTAGCTGATGCCAAGAATTTTACAAAAAATTCGGCATAACCTCCCCTAAAAATGGACCTACCGCAACCTGTTTAAATTCATTTTTTTTAACCTATCATGGCTCAAATTCCGAATTCACGGTAATAAAAGATGATGATACACAATCAAATGATCTCAATAATACTTCAAACTAGTATTACTCTCCCCATTCATCAATAAGGTTTACATGTTAACAAATTCACATCCAAAATATCATCAAATACCTTAATTACATTACATGACAAAGTTTTTGCAAAATATACATATACACCTTCACACTTTTAGTGCTTTGCAAAAATAATGGGAGATATACAAAAGACACAAAAGTGAGCTTCTAGTATCGCTCAAGCTTGAGGTGGGTTGTCGTTCACCGGTTCTTTTCCAAGACCTGAAAAAAAATGTATAAATAGTAGGGTGAGCTATATGCTCAGTAGGTGACACTTAAGACACAAATCTTGTGTCCTTGTGAATTCAAGCAAAGCATAGGCCAATGGGAGATAGGGATCATACAACGTAGGGGATCAAATATAACATACAATTCAATTCAATTCCAATTATAAACAATGCAATGCAATGCAATGAAATGCAATGCATGTCAATGACACTCCCCATTTTCATTCTCAAAACCATCACTTTCAAACGTTAATACAGCCCGCCCTTTGGTAACCCCGCCGCGACACGAAAGGAGAATTGGCTAGTGTCCCTGACCCTTGGTAACCCCGCGGCGTCATTGTGGGGCCCAACTAGCTCAACCACGCTAGGGCGACTCCCTAGTCCCCTCTAGGCTATATTAACCTCCAGCTCGTTGGTAACCCCGCAGCGACCAGGTTTCGCATAAAACCATTTTATCAAAAACACTTCCCTGAAATTCCCCATATTTATTTCAAGAACAATTTCTCCCATTTCATGCAAACCCAATGGTATGTGCATGTATATATGTTCCATACATTCAATGTCATGGCATTTAAATTTTTCATCATAAAATTAAACATTCAACATGTTCAACATCTCCCAAATAATTATTAACACATTAAGATACAACAAAATGCATTTAAGCATGTGCATGTATATATATATATGAGCTCAACATCATGAATTGGGAAATTTGGCGCAATTTAAATAAGCATACTCTCATACATCAATTTCAGCATGCTAGCACATAGTAAACATAGAAAATCAACAACTAAATATAATTTGCACATGAACCAACCATATTCAAGATCGTGAAAAACCCTCTAGACATCATTAATACCATCATAGATATAATTAACTCTAAATTAAGCATATTTAATACAACATGGAGGTAAAATTCACAATAGAACAAGATTAGAGTGGATTAAGATGCCCCTACCTCAAAAATGAGCAAACCCTAGAAAATGGGTCCTAAATTTTCGAGTTCCAAAGAAGGCTCAAAACTGGAAATTGCTTGCATCAACGCGTAGAACTCGTCACACTCGTCGTTTTGCCTCAAACGGCACCTAAATCCGGCAAGAGATGATGAATTAATCAAAGATTCAAATTGCAAAGGAAAAAGAAAAAGAAAAAGGCAGAGAGATAAAGCACTGGCCGAGAGAGAGGATTCAGCGGGGAGAGAGAATGAGCATAAAAAAAAAGTCTCTAAACCATATGTTTGAGTGGGTGGTGGGTCCCGCTGATTTTCTTTTCTTCTCCCTTTTCTTTTTGTTTCAAAATACTCCACGTATAAACAAAATGCACCACATACATATATAAGACACAAACATTACAGAATATATATATATATATATATATATATATATATATATATATATATATATACCCTTAGGCTGCCTACTTAACCCTCATTTGAAGAGAGGAGAAGAGGAGAAGACTAGGTACTCTGCTAGTCAACTTGGTCTCTTTGATTTTTTCTTTGGTGTGGCACTGTCAGTTTTTAATATCTTCTAAACCTCGATATGCAAGTCAAGGTCGTCTCAATGCTAACAAAATAGACTGAAGGCAAGTGGAGCATGGAGAGGAGCCTTCTTAAGGTCCACATTAATAAAAGCATGAATTGATGTGTATCTACCCAAATATGTTTATAAGGTGAGCCTCCTTAATTTCTCTGGCTACCAAAGAATCTAAGGAGATCTAGCAATGAAGGTTTCATTTGTGTTTTTTGCTTGTTTAGAGCTTGCACTGCTGGTTCTAGGACAAGATCAATCAGGTCTCTCACTCCCTTTCTCTATTGTGCTTCTTTATTGTTGTTATTTCTGCCTTATTATTAAACTGCTCCGAGTATTTGAGGTCAGCATACTTGAGAAGAATGTTTTTGAACTTGTTTACTGATCAGCTTAGGCTGAATTCAGATAGCTTAGTACAAAATCCAGCTAGAAAATTTAGAAATTCCTAGAATGTTAACCAATAATCCAAATTAAGGCCAGCAATTAATTAAATTCCGTAAAAATGAAAATAACAATTTAGACTTCAGTATCAATTTTTGTTAACTACTCTGTGTAGCTAAAAGGCAAATTCAGAATACGAGGCTCCCTTTATTGCAAGGTCTGGTGAGGATGGGCTTTGGCACAATAATAAGATTGCTCCATTGTGACCTGGTGGAGGTCAGCCCTCTCCGAACCGTGTACTGGGTTAGCCCTTTTTTATTCCGTTAGCTAAAGCAAGAGTAATACATATCTAACAAAAGCTTTAGTCCAAGTGGTATCTCCTCCTCCATTTTTTTTTTTTTTTTTTTAAAGGTTGAGAATTTGAGTTCTCACTGAACAAATGGATGCATTTTCCACAAACCATATAGCTAATCTCTCTTTCTATTCCTCAGGATTCATAAGCATAGATTGTGGGATACCTGAAGGTTCCAACTATACTGATGCGACAACAGGCATGTATTACAGCTCAGATGAAAGTTTCACAGACAGTGGTTCTGGCAAGACAATATCCACCGATTATATGACTAATTCACTTGAAAAACAGCTCCAGAATGTTAGAAGCTTTCCCGAAGGAATTAGAAACTGTTACACTCTTACACCTGAACAAGGAAGAGGTAATAAGTATTTGATAAGAGCAAGTTTTCTGTATGGAAATTATGATGCCAAAAGCGAACCACCACAATTCCATCTGTACATTGGAGCTGATTTCTGGGACACAGTAACACTCGAAGATCAAACAACTGTTGTTCGTAAAGAGATCATACATGTCCTCCTTACAGATTATACATATATCTGTCTTGTAAACAATGGCCTTGGAACGCCTTTCATCTCAGTATTAGAGTTAAGGCCTCTCAATAATTCTATGTATGAAACTAAATCTGGATCGTTGAAATTTTATGGGCGTTATGATTTGGGACCAACATCCAATGGATTAGTCAGGTACATACACCATTTCATGGTAGGAACTAGGTGGTTTCTTTCTTTATTTTCTTTATTTTTTTAAGACTAAATATATATCTGATCACTTGCTATGATACTTTACATTTCACTTAGGTACAAAGATGATGTTTATGATCGGATATGGTATCCCATTGACTTCAATTTCCGTAACACATTAAGTACCTTGTCTGAGGTTTACTCCCAGAATTCCATATACAAAACACCATCTAAAGTTTTGAGCACCGCCATCACGTCAGACTCTAACGATTCCATGTCCTTCTCGTGGCCTAACAATTCCACCTACGAATTTTATATTTACTTGTACTTTGCTGAAATTGAACTGCTGAAAGGAAACCAGTCCAGAGAATTCTACATATATTTGAATGGGGACCTATGGTTTGATGAACCTGTTGTTCCCCTTTACTTATCCTCCGATATCATATACAGCACTTCTTCTGTGAGTTATCCAAAGTTTGATTTCTCATTCAACAAGACCAGTAAATCAACCCATCCACCCATCCTCAATGCCATGGAGCTTTATACTGTAAAACAGTTCTCAAACATTCACACAGATGACAGAGATGGTATGTATTTACCAACACTAATGATTTTTCAGTTTCATTGTAATGTCTTCTTATTATTCTTCATGTTCTCTCACATATATATATATATTGGTAACATTAGCTGCTGCGATTATAAGCATCAAGTCGATGTATGGGGTGTCAAAGAACTGGCAAGGAGATCCATGTGCCCCTGAAGATTACATTTGGTTCGGCCTCAACTGCAGCTACGTTGGCATCAAACCCCCTAGGATCATATCCTTGTACGTTTAATCATACCTTAATCAAATAATTAATTCTACTTTTCATTATTGAAACTCATCTCTCGAAAAACTTACCAACTTGGAATCAGGAACTTGTCCGCGAGTAATTTGACAGGAGAGGTAGCTCCTTACATATCCGATCTCACACTGATACAATCCTTGTAAGTATGTCAGTCTCACAAGGAAAGAATATTTAACATGTCAACTTGTTAACCATGCCAATAAAATTCAATCTGATCATGATCGGTGATAATCCTAGTTATACTTCTGTTCATTTTAGGGATTTGTCCAACAACAATTTAACTGGACAGGTGCCTGCATTTCTATCGCGATTGCCTTCCTTGAAAGTCTTGTAAGTTATTTAGATTGGATCCGTGATTAGAATTGTATTTTTGATGGCATTAGACAAAGAGGAGATTTTGTTAATTTGCTATTGTTTTGCAGAAACTTGAAAGGAAACAACTTCACAGGGCCAATTCCAGCAGAACTTATTATGAGGTCAAATAATGGATCACTATCAATGAGGTTGTCTCTTTTCTCATGAACCATAAAGCTAAATTAACTCCAAAGTTTCCTAAATAGGAAACCTGAGAGAATTAATTGGGAATTCTAGACATAATTCCTAATAACTTATTGCCTCTATAGTCTATATCATGTGTTCTTTGAGAATTAGAACACACCTAATTTTTTTTAATTTTCTTTTGAAATAATCATCAAATATCTCCAAGATTGCTTATAAAATAGCTATTGCTAATATACAATAGGTTATGATTGATTAGCATTCATTGTGTTCCTTGTTCGACATGTGTCACCATATACAGTATCGACGAAAGTGAAGGAGAAAATGCAAATCCTTCTCAGCCTATTCCACCCAAAAAGAAAAAGAACAAAATTGTTCCGGTGCTTGCAGCCATTACTGCCTTGTCCTGCTCTTAGCTGCAATAATGGCAGTCTTATGGATTGTTACAAAGAGAAAACAACAAGGTATCGCAGCAACTACATATCCTTATAGTTTAAAAATTGAAGTGTTAAACCATAGTACCAAAAATTTCATGATAAAACATGTACTAAATTGAAATATAGTTTTTGAATTTTATATGATCCAACAGTAGTAGTCAGGGAGGAGGATGCTGAAACAAAGCAAAGAGAGAGGTCATTGGAGGTCAAAAGTTGCAGGTTAACATACTCTGAGGTTATGAATGCTACCAACAATTTCCGTAGGGTTATTGGAAAAGGAGGATTTGGAACAGTTTACCATGGCTATTTAGGTAACCATCAGGTTGCTGTAAAGATGCTTGCTCCATCATCAATTCAAGGATACAAGGAATTCCAAGCCGAGGTACGTACTATTTGTAGCAGTGTATTTACAACATACAGAATTTTATATTCAACTTGAATCTGTCATCCAATTCAGTATGTGTTAAGGGATTTAAATACTAAAGTTATATCCTCTCTAACAGCTTAAAGGAGTAGATGGATGTTACGTCACCTTTCATAAATTAAAATTGAAATATTGTCGGATCAAAAGAAGGCCTGAGAAGGCACGTTATGCTTTTAAAGTAGATGAACAGTAATTTGTTGCAATTCACTTGCACAAAAATAAATACCTTTGGAATAAGCCCTGGTATAGAAATCTTTTGACCTCATCGATGAGCTAAATGAGGCTTTATATTGCAGGCCGACCTTCTCACGAGCGTACGCCATAAGAACTTGACTTCTCTTGTTGGTTACTGCAAAGAAGGCACCAATATGGCAATCATCTATGAGTATATGGCTAATGGAAACTTAAAGAGGCATCTCTTAGGTATACATGTCAAACTTTGGAAGTTTTCACTGTTAAAACGTGAAATGTAAAACATATATAAAATTTCACTATTTTCTCAAGCTAAACACAATATATATATATATATATATATATATATATATATATATATATATTAATTATATATATATATATTTATTAATTACTGAAAAAAATAATTTAGATTGCTGATTCATGGATGCAGATAGAAATTTGAATGTTTTGGGTTGGGAAGAGAGGCTTCGAATAGCAATGGATGCAGCACAAGGTTCGTGAGAAGATGCAGTGCATTTTTTCCTTTTACTTATCATTTTCTTTTGGTTGTAAGTAGTACTAAATGTGGACTTGAATTGAAGGACTGGAGTATCTGCACCATGGTTGTAAACCACCAATAATCCATAGAGATGTGAAGACTACCAATATCTTATTGAACGAAAATTTTCAAGCCAAACTTTCTGATTTCGGGTTGTCCAGAGTTTTCCCAACTGAAGGTGGCAGTCATGTATCCACAATTGTTGCTGGTTCTCCAGGATACCTTGATCCTGAGTAAGTTTTACTCTTTTTGGTATATACCAATGATTAAGTCTGCTGTTGAAGTTTTTTCAAAACCTGCACATTATTATACGAAATCACTGTCTATAAATTTGGTTCTAATTTAAAACACCACCTTTCATATTCTTGTTAGTGTCAAAATTAACTAAAGCATAATATAAAAATTATATTTTCAAATGTGTAATGCTTGAATCAAAACATGCAGAGCTCCTACATGGGGAAAAAAAACTGTCTTCCTTGTCAAAACACTTGTATTTATTTTATTTTATTTTTAAAAAACACTTTGTACCTTATGTAGGACTAAAATACATACATTGCTACTTAATGTAACTTGTTCCAATTTCAAATTCAAAGACAAATTCATGTATCCCTATCATACATCTCTAGACATGCATGCATTCAAATGTTATTTATTCTATGTCGCAGATATTGTACATCAAATAGGTTGAGAGAGAAAAGCGATGTGTATAGCTTTGGAATTGTCCTCTTGGAGACGATTACAAGCCGACCTCCAATACCGGAAGGCCATGACGATACTCACATTATCCAATGGGTTAGTTCTAAGCTTGCAAATGGGGATATTAAAAGTATTGTTGATCCCAGATTGCATAGAGATTTCAATGTGAATTCTGTTTGGAAAGCTGTAGAATTAGCAATGTCCTGTGTATCACGCAATCCCACTCGAAGGCCAACCATGAATTATGTGGTGATGGAATTAAGGGAGTGTTTGCGACAGAGATAGCACGCCATCACCATGAGACTGCAAAAGACTCAGTTACTGAAGTAATGCCTATGATTATGAATCAGGAAAGTGAACTTAATCTCCCAGCAATTCGATAGCTCTACAACTGAGTGTTGATACTTCACTCCATGTTTGTACTTTAGTCTCTTTAAATTAAAATAAACAACTTTGAATTTCACATGCTAAATTTCCTCACCTGCTTCACTGGTCCTATGGCCGCATATCATTACACAAAAAGTATATATATATATATAAAGCTACAATCCACTATGGTGATATAGATTTCATAAATAATTATATATATATATATATATATATAGGTAAATTAGTATAAAATGCTCTTTTCTGAAGCTTAACAGAAGACGTGCCTTGAAGGTTTTATGTTGTTATATATGGTGGAAAAAATCTGGCCAATTAATCATTGAAAAAGGCACTGCGACACAAAGTTGGAGCTTTTTGGTGTTTAGGCAAATATTCAATAAAGAATTTCAGAGCTATTCTTCAAAAAGAAAAACAGAATGAAACAAATCACCTCCTAATTGTACTACATGAGAATGAAAATTAACCAACCTTTGTTAGGCATTTGTACTGAAAGGTCGCCTATTGGTCGCCAAACAGCTGCATAATTGGATCATTGATAACATTCTTATAAGAATGACATATGGTTTGGCAAAAAGCTGCGGGTGAGAGATATTTAGTCGTTATCATGTTTGTGTTCGGTTTTGGGGCTAAAACACAAACCAGGAAGCTGTAAGAAGTAAAATAATTTTTAAGCCTATTTTTCAAATTTTTTTTTTTTTAAATAGTGAAGATTTTATTCAATGTACGTAATGAACGTGACCCACACTTGATTTTTTCTGTTTAATAAAATCTTCTTCAACTGCATATATCAACCGGAAAAATAGGTCTAAATTGCATTATTCGGTAAAGAAAGTTATAGTTTTATCCGTTCGAAATGAGTGATACAAATAATTGGTGGCTAATCTTAAAAAGAGATCGAGTTAATGTTTATAAAGTCCAAGTAACAGGTATTCTGCCAGAATTATTTCATATGTGTACGTATATATTTACAAGAAATTGTGCATCTATTAAATTTTACATAATCATACTCTGTTTTGGAGTGTTTCATGTGTGTTTTTTATTTAGTGATTTTCTTTTACTCCTTTGGGGGAAAATTTGAGATAAGGTGGGTTGATTTTGAACACCATATAATTATATTAGAATATTTTGTTTGTGGGTTTAACTTGGAAATGTGGAGGCTGATCTGAAAATGAGATTAAAGTTGCTCAAAGATTTAAGCAATGGGTATTATATACACACACACACATATGCAAGACGTGAATGTACTTGGCAAATCTTTCTTCGCCAAAACAGTTAAAGAAAGACCGTTGAGAGACGTTTGTCATCCATATGTGGCCTCAAAATTCGTAGAGACTTGATCATCTCTCTCTCTCACGCTCTAATATTGCGTGCTCGACTCAATTTGTTCAATGAACCACACCTGCGTTTTTGGTTGGATGCAATCTTTGCCAGATTTTTCGGTAAGTATTGGCCAAATTTTATTTTCTTCAACATATGTATGCATATGTGGTTATTTGTATCACTTTTGTTTCGGCAAACGAAACGCTCTGTATGCGAGAGAGACTTTAGTCACATCCTTTTCTTATTCTTTTGTACGTTTTGGTCCTATAACAAGTACAATATTTACCTAAACTTTTTCAAGCAATATCCACTTGGGTCCCACAAAGCCCACTATTTTTATTCTCTCAACTCTCATTTTGGTTGAAGAGATCTTCTTCACAAATTCCAAGGTGACCCTCTTCTTTCTCTTGCTCAATCTATCGCTCTCACCTTTCCTCCACACACACACACACACACTCTTTCTCTAACTGCTAGGTTTGTAGTTTAATTACCTCATAATGTTCTGTTTTGTGAGTGTTTCCTGTGTTTTCGGTGATTGTGTTAGATTTTCAGGTAAAAAGAATGGAATTCTTGAGGTGGGTTGATTTGGGTACTCTTCAAGTTGTATTTTCTCATCATTGGTTTTTGTCTATGTTTGTTTGATTTTGGTTTTCAGCTTAATTAAAGGTTTCATCTTTTGAGGTGGGTTCAACTTGGGTACTTCTACAATGTGATTTCTCCACAGTTTCATTTGTTCTTTTTTGGTTATGATCTTCAGTTCAAAGCTTTGATGATTTGAGTTAAATTGAATGTGAGTGAATTCAAAACTGTGTGTGTGTGGGTGTGTGTGTGTGTGTGTGTGTGTGTGTGTTTGGTTTAGCCATTTGATGTCTTATTGTTTTATGGTCTTGATCTCTAGCCAAAAGAATTGTTTTTTGAGGTGGGTTGAATTGGATACTTCTAAATTTGTTTTGTCTTGGAAAAAGAATCAGTTTTGATTTCTAAAAAGGGGAATGTAGGTGTTGTGGTAGTGAGTTTTAGTGGAGATGGGATCAGATAAATTTTGTAATTGATGAGAAGATTGGTAAATTGAAATGGGATTTGTGTTGAAGGACTGAGAAATGGGATGATGAAAGGTGGGAAAATTGAGGAAAAGTTGATAAGTCCTCTGTTTCCTAGGCTTCACATCAATGATGCAGAGAAAGGAGGACCGAGGGCACCTCCAAGGAACAAAATGGCTCTTTGTGAACAGCTCAGTGTCCCTTCTCAAAGGTTTGCCTCTGGATCAGCATCAATGCTACCTCTTCCGCCCAACACTAGCTGCAACTTGGCTCCTTCAACGTCTCTGAGTCATGTGCGTTCGATATCTTATAAGGGTTTTTGTTCTTTAAGTGTGAATTTACAAGAAAATAACTCTTAAGCTATATGTTTGGTAACCTGGAATTTGTCGCTGGAATTGGAATTGGTTCAAACTTGAACTATTTTTTCTCCAATTTCGCACCAATTCCATGCTACCGAATATAGCTTTACTTCTTTTGGTGAAGCTATATATCTGTATATGCATACATTATTCTTTAAATGGTATGTTGGCAATGATCAACTTAGGTTTTAGCACTTTGCTATCATTTCTGAGAAAATGAAGCTTTTACTTTTTCTTTTCTGTTTTTAGGATTTTTATCCCATCTCATTGTATATACTAGAGACCATTGGTACTTTGTTTTATCCATGGTGAACAGAATGTATTTCTTTGTTTCTCAGAATCTATTATATATATTATGGATGGTACTTTAAGTGTGACCTTGGGATGTTCTATTGCTGTTTTATTTTTTAAAATATTTTAGCATTTTTTTCTCTTTTTCTTCAACGTATTGTGACTTTAAGGTTCTTCAGGGTTCAGAAACTAATTGGATGATTATTTACTCCTAATACTGCTTAATCGTGGTAATCTTAATACATTTCAGGAAGAAAAGCTACAAACTTTTCAGTTCAATAGAAGTTGATTGTTGTCAAGATAAGCCTCAGGCAATCACCTAGATAAACCACTGCAATATATATTATGTGCAACTCCCTCATGCCAGCAGAAGCATCAATTTTACAATACCTCTACTTTATTTATTTTTATTTTTTATTTTTTTACCACTCTGATTTTGGGGAAGTTTGAGCTTCCCTTTCCTTTGTCATATATTACTCTGTTTTTTTCTTCTACTTTTTTTTTTTTTTCCTCCTCTCTCTCTTTGGTTGTCCCACTTAGATCGAATTTTGATGGAGCTAATTATACCTCCTGAGAAATTAGGACTAAGATATTTCTGAAGTCCTTAAATAAAAGGGTATGGCAGCCTGTAGAAATAGGTTACAGATTTCCTACAAATGAGAATGGGACGTTTGTCTCATATTGCACAAGGGTTTTTGTGCATTTTATTTTGTGGCTTTCCATAAATTTCCTGTGTTTACTAGATAACTTTTGTGAGGTTTAAACGCACTGTAGTTATACTGGTTTTGTATTAAGAACATGGAAATATGGTTTTTTTTACTTTATGAACCCGTGCTGTTTCCCTTTGTCTTCTTACACCAAGTATTCGTGGTTGTAGAGTGGTGGCCCTGAAATGAGTTTGTATTCCCCCTTCTGCAACTCACCTGTATCTCCTCATTTGGCTGAGAGACTTCATTCTTATTCTTCTGGTGGGGTGAATTTTAATACCACATTGACTAATCTAGAAAGGCAGCCAGAAAAACCTACAAATGATCAGATTTTGAGTGCCACGGGCCATTTCTCAACAGCTTCCAAGTGCAGTTTTCTTCGACAACATGGTTTTTTAAACTCTAGGAACTCTTCTGTAAAGAAGCTTGACGATAAGGATCATTTAAGGGTCCTGGCCTCTGGTCAGTTAGGAAGAACTCCAAACTGCAGTAATAGTTGGCAAAACATGGATAAAGAAAAACTCATTTCCTCAGGCACAAACTCTCCTAAAAATCTTCAAATTTCTTGTGAAAAGCAGAAGAAGCGGACTAGCACTACAGATTTAAACTTGAGGCCACATTTGAGAATCGGAACTGAGGAGAAACCAGAAGAGTCTCAGACTAGTCAACCCTCTGGCAAAAACCATGCTTCAATTTTGTTAAATGGAGATAAGATTTTGGTAGATGCATCTTCAAGTCCCCGGGATAGAGATAGGATTTCTGAACAAGCAAAGGGAGGTCTTTTTTTTTTTAACCTAGGAAAGAGAAACAACTTGGCGGCTGATATAAGCAGATTAAATGATTCCAATTCACAGTTACATCAAGAGTGTGAAGTTCTGCAAGAAAAGAATGTCCTTATAGATGATGCTTCAGCAAAGCCCAAAAAGGCCATAGAAAAAATAAATGCTTCCATTTCGGAAGGACTATCATGTCCTAGACCATCACTTGGAGACAATCGTCAAGGTCCTAACAGGATTAAAAATGCTAGTGAGTTCCATGAAGATTGGCAAAGTGGTTCTTCACAAGCAGGCGATGTAGACAGAAACATTGATGTCTCAGACACCTCCATGGTGGACTCTATATCGAGTTTGGATATATCCCCTGATGATGTTGTGCAAGTAATAGGTCAGAAACAATTCTGGAAAGCAAGAAGAGCTATTGTCCAGTAAGTTTCTCTGACTGGCGGTTGCTATTTACATTGCTACATCTTGACAAATTTGAAATTTATGAATCTTACCATAGTTTGTGGAGCAGATTGCTTCTCTAGACTAAATTCAAGTAAATTTAGACTTTCAATTGTTTCCATGCGCATTTAATTGTGGAGTTAATTAGTCGTAGATTATGATCATGATTTATTCCATTCTGCTTCTCATTTAAAGTGTTCTATGAGTATGAACTGATTCCACACATAGGTCTACAAGTTGTTGAAAATCAAAATAATCAATATCCGTATCATTGTCACCATATACATTTTATTGTTTTTGTTCTAACATCCATGTGTATGTTATCTGTTTGTTGTCTTTGTTTTGGAATCATTGTTAGATCTCTTTCTCAATATATATATATATATATATATATATATATATATATATATATATATATATATTTATGTATGTATGTATGTATGTATGAACACACACATTGCTCATGATAGAGAGACTACAAAATTCATTGTTCTGAATGCCCTTTCCTATCCATTAATTTCATAGAAGCAAACAGCTTCATTTTTCAGAAAATAAATCAGACTAATGCATCAATATATTTTCATTTTTTACACAAAAAAATAATTTTTACCCAAGACTAATTTAATTCTCTTCACCATATTAGGTATGTCTCCACTCAACACCCTGTGTAGGCATACACACTGGGTGCTGCAATTTTCATTGATTGCTTTGGAGGATTTGTACCTTCAATCTATTATTTGTGAGTACAGTGTCCAACAGATGGCTAGATTTGGACTGTAATAGAACTATGAGAATGAATAAAAAAAAGTAGATCAGTAGAAGATGATGTAGAAGGGAAAAAATAAAAAAGAGGATAATAAGTATTGGGATGATTATTACTTTTGGGTTTCCATAGGATTATTCCATATACTATGGTAGACTTATTCCCGTTAAGTGTTTTTTTTTTTTTTTTTTTTTTTGTGTCATTGGCAAGAAACTCACACACACCCACTTTGCTCCTTTGGAGACTCAAACCCTCACCATCCACTTTGGGAGGTAGAGGAGATACCACTGGGCCACAAGGCCCTTGGTTTATTCCCGTTAAGTTAGTTCATCAGAACTTACTGCCATTGAGATTGTTCCTGCCATTGTTTTTGTGCCTTCAGGTTCTAAATATGAACTTAGGTTCTGGTGTTCAAACATTCGGGGGAAATTAATATGATTGCATATTTAGCTGTTGGTCCATATATGTGGAGGATTTGTTTCATTGATGAGAATATATTGCAAGGTTACTCTCAGAGTGAATATATTGGTGAAGAACTTCAAGTTATGCAAAGCTGTAATAGTTCCAATAGCTTGTTATGTCTCTCATTAGTATTATTTGAAAAGGCTTATCACCTCACCAACCCAATCTCTGTAGTCATTCAAAAGCAAGCTGAATATTATAGCTAGTGGTTTAGTTCCACTAACTGAAAAGTGCATGAGGGTGGAAGGACTTCAATTATGAATTATCGAGAGCAAGCATTATCAATTAGAAAATTATAATCCAGTTAAGCATAAAATGGTGGTTATACAATAAAAATAGAGGATATATTTTGGGTATATAAGGACTATGAAGAGTTAGAAAAGAAGATAGGTGGAGAATTTTATTGTGTTATCCACCAATGCTTATTTGGACTTGGTTCCATGTGAGTAGTACTTCTCAGCAACCTTGTACTTCCGAGTTCCGACCATGCCATCAGTTTGAATGTTGGTGTCTTGGTATGAATGATCATGTTTGCAAAGCACTTGGCAAGTCGAAGATTTTTTTTTCTCTTTGGCTTTTTACGACATTCTTCTTTTTCATCCGTCAATGTGTTCCTATTTTTTTTTTGGACGTAGTTATTGGTGCTATACTATGGCTACCATTGTAGTTGAGCTTGTTGGGTCCATTCATGTTGTCCCTCTCATGAATAACAAGATCTAATGTAACAATTTTAAGGCCAAATATAAGCCAGATACCAATTGTGATATTGACAGTTAATGTAACTGTAACATGATCTGAATTTCCAACATATAACAAAATTCGTATATAACTATCAATTATAAGATACCTCTTTTAGACAGGAAATCTTAGCATGTCACTTGGGGAAAAAAAGGAAAATCTTAGAATGCCTTTTATCTCGGCTTCTTAGCATCAGCTATGCCAATTGTTCTCCTCCCATCATGGTCTTATCTGGTGCCATTTCTTTGTTAAACCATTAATCATCGTAATTTTCCCGAGCCTCAACCTGTGTTATTTTCAGCCTTCTTACTGTCCTTAAAGCATCTCTACTCGAACCAAATTACACTTTTCAAGCGCAGTCACTGGATTCGTTACAGAAGATCAATTATATTGGTTTATTTTGTCGAGTTTTTGCCCTTAACCAGTGTTACCTCTCCTCTAACCTTCCATAGATGCATTAGTATCTAGTGCCCTTGATGATAATCAATTCGTATTGAGGGTGTTCTGTGAGAAATTGATTACCACAGAAATGCAGAGTTGTCTCCAGAAGACATCCAATTTGCAAATAATGCTTATAATTGAACGAATATGTATATACTTGTGCACCTTCATTAGAAATCTGTTTTCCAGCGTTTAATCAACTCCGATGCTACTATTTCAGTCAGCAAAGGGCCTTTGCGGTGCAACTATTTGAATTACATAGATTAATAAAGGTAAGCTGGTTGACTTAGTTAAAGTGCTTTGTTTTTGTGAAATGAGATATATTTTTCTTGGTTTTTTAATTCAGAGTTTGAGGAAAGGTGGTTTATGATGAAATAGGTGCAAAGATTAATTGCCAGATCACCAGATCTATTGCTCGAAAATAACCTCTATTTGGGCACAACTTCAATGGAAGTATCTCCTGCGAAGAAGTTTAGGTCAAATTATGTTCTAGAACCACCACCTTCAATTGCTAAGCAAAAAGAAGATTCTCAGAAGCCAAATCCCACCAATGAATGTTCAGTGGAGAAAGCAGTTAGAAATCCTCGTCCTTCTCTCAATAGTGATACGAACAAAATATGTGTTACCCAGCAATCAAAGTGCGAACCTTATTCAAGAAATGCAGCACCAGCTGCTGTAGCTAGTAACGCCAAACCAGCACCTTGGTGTTCTTCCCCACCCCCTGGAAATCAGTGGCTAGTTCCTGTAATATCACCTTCCGAAGGACTTGTTTATAAGCCCTATGCAGGACCATGTCCTCCAACTGCAGGTTTCATAGCGCCAGTTTATGGTAGCTATGAACCAATGAGCTTAACTCCAGAGGGCGGAGACTTTTTGAACAAAGCCCATGGTATTCCTTTTCCTCACCAACAAGGGATTGTAACTCTTCCAGGCACTCTTCCACCTGATCAGACCTACTTTCCACCATATGGCATGCCACTCATGAAGCCATCTGTTTCCCGTTCAGCTGTTGAGCAGACGAATCCATTTCCTAGAGCCGAGTCAAATAAGCAGGATAATCAGCTCTGTGTTGGCGACCTTAACTTCATCCCCTACAAAAGCTCATTTAACATTGCAAGCCAGAAGAGTGGGGTGATCTCATATTGTGTTAGGAAGTTGCAGGCATCCAAAGAGAGTGAGTCGCAGGGCTGTACAGCAAGTAGTCCTGAGATGGAGAAACGAGATCCACTGCCTCTTTTTCCTACTTCACCACAATCTCAGGCTTCGGATCAACCTGCTAGGACACACACTGCTGATGAGCAGACGCGGGTCATCAAGGTTGTTCCTCACAACCCTAGAGCAGCTTTTGAGTCAGCAGCTCGGATTTTCCAGTCCATACAAGAAGAAAGGAAACAGTAGCACGACTAGCTCATCATCTCATATCACGGCAAATAACTTTGTATCTAGCCAACCCTGCAATAAATGACCATTTTCTTTGCATGTCATAGAAGTGTTTGAAGTCTATTATCTTTTTCTTTGTTCTGATCATATGTCAGTTACCTGTATATATTTTTCACAAAGATTGGCAAACTGATCAGTTCGCATTTTTATTCCCAATAGGTAACTGCAGTAAATATTTCCTCCATTTGTTTTACATTGGCTGTTATGTTCATGAACTAATTCTTATCATTCTGGTACTTTGTTCAATAACTGATTAAAGCAACAGCATCACTGAGCATGTCAAGAATCGTGGTGATACAAACTTCCCTCCCTTTCTCATATCATGCAGTGCTAATATTATCAAATCCTTCCAATGCATTCAATAGAATAAAATTTTCATCACTATTTTGTTAGTAGATTTTTTTTTTTTTTTTTTTTTTTTTTTCCTCCTAGTTAGTACTCACACACACATGCCTCCTGACCTCTCTTTGAGAAGTAGGAGCTTGGTACCACTGGCTTGTTCGTATTTTGTTAGTAGATTTTCATAGTGATTCAATCTGAAGGAGAGCAATGCATTTACGAATCTTGATTTTCTTATGGAACAGCTGCTATGTCATTATCAGCTTAAGGTTTCAGGAAGTTCGTTCCTGAATTTTCAGATCCATGGTTGAACTGTCCTAATGATTTCTCTCTTTTCTATCAGACCGACCACAATTACCAACCGTAACACAAGCTACTGTCACCTCTCAGCATTTCGACCTTGAATGTTTGTTAACATGGTATCAAAAGACTACATTCTAACTCGTTCAAACTCTTACCATTACATTATACACCACATGCTTGGTCCCCTCGTGAAGGGAATTCTAATTATTAAAGTAATAAATGAATATTATAAAAATAAATCGAGTCGAAGATTAAAAAAAAAAAAAAAACTCGAAGTTGGAACAGTAATTCATGCCCAGCAATAACATTAGTATAATAACTGTGTGTATTAAACAAGTAGATTATTTTTTGCGACTAAGTCAATGGTAAAGTAACTTAAAGAATGAAAAACTTCCACTAACATGTATTGAAATTGAGTTATCAATTAATACAGGTGGCTAAAGCTACAAATATTGGCGACATTGACTGGTCAGAAATGGCGATTAGAATTCTTTCATCTTTGTAGGCCCCCAGCCAAGGGCGGAGGGAGGGGTGGGTGAGGGTGGGCTTCAGCCCACCCCAAAAAAAAAAAATTTCTTTTTTTTACTATACTACTTTCAGCCCACCCCAAAAAAAAAAAATTAGCCCATCCAAAATTAGCCAAATCCTAAATTAACCCACCCCAATCAGCAATCTTGGATCCGCCTTGCCCCCAGCCCCAGCTGAGCAGGAATTCGGTATGTCCGGTGCACCACCGGACACATCATATATATTCTCCCCCAGCCACACAACTTCTCTTTGAACACTGATGTAATGTTACAATATATTCATTGAAGCGAAAAGCCTTGTAAGCGTTCACCTACACCCTTCTCTCCTGTGCCAAAATTTTGTGACCTGGAAAAAATTTCAGATTTTCTTTTAACAAACAAATTAACAGTACATAGCAAGAACTAATCAAATCAAGATCATGAAAAATAATTTTTATATATATAGAGAGAGAGAGAAAGAGAGAGAGATTAAGTACCGAACTAGAGAGAGGATTCCATAATTTCAAACTGGAATCACTGAAGCTCCAGGACGCAAACACACTCAATGTGAGGAGTGTGAGGGAACATGTCTACTGGCTGCAGACTTTTTAGCTCGTAACATCCTTTTATATTTCTCTCTCGCTCTACCTGAAAAAATTTCAACATATCAGATTAGCGAAAATAAAAGAGAAGTGATCCAGTGGTAGGAGACCAGTACATACCACACCATGACAGAGGTAATCAAGGTCACGCGCGCACGTGGCAGGATTACACGACACATAAATAATTCTTGGGGCCTGAAGCTTCAGTAAGAATTTAATCAACTTCATGTGCATACCTGGACGGTTCGGATCTGCACGAATTGTTGCATTAGAAAGCAGATGAGAAACCTAGAGCTATATTTTCACATGTGAATGAATATCAAGTTGATATATTTCATGGAGATGACACATGCTTCAAGCATAAAATGAAAAATACACAGTACAATAGTAACCGTTGATATCTCAATTTAGTAGTAACAAATTTCCCATTGGAACTTTATGAGGCAAAAAAAAATGAGAAACTATTTCCTATAAAAAAATTTGATGACCATGAATTCCTTTTATGTTTCAGTTCACTTTCTTTCAACAGAACAGATTCAAGGAGGGAAAAGAGAACAGGTTTTATATTAACAATCTTCACAAGGAATACATTTTCGTGTTACAACAATTTGTTAGGTCCACCAACTTCTAACCGCAAGATCCATTATGATGAATTTCAAGAAGCAAAATGGCAACGATTATAATTCTTATTGCTGCTTCTTGCTACAACGTACACAAGATCCCAACCACAAATTTCAGCAATAATTTGCAGAATTTAAGCTGATAAATTAAGGGACTGTTACCCAAGACTCTATTTAAGTCAGACTATGAGCAGTAAACTAGACCTAAAGGAGGCTGAATAGGTCCTGTGGCTATTAATTTCAAATTTTAGTAATTTGCTAAATGTTTGCTGACTGTGATTTGAACATTTAGTTCGTTTCAGCTATCTTATAGCAAGTATTCAATCACACAATCACAAAAATAAATAGAGAATACACATGAGTTTTAATGCTGAACATCCTAACTAGGGAAAAACCACGAGACTTAATCTAGCTATGAACAATGTACTATGAAAAAAAGGTTACAACTAGGTTGACCGTTCCCACACCCCAACTCCTAGTCACCTCTTGACACAGACTGTAGCCAAACTCACACCGAGAATCTAGAGACTTTTGATCCTCTTCATTAACAAACTTCGCTCCTCATGCCATTTGCTTCGCCATGGTTGTCCAAATCTTCTGCTCAATATTTTGGATTGGTTGAATTGATTTGCCTCGACAGTCAAATGTACTTCTCCTTGTTGAAAACTCAATCATGTATGATGCAGGATAAAGGAAACCCTAAATTGAGGGTTTCTCTCTCTAGATGATTAGAGGCTTATATATCATACCTAGTCACAGCCAATATAGGTAGCCCACACAGTTTAGCAGGTTAAATCCTTGTAGGAATCTATTTTGAGAGATTTTCCAAAAATAAACTTCTATTACGTTCAATTGGTGGACTGAGTTTCTATCAGTCCACCAATCCATCAAAGCATACTGGAGAGACCTTTGAACGATTGAGCCATCCATCAACGTTCACTATTTTTCAATAGAAACTTAGTTAGAAAACCTTTTCAAAAATCATAGTGTAAAGAACCAATTTATCAAAATAAGTTTATACCAAGATAAAAACTATGTCATCTAAAAACTTAAGGTCATTTTACATGTGCCCTAGAAATGTGATTGATCGTGCAGATTTTGCTCGCTAATCTGCATCTACATTATCTTTGCTGGTTGTACTTCATGACTTGTGACATTTTGGCACATTACAACCAAGGTTTTAAGTAGGAAATTGCCAATACACGACTCATATTACCTAACAAAAGCGAAAAAATATTAAGAAAGCAACCCAATAACCTAACAATTAGAATTGAAAGATTATCATATAATAAAACTCCATAAAAAACGAAAGGGGCACGCCATGAAATGATAACGTAATTCGTAACTCAGAAGGAATACATTTCAGACTCGTAACAAACCCGTATATGTAATACTAAAAGTAAATGTTCCAGATCTTTTCTATTTTCAGTCTAATTTAACAAAGCAGCCATATGGCACAATATCCTTCAGAAAACAACATGAAAGCTTTCAAACAGCATGATTTTAGCATTCATTAAAGTAGAGGTGAAGCAAGATAATCAACAGAGACTAAGACCATAACCTGATATGACAACGTCAGGCTTGGGAAAATTTTTGCCAAAATTTTCATCAATTTTATTAAGATCCCCTTGGATAAAGGTAGCGTTGCAAATATTATTCAGTGTGGCATTTCGACGAGCATCGGAGACGGCTTGAGGAACTACTTCATAGCCATATACGTTTCTGACCCTGACAAAAGAAAACCAAGAAGCATAACACTGTAAGATTCCTCGAAGTTTACATCTAAAACTAAAAGAACACGAGATTTACCTTCTGGCAAGTGTCAGCCCAATGGTGCCAGTTCCACAAAAGAGGTCAAGAACAATTTCAGTGCCATCTCCTCTGAGACCAGCATAATCTTCAATAAGTCTATAGAGAACCTCTGCCTGAATGTTGGTAAAGTTTTTGCATTTACTGTCATAAATTATATCCATGAAGTGAAATGGGAATAAGGAAACTGGAGCAAGCAATTACAGAAATTATTAAAAGAATGAGGAGAGAGCAAATCATATTTTCTTTTTTGGTTGCATACCTGGTGTGAATTAGTCTGAAAGAAGGAGTTTGCTGAAATTTGAAATGTAAGGCCTCTCAAAATCTCTGTAATAGTAGATTTTCCATGTAAAGTGTATTCGTCCTCCCCAACAGCTATGTTACTGACAGAAGAATTTACGTTGTTTACAACGCTCACCTATGCGCCAGCACAAAAGAGAAACAGGAAATCATTTTTATGAAATGATAATTTGAATGGTGACACGAGTAAAACTGAGGAAATATGAATAGAGTGTAATGTTGTGATATATATGTATATATATTTAATGTTAAAAGAAAAAGAAATAAAGTTGGTGGGCCCCACCAATATATTAAACATAACAAAAGGCCTTATGGCCATTACGCAGACCATTTATTCTCTCTCTGTGCATCTCTCTCGTCCGATTCCAGTGACTTCCCTTTTCTTCTCTCTTTTTTCTTTTCTAATTTCAAGCTTTGATTCCTCCTTCCATACTTGGAATTTTTTGGGTGCCGTTTGCGACAAATCGAAGAGCACGGCGAGATCTACGTGTGAGTACCAACAATTTCAGTTTTGGTGCACTCTAGGGAGTTTGAAATTCTAGGGTTCTTCGGCTCAAATTGGGGGCTTTCATCAATTTGAGGTAGGGGTGTTCTAATCTATAATTTCTTGGCCTTTGGTGAATTTTTCCCCTTAAATTTGATCCTAAGCATGCTAAATTTTAATTACTTAGCTTCTTGTTGTTGTAGTTATGTGTAATTAAAATGATAATTGTGTTCCATGTGTTATTTGATGTCATATACACGTCTATTTTCATTACGGTAAATGAGCATGCTTAGTGTTTGATATGTTGTATGTTCCATGATTATTTATTTAATTATTGTCTTGAAGAAAAAAAATGGGTGCTATGGTTATAAATAAATAAAGTAAATGAATGTTTAGAAATTCTTATTGAATTGTGATGATGATGTAAATGGAATGTGTAAAAACCTATAGTTGAATTGATAAATTGAAACACACACATTCATGCATTCATTGGGAAAGAGAAAAGGGGGAAAAATATTTTTAGAACAAACGAAATCATTTTGGGGAAAATATTTTCTAAAAGTGTTGCAAAAACCGGACGCCTAGGAGGCGCCTAGTGGTCCGTGATGTTGGTGTAGTCTAGAAGGGAATGTAGTTGAGTTAACTAGGCCGGATGCGACGCCTTGGAGGTGCCTTTTGGTCGTGGATAGTTAACCAACCTTCCTTTCGTGATGCCATGGAGGTGCCTTGGGTCGGATTACACTAACGGTTTGGTTGTTGAAACGGAATTGTTTCGGAAACGGGGAGTGGCATAGGCATGACATTGCACTTCATGGTACATGTGGGAAATTTGTGGTTGGATGTTATTTATACCATACTTGTTATTGTAATTGAGATTATGTTTTTCTAATGGTATGACCCCGTCCCTTTTTATCTATTCTTTATGTGGGATTCACGGGGATATAAGAAGGTGTCTTAGACACTTCCTACTGAGCTTATGCTCACCCCATTATTTTTTAACATTTTTCAGGATATGGAAAAGAGGTGGTGGACGACGATCCACCACAGGTTTAGACGAGCTTGAAGACCCATTTTATTTTGCTATCTTTTGTATTAAAACCTTAATATTTTGTAATGTACTCTTAACTATTTTGTGAAACTCTAGTTTAATGGGTACAATGTTGTAAGCTATGGACTTTTAAATTCTAACTACATTTTTGGACTATAAATTGATGTAACTAAAGTATGTCCCTTGTTTGGATGAGATGGAGGAACGGGACTTTTGTATGTATGTAACCATTTTGGGAATGTAATATAATATCTGTATTGTGCGTTGGAACAGAATAGGTTAGATTTAAGACCCAGTGAGGCCGTGCATTTATTTTTGTATTTCAACAGGTTATAGAGGGACTTTTTCTGCGGAGGTCATGCTGAAATTTTTATAGATTTTATTATTATTTTGATATCTTTTCGGGTCGTTACATAGAGATTCAACACAAAGACTAAAAGTATCTACAAAAAATGTTCTATGCAGTTTAATGGGAACATTTCATTAAAGTGGAAGTTTTTGTCCTATTGTGTTTTGCTTTTATTTCCAAAGTAACTACAAAAAAATGTTCTATGCAGTTTAGTGGGAACATTTCATTAAAGTGGAAGTTCTTGTCCTATTGTGTTTTGCTTTTATTTCCTTATGTATATATCTTTTAACACTTTAAATTCCCCCCTCCCCCGCGCAGGAATTGTTTGCACCTAGCATGAATCAATCCTGAGACCTGATGCTTCATGCGGCACCAGGGCCCAAGTTTTTTCCAACTAGGCCAACCCCTTTGAGTTGAATCAAGGAGTGTTTCGAAGGGTGAATAGAGAAAAATATAGTTTTGGCAAGGTTATCATTTTCCACCATCATAATGGTCTCAAAAGAGATTCCCTTATAGATGGAAATTTGGAGCGATGCTGAAACATTAAAGCATAACAAAAGCTCATTTATTCTATCAATCAGAATTTATATACCGCAAGCCCCAAATGAGAAGTCAAAACTATGGGTGCATTGTAACTTTTAAAAGGAACTCGCTCAAGAGTTGCCAAATCACTTATCAGATAGGGGAAAACACTTAATACTCCAATCAACCTTGAATGAAAATAAATTTTTTATCATACAAACCACTTCAGGAATGGCTGAAATTTTCTCAACAAGGGGCTTCAGCAGCTCTGGTTTGTAAGATGAAGTCACAAAATTAACCATAAGTTCAGGCAGACCAGTCTTGACATCCCTGAAAATATATATAGTAATCATAGTAAGGAAATATTAACCGAGAACTAAAAGCTTTGCATTGATTGTTATGTGATGCATGCATTGATTGAGAGAAATGAAATGATGGGAATTCTGTCAGATATTTAAAGCTATTAAAAACAGTATCATGCTATAAAAACTCATTTTCTATCTTTACGTCCATGAACATCTTCTTTCAACTAAGAAATTCAGCTTCCACAATCGTATGAGTTTATATATATATATTTCACATGATTTTAACAAACTAAAGTAAAATTCAAAAAAAAAATAATAATAATAAAATCCTTATATATATGTATATTAATTCATGATTCATTTTCTTTTATTTTTTCTCTCTCTTCTTCCAGTTTATCTATTCTGATAATATTACAACACAGATTCAACAATAATGCCATACAAATGGAGAGGAAGGGTTCATGAAACTCCTATGCACGTCTTCTTGCATGCAAAATGAGTGTACGTTTATGCAAGTACAAATACAAACTTATAGCATGCCTAAAGGACCAAAATGAAGCCCAAGATGATTGCAATAGAAATTATAGTGTTCAGGGTACCTGCCACTTCTGAGCATTAGATGCTTAAGAAATCCAGCATGGGAGTGAACATCGTAAGGAGAAAGGCCTAATTTTGGGTCTCTCCAACAGTCTTGAATAGCTGCGAGAACCTATGAATTTGAAATCCAAATCAAAGAGACAGACAGGAAAGAGCAAATTCTTCTGGTATGGATCAGCATACTTCCAGTATCTTTGGATGATTAACAAAGCTGTATATATTACTTAATACAACTGGATAAATTAGATACACTGCAAGCCTCATTGAATAGAACGTAGATCTTAATCCAAATGGCACACTGAGGAAAAATAAAAGATTTCAGAAATCTCGACAAACCAACCAGCTACGCAAGCGTTAAGCACTTGAGCCACTTGCTTTTGTTAGGTTTCCCGCAACTAAAATAAATACAATGATGCCACAGTTGACACTTAAATTGTACTTTACCTAATGAACGATCATGTCAAGAGACCAAGACAAGACTTATATAAACCTAAAGAAATTACCAAAAAAAAATTTTAAGAAATTTGGTTCTTTCATTTTTGACTAACAAAAAAAGATGTTGTGGAGTGTGGTCCAGACTACAAATTCATATTAATCCAGATGAACTTTTTAAATATGCTAGGAATTTATCATTTACACTTTACCCAGCTGCATCATCGATATAGAATAATTAAACAGATGGACTCGATGCTTACTTTATCCAAATCTAAAAAGAATGTAACTCTAACAATGATGGACAAAAACACTTGAGCTTCAAGCCTCCAAAGTTATGGAAACCAATTAAGAGATATTTAGATAACTTGGTCAAGGCAAGCAGAACCTCATCCACTAACTTTATGGGATATAGGCATGGAAGTATATGTGTCAGCTCTACATTTCAATTCAATTCTGGAAATCCAAAAATGGTCATTTTTTAGTAGTTATGTCTCTGAGAAATAATCCAGTACTTGAACTCATATATGCGTGATGTGTTTAAACTACAATAAGTAGTTTTTAGACATGTTTTCTTTTCATTTAATTTTCTAGGTAGGAAACAAGCTGGGTGAGGTGGTAACCTCGGTAAGCATAAAATCACATAAAACATAAATCAGGAAGTATCTCTACCAAAAAAAAATGTAGTTGATTTTTTGCCCTCAGGAGGTGGGACTGGTTAATCATAAAAACATCTTACAAGTTCCATTATGGTAATTTGAGAACTTATCAAGAACAAGTTTTCAAAAGCCATTTGAAGTTACAAAAGCCTCTACTTGGATTAACCAATTCTATATTAGCAGCATAGAGCTACCAGTGTAGAGCACGGCCATAATCAGATATAATCAAATGCATCATACAGGGGTTACTAATTTCTTTGGTATAAGCTAAGCAAGTATTATCACAGACAAGTGGTTATAGTAGTTGATAAGCAGGTTTTAAGAAAGTATATATGCAGCCTTTAATAATTTGGACATTACATACCACATTGGCAGGCTCACTTTGTAACAAGCATTTGTTCACATTCAGAACTTTGTCAAAGAATCCAGGAGCATGAAGTCCCAATGCATAGCCATTGACATCATTGTTTTTATCTTGTAACAACTCTTTAGGTAGCCATTTCTGAGTACCAAATGAGAATTCCATCTGCAGAGCAAGAAAACAGGTCGATGTGGTCCATTTATTTTTCTTTTATTTGATATAGTGATGAAAGAGTTAATTTGGGTTGAATGATATAACATATGAGGACGACATATAGAAGTACCAACATAATAATGGTGACTTGTGATACTGTACTGATAGAATAAGGCACAAGGTGCTTTTCATAAGGTCATACATCAACCGTAGACCAAATGAAGACCCATTATGTGAATCTTGTAGCATCTATTATTGATTATTACATAATTAGTCCTTGATGGCAGGAGTTGAATACTTCTGCAGAAGATATTACAAAAAAGATCTTCTAATTTTATCTTGAAATCAATTATTCCTTCATTCTTTCTGATAATTGTCGCATGTCATTTTCTAATTTACGGGTCAATATGTTCAATATTTAATTGGTTTTGCCCGCTAAAGTTCCACATATAGATATGTAGTGATTCATAGAGTAATGAATACTCAACAAATGATGACTTTATCAAGAGAAGATTTACAATTTGTCTAATTTCAGATTTGGCAGTCATATTCACATAATATAAATCTCTACTGTTATTTCTGCAGTAAATGAAAGACAAAAACTTAAATATTGATTGATAACATTTCTATTTACTACATTTACAATTATCCTCGACCAACCAATTCACAAAAAAAAAAATACCAATTGATCGATTCTAACAAAATCCTTATCCATTTAGTTTGTAATGGAAAATGAAGTTCATATTTTCCATAAAGAGTGAGATTGGATAAATAACAGAGACTAAGGATTCTTGTGTACTGGTCGAGAAATATACAAAAATAAGACTTCTGCAATTCTCTCATCTTGTTTCTGCCTTAGCAAAAGACTGAGAGGATAAAAAAGAATTTGATGACTGAAGTAGAGGAGATGAACTGGATGTCAAATGTGGGAAAATGATGTGCAAAGAAAGTCTGTGAAAGAAATAACTAATAAAAGTATCAAGATTCAAGTTCTTTATCTTTTCTATAATTTTGAAATGGGGCATGTTACAAATTTAAAAAATTATACATATAAATTTAAAATATAAAAAAAGTGGAGTGGGGGCAGCTGCCCCCACGTGGCTCTGCCACTAAACCACTAGCACTTTTCTTAGTTGCGGAAGAGAGCAAGAGACTTCTACAAGAGTTTCATAGAACACTCAAACCAAATACAACAATGCACAACATGTGTTTAGGCTCTATAATTTACCTTGTTCCTATAATGAAATTGGATGTCGCAGGGAACAATGGGCTTCATGATGCTATCCAGGTCTTCATCAGAAAATTTCCCCACATGTACAGCCAACTCACGGACTTGCTGTTCCTTCGCTCTCACCTGGGCTTCATATAACAGATTCTGCGTTTTACAACCTCCACAATCTGAAGCATATTCACATGGGGCTTCAACAAAGTCCCAATGAGGGGATATTGTCTTCAATTTAGTCACCTGCACATCTTACAAACCATTACATCATTGTAAGGCCTTGAAAATTGGGTTGCCTAAGTCAATTATTCTTTTAATTTGGCTCATCAGTCATAAGCCATCACTTAGCATTTGGTGAAGCAAAGGTGGACAAACAAATAGAAATCCATTTTGTTTGGTAATACTGTAGATTAAGTACTAAAAAATTCAAGTGTTGAAGTTTTAATTGCTAATTGTAAAATAAGAATTTCTTTGCCACTTCAAGTGACAAGCATAGTACTGAAAATTATTTATTGAAAATTTTAATAGCTGAATTTTAAGTTCTAATTATAAATTAAGAAATCTTCAATTCTTTTAGAAATTTTATGTGCTCTACGATGAGTGAAGTCTCCATCACCTAAAGATTTTACATTACTTAAGTAAAAATTATTATTTTAAATGGTATCTCTATTGCATTATAAAATACATTTAGTTAAATAAGTATTGACTCTTTCTTGAATTAAGTACTGAATTGGTTATAGCACTCACCTAAATCAACATTCTCTTTAAGTGCAACATATTTCAAAGGATATCCAAACAATGTTATCAAACGCACTTAATTGGAATATTGGTAATTTGTTCATAATTTTAGCAATGAATTGAGTTATGAGATAAGTAGTGTGACCAAAATACTATGCTATTTGCTTTCAAAAGCAGTACTTCTAATTTCTTTTTTCTTCTATTTTTTTCTCATCAATAAAACAGAAAATTTGAAGAGAAAGGAAAGAAAACCTCAGCGTAACTGCCCTTTTTGCGTGTCACTCGGCCGATGAAGCGTTCACCGGGGAGGGCGCGATCGCACATGAGGACGAACCCAGTATCGGCCACTTTACACACTCCCTTCCCTTTGAAAGCTAGGGTTTCGCATTCAAGCTCTAATGTCTGACCTTTCTTCGGGAAATACGATTGACTCTTGTTAGCATTCTTGGTGGGTTTATTGTCATCGTTCAATTGATCCTCTTCTGAAACTTCAATCGGAGAAGAAGAGGAGGATGAGAGAGACGCTACAGAGCAAAAGGAATGTGATGTTGATGATGGAGTTGTTGTACGGAAGTTGTGAAGCCATGGATAAGAGTTTAGGCGCCGAAGGCCTACGCTAGGCATGGTCACCATTTTTTTTTTGGTTACGACTGCAAAAATGGAGGCAAAGGGGGGTTACGTTTGTTTTTGGTTGAGGATATAGGGTACTCCAGTAATTACGATAACTTCTAGAGGTTATTTTGGGTCGTGCAGGATTGCAGGGTATCTCGGTCGGATCTTGGACCTAAGACCTAAGAGCTAAGTCAGGCAAATTAAACGTGTCGGATTATTATTATTTTTTCTTTTCTTTTTTTTTCTTTTCTAAATTATCAGAATTTAACCAAATACCTGTTGGTTGTTTATAAATTTTTATTCGTAATTAAATTTTTTTAAATGCATAAGTTAATGTTTTCAAATCAAAATATAAGGCATCATTATTTGTTTGTTTCTTCTTCTTTTTTATAAAAAATTGTTACCATCTTATATAGCTAATTCAACTCTAATGTTTTTTTTAATTGAGTAAGAATGAATTTTGATTATAATTTATATTGAACTTTTTCAACTAAAATTTTAACTAATTATAAAATTTTAACTTAAATATAAATAAAATTTAAAATAAAGATTAAAAATTATAACTTAAAATATAAATAAAATTTAAAATAAAGATTAATAATTATAACAAATAGTGATGTTAACCCTAATAAACATTTCTACTAATTAAGTAGTGTACCAATGCACAGGCAAACGCCCCCACTCGCTGCCAAGAAATTTTTTTTCTTTTTCTTTTTTTTTTTTAGGGAATATTAATCCTCCTCTTCACTTGAATGTGTGTTTTTTAACAATTATAAAAAATAAAAATAAATAAATAAAACTTGGAATCTAAAATCTTCTGCCTTCAATAGGGTTCGGGTTGTCCAACCAGTCGGGTTGCACATCCATAGTCAGTTGGATCCTTAAATAACGTCCCCAAAACCCTAACCCTAGCTCCACAGTCTACGCTCAACACTCTCCTGTCATCGTCGGAGCCAAGCAGAGAAGAGAAAACCAGACCACTTACGCATAATCCACCATGGGTGAGCTGAGCTCGTTGTTTCCCATATTCTATTATCTCGCTTACATCTAATCATAAAATTTATAATTTTGTGCATTTCGCTTATTTTGATACAAATCTCTTGTTCGAATGACTTCGTTAATTGGGCAAGTTTCGCTTATATTGAATCTAACTCTCTAGTTGACTGACTCCATTAATTGGGCGTCTCTGTGTGTGTTTGTGTGTGCAGGTAAGGTTCATGGATCGCTGGCACGTGCCGGGAAGGTGAGGGGCCAAACGCCGAAAGTGGCGAAGCAAGACAAGAAGAAGAAACCCAGAGGTCGCGCCCACAAGCGCATGCAGTACAATCGCCGTTTCGTCACCGCCGGTACGTCCCTCTCTCCTCTCTCTCTATTACCCCCCGGATCCCCTCCTTTGTTTGGCAACACACCTACATCGCAGTGCGACACACTTATATCACAATGCAACACATCTAGATCACTCACACAACAACTTTAGAAAAGTTATGCAACACATTACATTGAAGATGCAACATATTATATCGGGTTACAACGTTAGAACACCATTAAATCTAGGGTTTAACACATTTACGTAGTTGTTGCATTCAGCACATGAAAAGGCACACGGACATTTTGGTTCCTCTCTATTAATTATTGTAAAGCTTATAGATCATAATCAGAATTAGTATTCGAAAATATGTAGTTGTGTGAATAATAGACCATGACTTGTTTGGGAATTGAAAAGATATATCCATACTGAATTTTTGTTTTATCTAATTTTTGTTTACAGTTGTTGGTTTTGGGAAGAAGAGAGGACCCAACTCGTCGGAGAAGTAAGCTTCAAATGTTAAGGTAGTTGTTATTTGAAGAGTCATGTGGTTGCTTTAGTTCAGAAATTGCATACTGGCATGTCTTGATTTAAGAACTATTATGAGGTTTTGGAGATTTTGTTTAGTTATTTGATGTTATGAACTATTAACTGATATGAGATCATAACTTGTTATCATTCTGCATGGGAAGAATAAATGTGATGATGGTCCAATTGTCATAAATTTATTGGCTTTGTGTAGATATAATTGAAATTGGGTTACAAATGGGGGGTTTTTACACCGTAGCTATTTCATTAGTTTGAAAGGCATTATCTTGTATATGTCTTGTCTACACAGTTGCACGAAGTGCTGGAAGGCAAAAGTATTGAACAGACAAACCCAACTTTGCATTATTTTTGCACAAAGTGATTGCTCTTGAAATTGAACTCGAACTCGCATCCCTTGTGCTCCTTCAACTGAAGGAAACAAACTAGAACTGGGCATATCATTTGCGAAGCAGTTTTTGTGCTGAAGCAAGTTGCTGATATCCTGTTTTGGGCTGTATGTTAAATTGGTACTTGAAATTAGTCGTATGATGGGTTTAGTATTTTTGCCAATACCTAGTGAGAATAGGGGCTTCCTTTGAGTTGTACAGAGCCAAGGTCTAATTTTGTACAGAATTAGCCGAACAGGGGCTTCATTTGTGCCAAGACCTAAGGAGAATATGCTCTTTATTTTTTTATTTTATTTTTTTTCGATTTTAAAGTTTAAGCAAACGAACATCACTCACAGGATTATCTTAGCTCACAATATTGTCTTTAGCTTGAAAGCCTTGAATACTTAATTTCCCTTTGAAAATGAGATATCATACCATATAATAATATGGTCTCAACTTGTATTTAAAATTTAGGGTTAATTACAATAACACCCCTTGAGGTTTGCCATACTAACAGTCATGTACAAGTTGGGCTTATTTTGAACAATGACACCCTCACATTTGATAAAGTTAACAAAAACACCCCAATAGTCAGCTAGATATGACACATAGTGAAATGACTTTATTACCTTTTGACTTAGTAGTTACCCTATTTAAATAATATAATTACATTTTTAACCTTCACACCCACCGTTCCAGGGCACCACCACCACCACCCACCACCACCACTCCACAGCTCATATTAAGAGGGAATGAACACACGGATATATATATGTATATATATATATATATATTACAACAATAAAAATCATGTAATTGGTGCATGTGTTTATGTATATATTATGTTGATAGTATGTATCTGTTTATGATTCCAATAGGGGTGTTTAGAAAAGTAAAGGTGAACTAATTACAATCCGGGTGTTGAAGGATTGATTTAGACCAGGAAAGTTGAAAATTCGGTTTGTGATTGTAATTGGGGTGTTGAAGGATTGATTTAGAAAAGGAAAGTTGAACAATTGGGTGTGTTTGTGTGTAATATATGTATTGATGTGTATATAGAGAGAGAGATAATCATGATTTTCTATATATATTGATAATATAAAATCTCTCACATAAATTCTTTTTTTTTCTAAATAAATTCCTTTTTTAACTTTCATTTTCTCCTAAAAAATTCCTTACAACACCGATTGCTAACACACATACATAAAGAATCCATACACAAATATACATACACAATGAAGGGCTGATAATAATCAATTAAGAATCTTGAAACACCGGGAAAGCACCGTTGACCCAAGTTTCAAGAAACAGAGGAGCAAAGAGAACAAATAGAGAAGCAACCCTCCGCCGTGGTCCACGAAGCCACAAATCAATCTAATTCCTTCACAAAATTCTACAAACCCTAGTCCAATGCAACTTCCATCGTCGCGATCCACTTCCTTCTCATACCACCCATAGCACAGATCAACCATGGTGGTGTTGAAGAGATGCAGGTTTCATTTTTGCAAAACTTAGAGAGAGAGAGAACGGATGGATACGTCGTGTTTGGGAAAGAAAGAATGAATATCCAATATGGTAAGCTTCACGGAAGGGCAAAAATGACTTTTCATGAGTTTTGATTTTTCACAATGAAAATGAATAAAATATTTATAGGGAATTTCGTCCTTTTAAACATTTTAAGGGCTGTTTGGATCCAAATTCTGACAGGGGGTCTCATTGTTCAAAAAACGCCTAATTTGTATATGACTGACATTATGACAAACCTCAGGGGATGTCATGTCTTAATTGGCTAGTTGTAAATAGCCCCAGAGCTATGGAACAAAGGATTATCCCGGACCTACACCGAGGTATTGACGGCGATTTTCAAATATCGCGCGAGCTGTTTGATAGTTGCTTCTTTCGGGGCGACGAAAGGCTAAATTTAGGAAACAGCCAGAAACTCGAGAGGGTAGCCTTTGCCTAAAATTTATATGTGGCCTTAGGCCCAAAAGAAAAACAAAGCAAAGCCCAAGCTTGGAACAAGCCTATGGAACATCAGTCATGGGGTCTTTTTACTTCCTCTGCGGTATGGCCCAGACTCCAGATTGTAAAAATGGTCACCAAGAACGGGTTCTTAACCTTAAGGTAAAGTATGAATGATTCTGTTAAAGCAAAGCCCAAGCTTGGAACAAGCCTATGGAACATCATTCATGGGGTCTTTTTACTTCCTCTGCGGTATGGCCCACACTCCAGATTGTAAAAATGGTCACCAAGAACGGGTTCTTAACCTTAAGGTACACTATGAATGATTCTGTTCCGTTTGGTAGGATGAAAATAAGAGATGAATAAGAGATTGTGTCATCTTCTTCCTTTTGTTTGGTTTGGTTGGATGGAAAAAAAAAGAATAAGATAATATCTTATTTTATTTGTTACGAGAGAAGAGGAGAAAAGAGAGATTTTTAATTATAAAAAAAGTTTTTTAATTAAAAAAATTCTATAGTAGCCTCTTTTTTTTTTTTTTTTTTTTTTTTAGGAATGATTACTTATCCATCATTTTTTCTCTTCTCTCCATATCTCCTCTCTATCAAACCAAAAAAAGTTGTTTCTTTCTTCTCTCTCTTCCGGGACATGTTAACAAATCGTTGAATAAAATTGAAACATCTAGATTGGTGATTGACTAGAACTATAAAAATTTCTCAAAATTTTGTCTTGTAGTATTAATACTTTTCTTGGTATTAGTAAATAAAGAAGTGTGATAAACCTATGTATTAAACTTTATATGTTGTCCTTAACAATAAATGAAAGTGTTGGGGCTTAAATTATGTTTGGAAGCATGAAATCCACGCATTAGAATTTGAATTAACATAAATTTAGTTTTGAAACTCAACGTCAGAGTAAAGTTCGGAGTAAAGTTGAGTACAGACTACTTACAAAATAAATAAATAAATAGGCTGAGTAGGGACCAACTCGACAAATGGTCTCCTCCGCCTAATTATGCTGAACAGTTGTGTGATAAGATGACTGGCACTAGCAGTTAATCAAAGTGAAACCAATGATTAAGAAAGCAAATATGCAATTATTGGTGTGATGTCAAACAAAATGCAGATTAAAAGTGATTAACAGAATGTGGTGTCGATTCTTCCCCCTCTAGCTTTAAAATAACGTTGAAACATTGCCCCAACCAACGCAACACGTGGTGATGAACTCACACACAAGGGCAAAATTTTCGTGTGTGTATATTTTATGTTCATTATTTTTTCGATTTTGGTTTCGTAATTAAACATATCGTAAATTAAAGCAGCAATTTTCTACACAATTTTGTCTCTATTTGGTTTCCCCTCCATTTTAGGAGATTTATTCCAAAGCATTTCATAGATGACTCTTTTGTCTTTAATCTGTTTTTTATTAAATAAAAAATAAAATAAAATAAATCATTTGACAGCCAATTTTAGAAATTAAGAATCAAGTTTTTAAAATAATTCCGCAACAAAGAGGCACTTTTTGTCGTCATATCATGTCTAATCTAATAAAGGACTGAAGAGCATTCACTAACTATTTTTAAAAAAAAAAATTTGTATAAAATTTGTGAAAAAAAAAAAACTTGTATTAATACACACAATAACGGTTGTTCAAGAATTGACTCTTCAAAATTTATGAAATTTTTTTTGCTGGTTATATAACATATTGTGCCTGGATTAATAGTGTGTATATACACATAAAAGTAACATAAAGTTTTATTGTTTTGCATGTATTGTATTGTCCAAATAATTAAATTGTTCCTCGTGTATGAAGTCCCTGTTGGAGTTTTGCATTCTCTCCTTCTCCTCTAACAACTATTACGTAATTACTAACCCTAACATTTTTGCGCCCCCCCCTCTAAAAAAATATCTTGTGGGTCTTTTAGTTGTAACATTCAGACACAGAATTATCTCGTACCAATAAAGTCAACCTATATTCCTTTTTTTGTGGTAATTAATTTGTATTTAAGATTAGTAGTAACAACTGATTAACAATTTTTCTGCAATGTGAAGACATTCTTTTCATTTTTATCATAATTTTTGAGACGTAGAAAAGCACAAAAACATCATGCCAAATAGAAAAAAGACAATGATTGTTGTGACATGTAATGATTTTGGGTTTATTTGAAATGGGATATTCACAATTTATTCTTATAAAGTATTTATGATACGATTTTGTCTGTCTTTTATTATTTTTATTGTATATATTTTAGGTTGGTGGGATGAAATAATAAAAGGACCTAACAAAAATAGTTACGATGCTAGACATAAAATTTAAGGAAAAAAATGAAATAAGAAAATTCATCTCACGAATTCATTTGGTTGGTTTAAGGTAAGATGATTACGATGAATGTTTGAGGCCCATTTTTAAAATCACTTTCCTCAAAAATTTTAAAGTATCTCATAAGTGGCTTTTAAACTAATAAACTAATTTTGAAAGTTGTCGCATAGATAAGTTTTTCAGATAACAATTTTATATTTTTAGAAGATCGAAAAAAATAAAATAAAATAAATGTTTTCTCGACAGTTTTTTGAAATTATTTTGTGAAAAAACAAATATTTTTTAAAAAAATTTCTAGAAAGATCTTCTGTAATTTGTTGAAAACCATATTAAATTTTAAGAGATTTAAAAAACAGTTTTCGTATAACTAACCAAAGACATAACAAAAAATGAAGCAGTCTAATACCTTATATTTGTTTTAAGGAACACACAATTTAATAAATTGCCACAAAAAAAAAAAAAGAAAAAAAAAAAAGAAACCTTATAATTTATTAAAGTATATGAGTTGGTGGGACTCAAACAACTAAAGCATTTCTAGTTTAATCTTTTATGTACAAGTTGAGCGCATCTGACTTGCAAGTAAGTATGCCTAAGAAAAAATATGACTAAAATCAGATTATAGAAAAAACCATTTCTTTCCTGGTAGGTTTGAAAATAATTATTTCAATGCTACCTTTCGGGGTAAATCTATTGCTCTTCCGATAGTACCCCCAACCAAAATTTTCTTAATTTTCTTTTTGAAATGCCTCCAGAGATTAAAACAATAATAATAATAATAATAATAATAATTGAAGGGAGAGAGAGAGAGAAGGGAGAGAGAGAGAGAAGGATTCCCCCCGGGGGGAAGACAGTACTCATCCTCTTTTAATAATCTATATAATGTCAGGTGCAACTTGGGTTGGGCAACCCTAACCCAACCCGAGCCCAGCCTGATTTTTTTGTAAATTTAAACAATTATTTTTATAATTAAGGTTAGACTTGAGTTGAAAATTTTCAACCCAATTAATTAGGGTTGGGTTTGAATTGAAGTGTTAGAACTCGAACCAACCTGAACTCGAATTATAATATTATTTTCATATATATTTTTACTTTAAAATACATTAAATATAATATTTAAACTATGATTACCTTTTTTTTTCTTTTTAACTTCCGTTGTTAAATCTTTAACTTAGTATATGTTAACATTTAGGAAAATTAATTTTCTATGAATTTGTTTGTAATTTATTAAAAATTTACAAAAAGTTATTAAAATTTTTCTTGTTTAAGAGTTATTTAATCTATTAAATTTTCGGTGTGAATATTAGCCATATGAGCAATCTGAATTAACACGAAATTTTAACCCTGAATCTAAGGCCGAGTTGCAAGCTCGAATTTAAAGATAGAAGGACGAGTTAGGCTCGGATTGAATAGTTAGGGTTGAACTTGGATTTAACATTTCATATGCTGGATTGGACTTAAATTATATCTCAAACTCACCCAACCTGCTCGAGTTGCAGCCCTACACAAGGGGATGACAAGTTTTACCAAGTGTTGTGGTTGTGTCAAACACAAAAGGATACGTTTAACAATATTAGAATTGACATCACAAAACTAAGAATAAGAAGATAACGTGGAATGAGGGAAATTGTTACATGATTAATCACTATATGACACATTAGCCAAAAAAAAGTTGAATAAAGCTTGCATATCTCTGACGCATTCATTGATGTTTCACTTGGTGATCGCCCTAGGACCAATAGTTCCGAGGCTATGTAATAATTTTCTCATGAAATGATCTGAGTCGTTATTTAGGTATAACAAATCTTCAGTTGTACAAGTACCACACAATTCTAACAAATCCCATACTTTGCACAAAGTACAACACAAATCCAACATACTCAAGCCTTTGCATGCGCTCACAATGTGTGAGTTGGGATGGCATCAGAAAAATAAGAATCAATTACTGCATTCGTCCCATATTATTTGTCCATTTTAGGAAGTATAATTTTCACTTTGCACATGGTATAACACAAATCCAACAACAGATTCAAGCCTTTGCCCGTGCCCACCGTGTGTGAGTTAGAATGACATCAGAAAAATAAATATCAAATACTCCACCCATCCCATATTAATTATCCATTTTAAGGAATATAATTTTTTAAGAGGACATACAATTATTTCATTGCTCACTTTTAAAATTATCAAGTTGTTCTTTTAAGTTTAAATATGTGTATTATTAAACTAAAAGATTGTGTAAAAATTAAAGTGTAATTATGAAAAATAGCAAAATGGGACAACTAATTTGAATTTTGGAACATCCCTAAAAAGACTTAGGTGCGCTGGGACAGAGATAACAACCATTAAAGTGTCATAATAATTAAAATTACAATAAATTAGAAAGTGTACAAGTTTGATGAGCATTATAAAACCCCATTATACTTTGATATGCATGGTTAAAATTGTCTTTTCAAATAGGAGTGACAAAATCAGTAAGACAGAAGACTTCGAAGTCTTCAATGAACAATCATACATTGGAGTCGAAGTCCAGACAAAATCCTCACATCATCGCCCTGGAATTCTCTCTATTCCGGCATTTTGCCAACACTCGCAATACCACCTCTCTCTCTCTCTCTCTTCCCAATTTTATGGACTTCTCTCTGTCTCCTCTGCCTGTCTCTCTCTCTTCAATACTTCATTTTCATCTAAGCAAACATCCCATGAATATAGAAACCAAAGAAGGAAAAACCCATTGAAAACCTCTTCCATCAGACATCGTTTTCACGTTGGCCAATCGGTGGCGTAATTTTAGTACCAAAACAGAAGTGTGAAACGATTGAGTTTGTTTCTTAAACGTCTTCGATTCTTCATAAATTTCTCCTTAAATCACACCTATATATATATATATATATATATATATATATATTCCATAAGCTCACGTGCTAACATCGAGCAATCTCCAGCCTTGCCTTTACTTTTCTCTTTTCTCTCTCACAATGTTCCCTGTTGCTCCCACTCTTTCCCTAGAAAATCAGCCGGAAAATCACTATTTGAGTGAGAACTTTCCTGTTTGGGATTTAAACTCTTGACCAAATCTTTATACTCAGCAAATCTTCAGACGGTAAGCAACAGACCCACCTCAACCTTTGTGGGTTTTTATGATTTGGGTGAAATTTATTTTCCAAAAAAGAAATTTGTTTTGATTGATTTTCCTATTTGGTTAGAACTAAAAGTGAACTAAACCCCCCATAGTTGAAGTGATACTAATCTCTGTGATACTGAAACATCTTTCTGGTGTTGAAGAAACCCTTGTAAGCAAGTGACACCCTTCTCAGATATCAGTTCATCAATAGTAGAAACAGAGTGTTTGTCTTTGGGAATTCCATACTCAAGTGAATCTGCGAAGAAAAGGTCATTGTTGGGTTTGGAATTCCTGAATAGGCAACACCCAGATTGAACTGGATTGAAAATTGAGGTAAATATGCAATCAAGGGTGGTGACATTGGAGGAGGGTGGCAAGGACCCTGCTACTTTTCTTAGAACAAACCAATCTAGGGTTTTGCCAGTACGAATCCTTCAGTTTCTCTTGCTGTTTTTGGGTGTGGGGATTGTGTTTTCATTTTTTAGTATGTATATGATCCGGTATTTCGGAGTACAGAATGCTATAACATTAGTACAGTCCAGAGTCCATCCATGTTTTGAAGAGCCAAATATCTTGGAAAGGTGGATTAGGCCTCCATCAAATCTATTGCATACTATGAATGACACCCAGCTGTTTTGGCGGGCTTCGTTTATTCCTCGAATCAAAGACTACCCATTTAAGAGAACTCCCAAAATTGCCTTCATGTTTTTGTCTAGGGGACCATTGCCACTGGCACCTCTTTGGGAGAGGTTCTTCAAGGGGCATGAGGGTCTTTATTCGATCTATGTTCATTCGCTGCCATCTTATAATGCAAGCTACGGACCTTCGTCGGTTTTTTATAGGAGGCAAATCCCAAGTCAGGTATGAGTTGCCACCATCCTTCCTTCGTATATATAAAAAATGTAGTCCAATGTTCTACAAGAAGATTTTTATTGTTTATATATGCAATTTTAGTATTTTACTGACCTTCCGTGTTGAATATATTTAATAATTGATGGTTGGAGTTAGTATGCTTTTATATGTTATTGATGACAAATCCATGACACCTCTTCTTTTTTCTTTCAACTCTTGTTTAGATAATTTTCTCTAATTTTTTTTAGACTAGTCCCTAATCTGTAAATACATAGTAGATATGTTTTTGTTCATTATGAGTCCTTTCTAGACGATTAAAAATGAGTTATCATCATGATGAATGCAGGTTGTGTGCCAAATGTTAGGTGAAATATTAAAATACTCATAAAAGGGTACTTGTCTGCCTGAATCTATTATAAGATTGACTTGAGCTAAATGTTAACATACTTATGCTAAAACACATTTCTTTGTGTCTTAGATGTTATTTTTCCAATCACTTCCATTCTAAAAGAATATCAACTAGAAGGATGCCATATGAATAAAAATGGTCATCCTAGGTGAATTCAGTTTCGCCTTTAGTTTATTTAGTCGAGAAACTATCACATTGTTCAGCTATCCCTTTCATCTTTAAAAACTACTCATGAATTTTCTTTTCCCTTTTTCTTTTTCATCAATCAAAATGGGTTGTGGAGCATCTAATTGAACTTCTGCTATTACTTCTTTTATGAAACTTTCTCCATTTTGGATTTGTTGATTGTTTATCATTAGTTGGCACCCTGCACCACCTGCTGTTAAGGGTATTCTGTCCGTTAGTGATAATGATTGGTCATATTCATTATGGTTATCCTCCATTTCCGTGTGATAAAGATTCAGATAGTAGGGCTTTTCTATGTCGTATAACCATAGCAGTTTTCCTTAGGATAGTGTACCAGGCTTTTGGTGAAGATCCAACAGCAGTCCAAAGGTCAACCTTTAGACACCAATCAATAGTTGAGTACACTTTAGTGATATTTGAAATCATTAAGTACCCCAATTGTGTCCAATCGAAACAATGAAGCCTTTTGCCATTACTTCTATTGATCATTAAATATTGGAGAACTTTTAGTCTTTGAGCCAATTCGCTCTAGTTCCTTTCATTTACTAATATAGATGAGAACAGTTTGAAAGAATTTCTAAATTATCACTTATAACACGCCCTTAGAAACTATATTACTCTTGGATTAGGATCTTTTAGAATTAAAATCTTTTTAAAGTGGGAATTCAACACAAATTGCCATCAAACACAAAATAGTGCCTAACATAAAATGTTTTATGATTTCATTTCTTCACATATTTATGTCAAGCAAAATCATTTTAATTATTATCAATCTACATTTCAGAATAAGTATGTTAGTGGTGTGGAAGTTGCGTAGCAAGCATGTAGTAATTCTAGATCCAAAAGAGGAGGAGCCTAGCCATTGGGAATTAGGCAACAACTAATATTGGTGTTCAAATGTGTGTGCTTGCATCTATTGAATTTGGATTAAATAGCTTATACTTGCTTGGTGCATTTGTAAAATACTAAAATGATAGCGGGTTCAAATCTAAGAGTAGCCACTCTGTGCAAATAGTGACAAAGGTTAGTTTTGTATCCAGTCCATCCTCTTAGCACCTTTGATTAACGGGCACCACACTAGGTGATGACCCTTATGCTATGTACATTTGTACTTCGAGACAACTGTTGGTTCTTGTGGGTGAGTGAGCAGTGGAATTATAACACATAAGCCAACAAGGGTCCCCACTGTACTGTGCATTAGGTGGCAATTGAGGTTGACTTATGAGACAGAAGAGAGCTGCAGTAGCAAGGTCACTACAGACTTCACTAGATCAAGGAAAGCCATACACTTTAGGACTAGCTATTTATCTGGAGAGATCGGGCTTATTTAGGTGTTCTTGAGGCCCATTATCAGATGCCAAGAGGTTATTTCCCATGTTTTGATGTCTCTACTAAGCCTGATTTAAAGATCTATATGTAGTGCATGGTTGAGGGCAAGGCACCCAGATGACTCTCATACCAATAAATTATCTAACGGGGTTGTGGACATGTTCCTACGTGATTCAATAGGATGCTCACGTGAAGTTGTATTTGGCGGAAGGTGGGGGGTTGTAATTCAGCGATAGAGGTGAAGTTGCAATGGTAGGGAAGTGCCAGGTCAGCCAATCCTTCTTGTCAAAATGCTATCTAGGTCCTATAGGTGCCTTCAAGTGTCAATAGGTGGGTGCCATGGGATAATGCATATAATAGGTTTTGCCTGATTGGATGTTGCCATGTCATGAGGACATATATATCATTCTGCCGTCAAGCAGCGTCTCTCTCTTTAAGACAGGTTCGAGGATTAGACCTCATAGGAGAAAACATTGCTGAACATTTGATGATGCCTTGGTTTATTAGCGTAAGTAATTTATGTTTTAGAATATATAACTATTTCTAGAATAACGCAATTGCTGTTCAATTCTACATTTCAGTTTTTTAAGACTCCTTGTTGATTTTAGCTGAGATCCTGAACTGAAAACCTTGGAGTGAACTGTTGCCATAGAATATGTCCTGGTGGGTGAAGTAACATACCTTTAATTGAAGAGGGAATTTTATGAGATGCTATAAAACTGGCCATTCTTTATTGTAGAAAAGTCTAGCTGAAATATGTAGGTAGTACGAAGCTAGTACTTCTTCATCTTTCTAGTGCATTCAAGGATTCACTTTACTTTACTTTGAACATTTGAAGGCAATTAGACATGACAGCTTATTACTTGAACTATGAGTATTTCAAACTCATTAATGAAAGCATGGATTAGTTTATAGTTTCAATCACTTAAATGAAGGGATTACATTGACAAAATTGAACATAGAGCTTTTTGTTGGTGCCTCTCTCTCTCTCTCTCACACACACTCATGCGATTATATGATATTTGTAATGGATGTTGTCAGTTAATGCTTAATCCTGGTTTATTTTATTTTAGTTTTTCCTTACATTGTATGTTGGATGATTCTTATATACCTTCCTGTTCTGTTTATTTTTAGTTTATCCTTAGTCCCTTACATAGTTTGTATGTTGAATGATTCTTATATACCAGGGTACTAGCTTCTTAGATGCAGTTGGATGTTTTGCCTGCTATTGAGAAACAATTGAATTGAGGTAGTGGAAATAAAAGATGGCAAGACAACTAGTGAGTGAAATAAAAATTAATGCATTCATAGGGACTTGAAGGTAGCAACATTGAGTGATACAAAACAAAATTACGTGAGCTGGTTTGGTCATTTTTATAGAGGGCAGGACTGCTTCAGTAACAAATGATATGGTTTTAGTTTCAGTTACAAAAGTCAAGTGGTACGGCAAGAGAAACTATAAAAAGACCCAATGGCACATTGTTTTATATAAAATATGGCCTTACATGGAATGTTGGAATAAAGTACCCGTATTCAACCCCAACTATCTGGGTTTGAGGGAAAGGGTTTATGTTTTATTGTACCAGAAGTGGGGTACTCCATAAAACCGGACCACATGGTTCGAAAACACGGACAGTGTAATAGACTCGGGGTTGTATTGGGCATAGAGTAACGAAGTTGATTATGGCGGTCATGAAATTTTCTCGACCTTGCTCATCATTAGATGTGCTAACTCGACCGATTCCCTATGGACTCAGATGAGACTTGGCCGATTCTCTAAGGACTCAGATGAGACTCGGCTGATTCCATTTCTCACCAGTATATCCGTGAGTATTAGAATCGGACTCAACCGAGGCACAGAAGAGTACATTGTTTAATATAGCCGTAGAATTCTTACTCTGTTGAAGTTTGTTGGTTAAAGATGGAATATCCAGGTACTTTTGAGATTATTTGAAAGAATTCTGATCCTATGTTTTGAGAAACCGTATTGCTTTCTGATTAAAACTAAAAACGAAACGATACAATAAAGGTAATTGTAACTTCTTACGTTATAAACTTAGTCAAGGTTTCATTAAAGTATGACATCTAATTGGCCGAAAAACTGTACTAGTAGCGAAGAGCAGTATGGTCCATGTTAGGGGATGCTCATTGAAACAAAAACTAGACATGGTAGTGTGCAGCTGTGTTACATTGACTTTTCTATGCACCTAGTAAGTATGCCGGATAGTTCCCAAGTTATATAATTGTAGATACTACTGTCTTCCTATGTTTTCTATTCGTTGTATTATTGGTTCAGAGCTTACATTGAATATTGTATTATATGAAAATATTTATGAATATTTAATTGTCTTCTTGTGTCCTTGGGTTTTATGGTTTAACTGAACTTAAGGTACTAGACAGGAAATTTACAAAACAGGATCATATTGTGAAGTCCAAATAGCTTGGATAAGGCTTTATTAAGTTGAGTATCTAATTGGTCAAAAATCGTACATTTTATGAACACATCCTAAATGTTTCAAGTTGTGGAAGAAGTTGGAGAAGTATTGACATGCTTGTATCATCATGCAAAAATTTTACAAATGCAAATGTCAGCCTGTCGATGACGATGAATTATAACTGTCAAAGTTGTTGCAGCAAAATGTTATGTGCTACGTGAATTTATCAAACTAGATTGGTTCTCATATAATAGTTTTCCTGAGCACTAAATTTTGCCACTTTTCAGATTTTTTTTTTCTTGCTTTTTAATAACGGAGGGTGTCTCCACTTTTCAGATTTCATAAATTGTCATCTTCAGTTTTTCCTTTGAAATTGCATTTTATATTTGTCATATCAGTTACTTTATTGCTTTGCATCACGTGCTTCTTATTTATGCGCAACGCAAGGAACATAAGGAATGTTGAAACAGGACTTTTGAAGCCAGCCATATCATTCAGAGAAAGCTTAATATATATATATATATATATATATATATATATTGGTAAATAAGAGAAAGCTTAATATTGTTGTATAATAATATATCTTATCCATAAATAATAGGTTACTGTTCTGGCAGCTAAAACCAGACAAAAAGGGTAGAGTCTGATGTTAAATCCAGATCACTGTCCATTCTTGCCTCTGTTGCTTCAGGCTTGGATGTCTCATGTCTGAGAGCCAAGCTTATGATATGGACTTGTGGGCATATGGTGGGTTCGATTACATGCTATACTAGAGATTCAATACATGGTGTTATCCCAATTTCCGAGCATCTCAATTGGTGTGATAATACCTATTCTGCAGGGACATTTTGTGAAGATTGTCTGGATAATGAGACATTTAGTCAGTCAATGATATTCTTAGTACTGTTCAAATATTAGAGTTTCTTTTTAATTCAAATATCTTTTGTTTTAGTTTTTCTTGTTTGATCTTGAGCCGGTACCTTCAGATGATTTGTCAATAGGTAGCAAAATGTAGTTGGTTTTGCAGATTGTAATGATTGACTGGCTAACTTTTTCAGGTTTCCCGACAGTCCCTTCTGCTGTCTTTTATCTGCATCATCTAAGTTGGATAGTGTTCTTATTCTTGTGATGTTTCTGTGTAGGTGGCAGAGTGGGGAATGATGAGTATGTGTGATGCTGAGAGAAGACTCCTAGCTAATGCGTTGCTTGATATCTCCAATGAATGGTTCATTCTCCTGTCTGAGGCTTGCATTCCTCTTCAGAACTTTAGTATTGTTTATCGTTACATATCGAGATCCCGATACAGCTTTTTGGGTGCATTTGATGAAAATGGACCTAACGGAAGAGGACGCTATAACGGTAACATGGCACCTGTGGTCAACATCACCAACTGGCGTAAAGGGTCCCAATGGTTTGAAGTTAATCGTAAACTGGCTGTTGACATCGTTGAAGACAACGTTTTCTACCCCAAGTTTCAAAAGTTCTGCCGGCCATCTTGTTACGTGGACGAACACTATTTCCCAACCATGCTGAGCATCTTATTTCCTCAACTCTTGGCAAACAGGACCCTCACTTGGGTAGACTGGTCTAGGGGTGGTGCTCACCCTGCTACATTTGGGAAGGCTGACATTACAAAGCAATTTTTCAAGAAAATTCTTGAAGGCGAAACATGCATGTACAATAACCAACCATCGTCAGTTTGCTATCTTTTTGCGAGGAAGTTCGCTCCAAGTGCTTTGGGTCCACTATTAGAATTGGCATCAGAAGTTTTCGGTTTTTGATGGGAGATCACCTACTGATTTACATTGTCTTGAATAGTGTCTAGGGAAGAATGAGTTTGGTTATGAAGCAATCGTCTTCTAGGTATGTTAATCTGGTTGTTCTTGTGCTTAATTCTTCATATACTTGAGCATATTAGGTTGCCTTGGTTCAGCATCTTAGACAGGTTATAGGTTCACACTTTTTGAGTCTTGAATAGAATAGTATTCTATCTTATTAAATGAAACTTCTCCATCACCCTTATTTGAGCTCATCTCTCTCTCTCACTATCTCTCTCATCTGGATTTTAGTTTTTATTAATTCTATTTAATTTCGGGTATATTTCGCGGTTCACCTTAGTTCAATGAACAGTGGAAACATGAAGTATTAAGCCACTTCATTTTTTTTTTTTTTTTTTTTTGAGTGTTGAATCGTAATAAATATTCATGTAACATGACATTTGTGGAGGTGATCGTTCTTCCTTTGAAATTTCAGAAGAGTTTCTGGGCTTTAGTGGCATGCCTAAACATACAAACCTGTTTCTGTCTCGACAGGGTTAGTAATATATATGTTTACACCTGTCCAAGTTCGTCCTTTTTGCCAATATACGTGCATATGTATCCAAATATCTTGAGATTACATGTGGGTCTGATTATTTGAAAGTATTGTCCAGTGGGCCCAAGAGAATCGTTATATTACACATTTGAAAGTAGCTGAGATAATTATACTAGTTATATCATGTTTAAAAGTTTCAATATATATATATATTTTTTTTAGTACTGAAAATCAATGATTTATTTAAAATATTTAAAGTAACCAATATGAAATTTTCCCGAATTGTTATGACCTTGATAACAAACAACCCTTCTTCCATTGGCATAGTTGGTTATCATCATCATAAATGGAGTATTCACAGTCTGATTAGATATAATTCTTATAAAATTATAATAGTATATTTTGATACATGAAATCGAACTGAATCAAGCCGTGCATGGACCTAAAATCATAATCATAAGTTAAGGGTTGATAATTTTGAACTGAAACCGAAATATAAACTAACCAAATTAAAACACGTGCCAATTTCAATGATTTGTGTGCACCATTAATTAATGTAATTGAAAGTAATGTGTAGACTCCTAGACTACAACTTTTTATTTTATTTTCACGGGTAGAGTACAACTTTAACCTTGACATTGTTTGTGCAAGGTATCTTTTAGGTTCACTCACACTGCTTTCTAAAGACACGGCTTTTACTTGTATATGGAGCAAAGGTCGCTGTCCAAAACTGGCTATGGACTTTCCCGTGGGCTGCTATATTGGACTTTCCCGTGGGCTACAAATAAATTATGATAATTATATAATATTCTTATTCTCAAACATTATTATTGCTTAATAGATGAGACTTACTTAGAGCATCTTCAACGTCCTTTTAAAATCAAAATATAGCATGTAAATAAAAATAATACATTTTAATGGACTCTCAAAAGACCTCTCATATTTTGAGATTGTTAAAAGTATTACCATATATAGCAAGTCTCAAAAAATTTTGAGAGGTTCCCTTTTTTATTTATTTATTTATTTATTTTCATATGATGCCGTTTCTCAAAATATAGCAGGTGTATAAAAATAATACAATCTAAATAGCATTTTGGATTAAATACACAATTAAATCAGAATTACTAAAATATAACATTTTGACATTATGGCTCCTCTCAAAATATGCTTTGACATGAAAAAATAGCATTTTGCAATAATATACATAATTTACTTTTTGTTTTGAATGGCAAATATATTTTTCACTTGAAAAGTAGACTATACTGTTTTTCACAAGTATGGTATTTTATATTTAAGGATAAAATAAAAAAAAATCCCCCTATAAATAATATTACAAATCTATTGATTTACAAATAATTTCTCTAAACTAAAAATTACTCCTATAAACTACTGATTTATTATAATTAAGGACAAACCCATCACAAAAATTTATTTTACCCTTTCTCATTAAATTTGACATTTCTTATTAAAAAAATTTATTATCTTTTTACTTATCTAAATATTAATTATACCATTTACCTTAATTTTATTATTAGTATCAATTTATCATAAAAAAAATAAATAAAATAAAATAGATTTGTAATTATATTTTCTATAAAAAATAAAATAAAATAAAATAAAATAAAAAATCTCCCTTTAATTATTCTGCACGACAAACAACCTCCTTGAACTTTAAAAAGTCTTCTTAAACTATAAATAAAATTACAAATAACCCCTTCTCCATCATTCAACTTAGTAGTATTACATAACTACCCTAAAAAATAAGAACTGAGAATTATATTTCAAATTGATTTTGAAATAAATAAATTCTCCAAAATTGAGTTAAGGTCTAGTATCGACTATTAAAACAACTCAATACAACTCTTTACTGTTTAAATCCCAAAAATGGTTATGATAAAAGGGCTTATTGGTCAAGACGCAATCCATTATCATTCATTAAAAATGAAAAAATGATGGCATGGGCAAATTTGTATAAAAAGGGTTATTCGTAAGTTGAAGGTTTTTTTTCTTCTTTTTTTTTCCATCATTTTGCCATATATTTTATGCAATGACCATTATGCCAATTTTCCAAGCCCGGACCGAACAGGGTGGGGCACTATGTGTACTCTCACACTTCTAGAGGGGGTATTTAATTTGGGTGTTATTTTCTCATAGGGGCAATTTTGTAAAGTGCGAAAGTTTCTACAGTTTACCCATATAAATTTGAGAAGCCTACACGTCGCCCCCATTCAAATAAGCAGTTTCAGAAGCCCCAAAAAGAGTCTCATATCTCTCATCGGCGAGTCAATCAAAGAAAGGTACTCCAAACTCGATTTCTACAATTGGACCAAAGTCTCAACACTACACGTTCCATTAATATACAATTAATCTGCATTTATAATTATATCTCGTGCCGATTCCCTTCATTGTTCTAGGGTTTCAACCCTGATTGATAATCTAGAAAAAGGGTTTTGCATATTAGTCGTCAATTGTATATAATAAAGCTTCGTTTGAAAGAACATCTCTTGATACATGTATATATGTGTGTGTGTGTGGATTTGTGTATATGTATGTATCGATATGTATGATCGGCTGTTTACATGGTTATTTGAGATGTGGATTTACTTTAATTGTCACTTATATGCATGTTTGTATAACTGGTTTTACATGTTATTGGTGTCAACGTTAAAGTCTCTGGAATAGCTCAAGCAAAGTTGCACTGACAATAATTCTTATTAAACAAATATTTTGATCACATATGGTGTTTGTATATTTATACATATATATCTTGGAGGTGTTCCTACCAAGTGAAATAACAATCAAAGCTTTATCTCTTTTTATGTTATATGCTGACGCCTTTGTTCTTTTGTTCTAGGGTTTTAAATGTTTACTGATAGTTTAAAGAGGGACTGCAGATTAAGTGTTGGCATCAAGTTTTCAGTGTTACTTAGGAGGGGAAAAATATCTTGTCTACATGTAACTGTATACAGGGCTAGTTCACCTTAAGGTGCCTATCTGGCCCATTTAGAATTTGTGAAGTTGGTCCCATAGCTTGTGCGTTTCCATTGTTGTGTTAACATATTTTATTACCCATGTTACATGTACCCCAAGGCGTGTGTTGGTTTTGAGTGTGTCTAAGTGTCAGAAATTCCAAATCTTAGATACAGGGACTTCTTGAAATGTGTCCAAAAACTTGGGTATGGGCATTTGGACACAACCGGCAGATTAAATACATAATTACATAACATATTATCTAATGGTGTAATTTGTAATGTATACTACTACTTTTCTTTAAATATATAATCAACTATTATATAAATTTAATAGTACGAAACTGCTGTCTGTATCAGTTTAAGCTTTTATCGTGTCATGTCCACACAAGGACGTTAAAGGGAACATAACAGTTTATTACCAAATCCAACTAAAGCTCTCCAGTTCCCTATTTGAGCTCATATCAGCAGTCTTAACGTAGAAATACATCTGATACAATAAAATTTGGTGTGAGATATTCCATCTCTTCTTTAATTTTCTTATCTCCCACTAGTTATGTGAAATCTAGTGTGAGATGTTCTATATTCTTTTTTTAATTCTCTTCTCACTTCCAATATCTTAGATCAAGCCTTATTTGTTTAACTTCTCTTTTATACAACGATTTAATCAGTACAACTTATATTATACTAGTCAAATTCATGTGTGATGCTGCAAAGAGTAGAACAATGCTTAAAGAGAAATTCACAATTTATTTAGAAAATAAATTTCTAAAATAAATCAGATCTGTCTATATATGGCTGGAATAGAATGCTAAAAAGTAGATACCTATAGGGTAAGAATGACAACAACGGATTCAAAAGCAATTTTGGAAACCAATAAGGATTTTTTTTAAAAGCATAACGGATTTGGGTAAATATAGTTACACATAAAGAAAGAATGTGACTTGGAAAGTCAGACTTTTGGGATGAGTGCCTTTTTGGCAATTAACTAATAGACATTTTTAGTTGTTTCTTGAAAACGATAAATTATTGGGTACTCTCGGAGTACCGACAATGTAGTATCCGTAGCCAATAGTGTTTTATTATATCCTTTTATTAAGGAAAATAATGAGTGTTCGTTGGCCGAGGGTACTACACATACTTAGTACCCCCGGGGTTACCCAATAATTTTTCCTTGAGAGCATAATGGACTTTGTATGTAGAGAAAGAACGTGACTTTTGAAAACTTAATGACGTTTGCGATTAACTACAAATAAATTTTATTTTTTTTAGTTTTGTTGTGTATACATGAGGAGGCTAATGGAAAGATACAGAATGAAGAAGAGAGATTTCCATATGATTTTTATTGATTTGAAAAAAAGCCTATGATAGGGTACCTACTACCTAGTGACCTATTATGGGATTGGAGGGTTTTAGAAAGGAAATGAGTCGTAAAGGGATACCAATAAAGTATGATGGTTATGGGACTATAATTAGATCGCCTGTTGGGAAACAAGTGAATTCCCAATTATTGTAGGACCAAGGGTCAACATTAAGTACATACCTTTTTTCCCTAGTTATCGACGAGCTAATAAGACACATCCAAGATGATATTTCATGGTGTATGTTATTTTTTGATAATATTATTTTAGTAGATGAGACTAGAGGAGGAGTGAATGCTAAATTTTAGGTTTGGAGAGAATCTTTAAAACTAAAAGGTTTAAGAAAAGTCAAAATAATATCAAATATATGGAGTGTAACTTTAGTAAATCTAAAAAGACAAATGAGGATGTAGTGAGGATTGAGAATCAAAAGGTACAAAAGTGAACATTTTTTTGGATGGGTTAAATGGAGGACTGCATTCTAGTATATTGTGTGATACACATATCCCATTACGATTGAAAAGGGAGTTCTTGTGGCGACTTGTGGGCGAGTGTGCCGTGGGTGGATGCAAGAGGCACTGGCAGGCTACCACATCGGGCGAGTTACAGGTGTACAATCCTACATCGCCTGGGTGTGGAAAGGGAAGTGCTATATATGTAAATGTGTCACTCCAATTGGTATGAGGCCTTTTGGGGTAAAGCCCAAGAGCAAAACCGTTTAGGCTCTGGCCCAAAGCGGACAATATCATACCATGTGGTAGAGTGGGTCGATACAAATGGTATTAGAGCCTGACCAGCTGGAATTGTGGCCAACGAGAACGTTGGGCCCCTAACGTGGGTGATTGTGGCGACCTTGTATGCGGGTGTGCCGTGGGCAGTGCAAGAGGCACTGGCAGGCTAGGCTACCACACTGGGCAAGCTACAAGTGCACAATCTCACATCGCCTAGGTGTAAAAAAGGGAAGTGTTATATATGTAGGTGTGTCACTCCAATTGGTATGAGGTCTTTTGGGGTAAAGTCCAAGTGCAAAACCGTACGGGCTCAGGCTTAAAGCGGACAATATTATACCTGTGGTAGAGTGGGTTGATTCAATTCTATAGACCAACCATATTTTATGGTACCGAATGTTAGGCAAGTAGGAAACAACATTTGCATAAAGTGAGTCTAGCAAAAATGCAAATGTTGAGATTGATGTGCAGTAAAACTATAAAGAATATAATTAGAAATGATCACATTTGGGAGATAGTTGGAGTAGCACTAATTGGAAATAAAATGAGAGAAAAATAGTTAAGATGATTTGGACATGTGCAAGATGACCTTTAAGTGCGCCAGTTAGGAAAAATAACGTGGTCCATATCGGGGGTAATATTACGAGAAGAGGAAGACCAAAGTTAACGTGGATAGAGTAAAGAAAAATATGATAGCATGTAAATTGAATGAGGATATGGCCTTAAAAAGAGCGAAATGGAAACATAGGATTCATTTAGCAAACCTTAAATAATTGGGAAAAGGCTTAGTGGTGGTGGTTGTATACATGACTTTTGGGATAAGCTATGTCCTTGTGAGGTGTTTTGATTTAAATAGTTCTTTTTTCAGTAAACCGTTATGTAGTTAAAAAGGAAAAATATTAGTAATATATAGACGTGCATATACTTTTTAAATATGAAAAAATATATCTTTTAGATTTTCATATACGATCTTAAATTGTATTAGACGATAGTGCAAAGTCGTCATTTCTACAACCTGTTGCTGAGAGTTTTTTTTTTTTTTTTCCTTGGCTATTGTTTAATTGTCATTTGAAAGATTCATATTTACATAAAGTTATATGTAGATTAGGGGTGGCAAATTACGAAACGACGGCACAAACACGACACGATTTAATAGGGTTTGGGTTTGGCATAAGCGGGTTTGGGTCATAAAAGGATCGACACGATTAACCCGTTTACTTAATCGTGTCGGGTTAGGGTTGAGGGGTTCAACTCGTGTAACCCGTTTAACTTTCCATTTAACTTAACATATCATAATCGTGAATATGACCTATGTAATATGTTACATGTTTAAACTCAATTACTATGGATAGTTAAGTCATTTCAACATAAACTTTGTCTATACTTTATGATTTTTCTTTTTATTTTGAATATTTGGGTTAATTATGACAATTTTTTTCTGTTATTTACTATTTGATTAAATATTAAATGTCTCGTTTTGATAAACAAGTCATTAAACGGGTTAATACGTTTATTTGTTTAATAAACAGGTTGGGTTAGTGTTGAGGATTCTTGACACGATTATTAAATGGGTTGGGTTTGGGTTTACCTATTTAGTATAATACTCTTACATCAACATGACACGAACACGAATTGCCACCCCTAATGTAGATGCATGCAGGTATGAATGGTTATTATATGTATCCATATAAATAAATATTGTTTAGGAGCTATTCCCTTTCCTGGGCAGTTTGAAGCAGTTGCTGTCACTTGAAATACAAGGGAAGCAACCAAAGCTCCATTAGTTATAACCACTGCTGTATATTTTGATGACAGTGAATAGTATATACATCTGCAAACAGGTTTGTACCAAGCGCAATAAAATGTCGTGGAAGAGATTCGTGAAGACCATGCCGTTGATATCAGAACCCACACGAAAGAGGAAAGCTTTTGAATTTGCAAAAGTGGTTACAAAGAAGCCAAGGAAAAAATATGTTAATGGTGCTGATGAAAAGGTTGACACCAGAGATTGGATCTCAAATTTGCCGGAACCCATTATTCATCATATCCTCTCTTTCCTTCGTTGCCCAAAAGATGCTGCCCGGACTAGTGTATTGTCCAAAAAGTGGAATAGCATATGGGCTTCACTCCTCACATTCAATTTTGATCAAAAGAGCTTTGAAACAGAAGGAAAAGAACAGAAAAAGAATTTCAAAATTTTTGTCGAGAACTCCTTGAAAGGCCGACTCAAGTCAATGCATTGTATACAGAAATTCAGGCTATATATGACCTCATTTGATTTAAATTTGGCTCCTCACATGGACCGCTGGATCAGTGCTGCTACTCTGAGAAATGTAAAAGAGCTGGATATTCATGTCCCATTGAAAAAGAGGAGATGTTACAGTTTGCCTGAGACTGTCCTGACAGCAGCGACTATAACTTCGTTGAAGTTATATGGCTGTAGGGTGGAGTATTGCAGTGATATTAAGCTCTCTCATCTAAAAGAATTATCTGTAAAGAAAGCCCATGTGAATTATTTTATGATGCAGACTTTGATCAATAGCTGCCCTTTGATTGAGGATTTGAGACTCATAGGGTGCACTGGATTAGCACGTCTACATGTTTCAACACTTCATAAACTCAATAGAATTGAGCTACATGAGTGCTGTGGGCTCAAAGCAGTTGAAATTGAAGCACCAAGTCTTCGAACTTTTTGGTACCATGAGAAGATAGAGAGGCCATGCAAAATCAAATTCACAGCCTGCGAAAACCTAAGAAATTTGACATTGAAAGATACAAAAATGACAGATGAGTTGTTACAAGTTCGGATTTCCATGTTTCCAGTCCTCGAGAATTTGGTCTTGAAGGAATGTAACACTGTGAAGAGAATCACAATTTTAAGTCAAAAACTTGAGAGGCTGGCCCTAATTCGATGCAATAAACTGGAGGAGGCCAGTATTGATGCACCCAATTTATATTCATTTGAGTATACCGGTGATAAAATGCCTTTCTATTCCATGAACACTCCAGGTCTGCATGAAGCCAAGCTTCATTTTGAATCGATACAAAATAAGTCTACAACTTGTCCTGAACATATAGAAGCCATTTGGTCCAATATGAAGGGATCTATTGGAAAGTTTGATCAAGCCTTTGTTTGGTCCAATGCATTGGAGGAATTTCTGGGGAAGTTTGATCAATCCAAAGGTTTGAAAATGGTTGTACGCGTTGATGAGGTATTAAGAATATATATATATATATATATATAGTTATATTTTCTCAATAATAGAAGTTACTATCAATTCTTTAACTTTTATCTTCAAGTTTCACTTTCTCATTTACTTAATTGATATGGTGTTTGAAGAATGTGATTATTCATGAAGAATTGAGCAAAATCCGGTTCCCTCTATTTAATGATCTCAAGTTGGATATTATCAAGTCATCAATAGTACTAGAAGATCTCATAAATAGTTCATTACGGATGGGTCGCCACCCCGAGACTCTAGCAGTAGTATCATCTTCCAGCAGTGAATTCCTCAAGGTATTGTGCTTTCTTTATAGATTCTCATTGTGCGCGCACACATGATTTGTGCTTTCCATTTAGTATTAGCATGATAACACGCCGATTTGGACTTATAATTCATAGTTTTCCAATGGAATATCTAAAGGGAAAACTATGAATATTGACCTTGCAATAACTACGTTTATGCCATTTTTTCCGAATCACAGGTCTTGTATGAGAAGTTGATGAAGAGAGAAGAGAATCCGAACTGCTGTAAATATTACAAAATCAAATGTTGGAGGCATGATTTGGAAGATGTTAATGTTGAGATCTGTGAAGAAGCTGAGAATGGGACTCATCCATTGTATTCTCGGCTGGAGTCATCTTCTACTCGGCAACAAAGAACTACTTTTAAGTTAAATTGGAAATCTAATGTACAAATGGAAGATGAAAATTCCATTAAGGCTTAGATTTAGATACAGTATTTATGTTGTTTTATGACGGCAAACAGTTGGACTTCTATGATTGAATTGTTGGTGTTTGGTAATGTTTTTGTTTTCAAATCTCTCTTTTTGGTGAACTTTGAAACACTGATAAATAGATCAATATGATTTCGGTTAAAAAGCTAATGTTTTCATTGTCTTCAATTTTTTACCTTATATATTGGTAAATACCACTTATAATGGAAATACAATTAATGGAATGATTCTATTCAGCATTACTTTTTACTTATATATGATTTCCTAAAAGAGTAGCCCATGTTTTGGGCATATGAAAAACGAAGATGGAAAAAAGGCACTGTTTCTGAGCCGCCATTTTTTTCTTTGAATAGTAAAGCCAACACATAAACTATTTTACTCGCATTCATGTTCGAACCCCTCTTCTCTGAAGATTGGAAGGTTATATCATATATCATCAGTTTAGAGAACCCCTCTTCTCTGAAGATTGGAAGGTTATATCATATATCATCAGTTTAGAGAGATGCATTCACTACATTTTCTTGTGATTGGCATATGAGTGGGTTGATTTTTCATTACCACAAAAATAATATAAATAAATAAATAAAAATAAATGATAGATCTTTCTTTACATGCTTCTAACGCTGGCCAGATCATTGGAACAATAGTTCACGTTGAGTGGAATCTTTATACGGTGTTTAGTACCGGGAAGTACATCCACCTATGTAAGATTTGCATAAGATGTTTGGACCCCTCCTATTATTGTTATATCATATTACAAGTTATGAAAGTAGGGCTGAAAGGATTATAAAGCAAGGATATGATTTCTTGATGGTGCAAAACAATGAAGACATACCATGAAAGTCTAGCACACTTTCTGGTTCTCTATTACTTGTATCACTCTTTGTTCTGTGGTTGTTGACTATCATGCTTTATAGATATTTCATAGTGCATTCGTCGTCCTGTTACAAATCTTGCCCCAAGCGTGCGTTCAATTCACCACAAAAAAAAATGGAAGGTCTGGATTAGGGTTTGGAACATGCCCTATCCATGAAGCCCGAGAGCAACACAAACACTCCCACCAATAAACTTGGCACAGCTTTTCCCACATGACCATTTAAGGTCAACTGCAAGACAACCTTATAAACTCTACAACCAGAACACAACAGTGAAACAAATTCATTGCATCCTTTGTTAAAACACAGAATCGAAGGCTTCAATGCCTAATCCACTCAGTACATGCTCCAACAAAGACAGAACTGAAAAACCCAAACAATATGCACATCATTTGTAAATTTCATACTCATGCACAGCATATACTATTTAGTCGCCACTTATACATTTGTAAGTTGCTGTTAAGAGAACACCATAATAATGAATCATAGTAAAATACACATCCAAAGAATATGGAATAAAGAAATGTAAGAATAAGTTTGTAGATGAAATTTTAATTTTTGTTACTATTTTTTCTTGCTTTTATGATTTGAGATAAATGCAAAATGGACATCATTCTACAATAACAAGCTATGATGTGCAGAACATTTGTAACAGGACATCCAAGTATGACACTCATCTGGACACTTGCTAAAGATTTCAAGTTTGTTTACCCGATAAACAGTTTAAATACACAAAATCTAGCAAGGCAAGCTGAAAATGAACTTTCACTAAAACAACATAACAAATCTATAGCATGAACTCGAGACAAAACCATGCTAGCAACTTTTCATTTTCATTCTGGCACTTCAGTTAATCTGCTTGACCACTCAGAAGTACATTCAACACTTCCTCCTGCTAAAGATTGTATTATTGAATACTTAAGGTAACAACACCTGTAAAACACTCAGTGTCTACTTCAGAACACTATACATCTTTTTTTTATACATGTCCACAAATCATAGCGTATTACTAAACCTACAAAGGAGATAGAATATTTTAAGAATACAGGCATATTTTAAAGCCCGGCAGCAAACCATAAAAATTAAGACACCATTCATTCATTAGACCAGGAGTCATTAATTGGCATAATACATACAGCTAAGTCAATATTTCAATTGATGCCCCTGACAACAGTTCAACAACTTAAATCCAGTGCCAACCATCTGTAGGATGGCCAGCATCTAATTCCATATTTCAATTCACAAATACGAGGCCGGTTACAGTTGCTGATCAAGATCTTATTTTCTAGTGCCCCATTACACTAAAATGAAACCATTAACATCAAAATGGCTAATTCTTAAGGCATATCCTATCACAAGTATGCAATGAAAATCAATCACATATAAATGGAAACAATATTTTCTGCAGAAATTTATCCAGTAAAATGCTGAAAGTGAATCAATCATTTGAGATATTTCAAGAATATCACGTATAGACATCATGCAATTATATTTGCTGACTTGCTAATAATACAGTTTTTATGATCAGATTTTATTTTTAAAACTTAACACACATATATACAAGCCAAAAGATATTTTTAGATTTCAAAGACACAAAAACCACTTTTTAGGAATACATATACATACAAACTAAGAACAAGTTTTTAATCAATTCAAAAGGATAGAAAACCAAAGTCATCATCTCTACGGTTATAGTAGCCAAAAACTCTTGTAACTGAACAACAATCAGTTTCATGCTGATTTGACCCTACACACAATTAATTTTATATGCAAATCATGCTCGGTTTCACATGAATTTTGGTATATATTTCACCCTTATACTACAAAGTATAAAACATACACTTTCCTTGGTGAGTTTAATCAGAAGTTCATCCCCACCTACTTGTGAGCAGAGGGTACCACAACTATGATGCAAAAGAGACCAATTCTTTGGACTCTTCCATAATTTCCGAGGAAAGAAAAATCTACAACGCTACCAGCAACAACACTAAACTATCAATGAGCAAAAAAAATGGAATAGGAAATCCAAAATATCAACAAGAAGAAATAGAAATTAAAAAGCTACTTGTTTATCACCAAAAGAGCATGTGCTTGTCCCACAATATATATTTAAACACCAATAATAGCTCACTGGTAAACATTAGCATAAATTTTAATCCAATTCAATTTACCTCAATTCACATATGTCCTATTGACATAAGATACATATCAAATTCTAAAAATAGTTTACTTCAAAATGCAGGTCCTTTTAGTTACCAAAATGCCATAGATATTTAACTTCTAGACATGATTCAGCCCGAAATTTATTATGAAACAAAGCATAAACATATCAAAAACTATATCCAAGATGCACTATATCGACATAAAGTCAATATTGCAATTCAGTCAGATTTTACTCACAAGTCTGTTCATTATGAAATAAAATCACATAACAATTAGAGCTATACAGACAATTCTCTCCCCTCTCCTAAAGACTGTATCCAAATAATGCAGTAAAGCTATTAACATGAGTAAGTGATACAAGTAAAACCAAGCAAGCATTCCACCCCATCTACATTTAACTTCTACAACCAAGAGACTAAATCTCAATATAAAAAATGCCTTATAACCTTAGTACCTGAAGCTTAGCGCAGCAATTCACATACAAGCCGGTGCAAAGGGCAGGCATCAACATCTAGACACAATAAGCATAAGTCTACACATTGACCCATATCACAATTTGATTTACATAAAGAAGTTCTTCAAACAAGAAATAGAATAGCAAATGAATTTTAAAAAGAATTCACTCATCATATGCAATTCTTTCCCCAACAAGCCCTAGAGTTCGGGAAGGCCTAATGATCTAAAACAACAATGCAGTAAAGCAAATATCCATCTTTGGTAAAAATAAAGCCAACAAAGTAATTCACTCCATCTCCATTAATTTCATCAAGAGATAGAATCTAAAATATCAAACGCACCACATAAAGCCGAGCGGCCAAGCCTGAGCTCAGCCACTAGTATAGCATAGGCATCAACACTAGACACAATAAACATGTAAAGTGTAGATATAAATCCATATCAAAGTTTAACCGAAGACATTTACATAAATAGTTCATTCAGCACACAATAGAATTCATAAACGCATAAGAGTCAACCCAGACAATTCTCTCACCCACGAGCCTTGAGCTCGGCAAGGCGCCTGGTGAGGTCGTCCTCGTCCACCTTCTCGGAGGTCTTGGTAGCCACCGCGTGCGCCGCCGCCTGAGGAAGCCCCACAGACACCTCCAACCCGTAATCATCCGCCACCTGCTGCATCAAACTGTTGACCTCACCCTCCGGAGTCGAAAGCGACGTGCTTCCGGCCATCGAGCTCTCCATGAACTCCGCCTGGACCTCCATGTTCACGAACTGGCGCTCGAACTGGTCCATCGTCTCCGACATCTTCTGCAAATTCCCTGTCGCGAGCGTCGACTCTAGTGACTTCACGATCGACCCCATCGACTTGCCGATCGTGGTCATCTTGGCCTGAGTGTCAAGCCTCGCGACAACGGCGTCGAGGCGGGACGAGAGTCGGAGGTAATTCATCTGCTCGCTGCGCTTGCGGATGGCGTTCTCGGCGTAGATTCGAGCTCCGTCCATATTGCCCTTCTCGATCGCTTTCTTGACCTTCAGTTTCTCGGATTTCTCCTCTTTCTCGCACTTTCTGGATTGGCGTTGGAGGCTCTTGGAGGTGAACTTGAGCTCCATGATTTGGTTCATCAATTTCTCAGTATTCCCCATATCTTTCAAGATTTCAGGAAGAGATTTCTACAGAAATTTTTAGATCTAGGGTTTACTGTGTGTATGTGAGAGAGAGATTCAGTTTGGGGATAAAATAGATCGTTGATAGTCACGTACTTTTTCCGCGTTTTAGGAATTGGTGTTGTTTTGCCTAGAAATTTCCCTTTTACTTTGGGACTAATCTATTTAACCTTTTGAACTTTTACTGGTTTTGGTTTCTAACCTTTCAAAATGTCAGGTGGTGGTTAGTTCTATACTGTTGCAATCAGGAACGATAGTCGTTGTGGGCTCCATATCAAGTGCTGCACTTGTCGTTGCAATGCCATTGAATACAAAAGTTTGTCGGCTAAAATGCGAAAAAAAAAAAATAAAAAATAAAAAAAACCCCTAAACTATTACGAATCCGCATTTTACCTTCTTGAATTACAAAAACGAACAAGTCAGTACCACAACTATCAAAATCGTGCAAACTAACTCCTAAAATGCAATTCTGGCCACTTTTCGGCCGACTTCATTGTAAATTTACAAAACTACCCATCGTAATTAAAAAAAATACCCTCAATGCCCCTCTGTTCTCAAGTCCATCTCCATCATCTTCTATTCTTCTCTCTCTCTCTCTCTCTCACACACACACACACTTGCATATACATCGGTGCTAGATAAATGGCACAAATGAGTCTTCCCCAAGGATTCAGGTTCCACCCAACTGACGAGGAACTTGTTGATTACTATTTAAATAGGAAAATAACAGGCCGTGTGATCGAGCTTGAAATCATCCCAGAGGTTGATCTCCACAAATGTGAGCCCTGGGATTTACCAGCTACGTACTTACAAATTTACTTGAATATATATATATATATATATATATATATATATATATATATATATATATCATTAATTTGATTGACTCTAAATTAAATTGAGTTGAAATCTGATATATATATATTTGATTTGATGATGTGCATGTATAGACAAGTCATATTTACCTAGCAAAGATATGGAATGGTACTTCTACAGCCCAACGGATAGGAAATACCCAAACGGGTCAAGGACTAACCGGGCAACCAAAACCGGTTACTGGAAAGCCACCGGAAAAGGTTGGGTGGTGCAGTTGGAAATGCGGCAGGTGGGGATGAAGAAAACACTGATTGCCCGGTTAGTCCTCCGCCATGGAACAAAACATTGATTTATTTATAGAATGTGTGATCCTCCGACAAGCTTGTATTCGATCCCATCCCACCTAAACTACCACCTCCACTGTGGAACCCCCATCTATGCTTTAATGGCGGCGCTGAAGCAGTGAGGTTGCCCGAGCAACAACTGTAGCTACACACACACACATACACAAACACACACACACACACACACACATATATATTGACATATATTCCAACCTCTCCACAGTCTATCGCCGGCCCATGCCGCCATCGCTATCGCTGAACCAACAGATCGAACCAGTCATCTCCACAGCCCATCGCCGCCCATGCCACCATCACCATCACTGCACCAGCCACCTCTAATATGATTAGATCAAAACCGGTAGTTTTTTTCATCAATATAAATATATGTAAATATATATATGTGTGTGTGTGTGTGTGTGGCTACAATTGCTTTTTTTCATCAATATAAATATATGTAATTATATATATGTGTGTGTGTGTGTGTGTGTGATTGCAAAACTGGTGGTCAACCACCTATCGATCTAAATGCTCCACCGGCTTCAGAGTCATCGAATTTTGCTGGTATGTTTGGTGTTTTTGTGCTCTCTTTCTTCTTCTTTTTTCTGTTGATAGATCACAAAATTGAGGGGAAAGGAAGGAGGAATTGACTAATCAGAGAAGCCTCGTGGACGGATGAAGGGAAGTGTGATACCCCTCAGATCCGAGACACGGGTTGATCAGGCCCAGGCCCAAACCCGAGGGAATATCTAACAATTAATATGTTAAAGCGAACACGGAATACAAAATGAATTTAAGAAATAATAATTTAAGCTGAAAGAAATCTAAAATAAAAAAAATTTTAAAAAAAATCCTTTAAAATTAGATACTTAAAATCCCAGATAATAATAATCCAACTCCAAAACCTCCAAGGGTACAACTCGGGAATCCATCCTGTGGACCCCTAATAAGAAAACTAAACTGAACTGAAAAACTAAAAGAAAACCATATGAATAGAGCTCCTACGGTGTCGGAAGAATAAGTGGTCGCCTCTGTTCAGCACAAACAAGCTCAAGCCTAGAACTGACGTACACCTGAAAAATAAGAGTGGGTCAGGCCCACGAACAAATTCTATTCTACTACAATCCAAGCAGAGACTCGATACGCATATACACTCTAACCAACTCAACAATAATTATATAATCCGTGTCTATATATATATATATATATATATATATATATATATATCCACACTATGGACTCTCACTGGACTATGATACGGGTACACCTCAACCAGTATAGCCAGTTATACGTCCTATTGCATATACGCTCCCTAACCGTTGACTCTGAGACTCAAGCTCAAGTCACGGTACCATAATAATATATTTAAAATCCGCTCACATTCATCCATAAGAAATCCAGTAAGTCGTTCAGCTTATTCAACCGCACAGACTTAAGTCGTTCGGCTTATTCAACCGCACAGACTTATACATAAGGAGGATTCTATTTTTGTGATCCATTCCCTTATTCCAAAGTAGGCAAGACTTAGCAATTTGAGCTAATCCAAACCTAGTATGTCACCGTCTCATACCGGTACATACAATCCAATCCATCCAACAGTTGATAGAATACATAATCAATGCACATAGCAACTGAACCATAATAAGCATAAATAGAAATATAGACTAACATGCTTACTCCAGTAACTGATAGATCAAAATAATAAGACATATCAATTAATTCCATGATGAACACAAATTTAAATAGACAAGCATCATGTTCATCCCATAACTCCGTTACAAATTATCTTACTTGAGCATGCAGATAATTTATTCTTCTCGTCCATAAAACCATGACAAATTTAATAACAACCATATTAATTATCATGCTTGTCCACTATTAATAATATCATATTAATAAAATTTTCACTCACAGAGAATAAATAAATTAAGGTTCAGTAATTTAAAATCCCTCCGCACTGGAATAAAACAATTTCCGTCGAGACTTACCAGTGTTCAAGCTATAAACACCTACTGGTTTATTAAGCATTAATCCACTCTCACAAGTGTTAACTAGACTTAGAACATCTCAAAACACCCAAGTATAGCTTCCTACAGAATATGAAAATCCCAAAATCCGAGTTCCGTAGCCAAACAGGTCGCAGAAAACATAAAATTGGAAGCCGGTTGAAAGAGCCTGCTCTTTCTTGCTTGGAGCCGGCTCTCTTAGACTTGGAGCCGGCTCCAAGTCCCCTAGAGCCTGCTCTTTAAACTTTGAGCCGTTTCTTCTCTGTTCTTCATCCCTTTCGCGTCTGACGATTTTCCGACGAACTGTTCTTCATCCCTAGGGTTCCTAAGTGTTTTAATTAGATTCCAGTGTGCTCAAGAAATAATTAAATTCCGTACTCACTCAACGACATTAATTATACATCAATTATGCCACAAGGAATTTAAACCAGGATAATTTCCATTCATGAACACCAACTATTTTAGCAAATCAACCTTGCAACTAAATTATTTCCAGTGTTTCTCCAACTTGTTATAGACCTACTAAAATTCATTATTCATCAATTTACATGAATTAAAATGGAATCTACTCCAGAAAGAATTTAAAATAGAACAATATACAGTATATAAACACATCCAGTTTGTAAGCATCTAACCATGGAACCCAGTTTAATTTTAATCCTTATTAAATCCTAGAGTTGTATTAAACATGCAAAGAACACGAGTCAATGGGATAGAGTTAAGACAGAACTTGCCTTTGAGACTTTTGTTCAAAATCTCTACGTCGTCTTCTAAGGTTACGGCGATTCCGACTACAAAATTCCTCCTCTATTCTCTCTCTGTGCTCTGCCTCCACAGACGTGAATAGGTTTTATTTATTTATTTTGTTTTAAACCCTAAACAGACGTATCCTACATATTTATAGAGTTATACCAAACCCTAAATTAATTCAAGCCCCAGCTGAATCCTAGTCGGCCCATAACAACTTAATCAAAACTTACGTCGGCTAGAACCATGATTTCTTAAAAGAACCATAATCTAGATCATTAAATAAAAACAAATAAGTAAATTAAAATAGTGATTCAAAGAAATAAAAATTAATAAAAATTATGACATTTAAACAACTTACCAATTTAAAATTAAATCAAATACTCAACTAATTCACATAAGTCAAATAATTCAAATAATTCAAGTAATTCAAATAATTCAAATAATTCAAATAAACAATTAAATAATTAAAAATTCAATTAAAACAATAAATTAAATACCAGGACTATCCTTTTGAAATTAAGGGTATTACAGGAAGTTACAGAACTGGGCTGTGAAGGCTCGCGGCACCGACGGGAAGGAGAACTCGGCTATGAGCTTCTCCATGTTTACCTTATTACGTGGCAGAAAAGTTAAAATGAATAAATAAATAATAATATTCATTAGTATTCAAGGGTAAATTTGGAATTAAAAAAAAAAAAAAAAAAACAGTCACGTGCTGACCTTGTGGGCTGGAAAGTGGTCGGAATTGAGTTTCAGAGGTTAATTTGCACGACCTGTGATAGTTGTGGAACTGATTTGTTCATTTTTGTAGTTCAAGGGGGTAAAATGCGGATCCGTAATAGTTCAGGGGGATTTTTTGCATTTTTGCCAAGTTTGTTTGATAATGTATATTTATTATAAAAAAATTTAAAAGTAAAAATATAATAATATATTTGATAAATTATTAAAAGTTTGAAAAATTAAAAGTCTAGTAAAAAATGTCATTTTAAAAAAAAATTTTGAAACCATTTGAATCGCAGCAAAAACGCTTCATGCTTTTGTTTCTGACCTAAGCAAAAATCAAGAAGAGGCCCTTAATATAATTGTGTGAATATTTTATATGGATCTCAATTTAAAGCCTTATACTAACTGTGATACCCCTCGATTTTAGAATACGAGTTGATCAAGTTCGCACACAAAATCGAAGGATATCAGACAATTAATATTTTAAAACCAAAACAGAATACAAAAACATAAATAATATCGTTAAATGGAAAACTAATTAATAAATAAATAATTAATGAGTCGTCTAAATAAATCCATAAATTCCCAAATATAAATAATCCTCTAAAATTACAATTTGGGAATCCCTAACATGGACCCTTTAATAAAATCTCATAACTAAAAATAAAATAAATGTCTAACTCTGAATAAATAAGCACGAAGTAGAATTCTATCAATAATATGAGGTGATCTGAGCGATCACTTGGATCAATTTGATCGATCACATTACTGAAGTGATCAGTTATCAATTTTTCCATTTTATACAACTATCTGATTAGTCACATTGCACAACTGATTGGAAGGTTATTCAGAAGAAGAATATTGAGATCATCGAAAAAGGAAAGAAAAACACTTTTAGGAAGTCGTTTTTCACTTATATTTGCGTTTTTGGATATAAACATACCCCCACAGGAAGAGTCAATGAGCTGTCTATGTGGCTCGATTAAACCATCACAAAAAGCTTACACTAATTTCCATTCATCAAAGACAAAAGGAGTGTCATTTGCCACAAAAATATGAACTCAAGATATTTGAATCTAAAAATCTCATAATCAAAGCAAATTGTTTTTCATTGTATAGATTACAATCCAAGAATCTATATTTATCAAATCATTATGTGTCCCAATTTGCATTCACAACATATCATAAATTCAACTGAGACATTGATTATATTTTTGTTATACATCTATCTGATCGGTCACATTAGATATCTGATCGAATAGTTTGAGTGACATTTCTTAGTTTGCATGAAATATGAAATAATGCAAGATGAATCGCATACTAGCATTTTTTAACCATTATTTGATATCATATATAACATACAAACTGTATTAATCACATAAACCCCTCCCCCAACTTAGTTCCAACAACAACAAATCATTTGCCTAAATATTTTTTTATTTTCAGAATTTCCTATCCGAAGATCTCATCCTAGACACAATATACTTGCCTAGCCAATCCAACTCTCCACACGCGATCAAACCAATGCCCACAAACTCCAAATGGCACAAGCCACGTCTTTCTTTCTTAAATTGCTTTTATATATATATATTGAGAGATTACACAAAATAGTCTAAAATTTTGGTGGAGGGCTTAAAGACTAAGTTAGTGTTTGGGGGAACTTTTTAATACCAAGAGGCAGTTTCAGTAAGAAAACCTTTACATAAATAAAGTAAGAAGAAGGCATTTTATAAAATAAAAAGATGATTAGTGAACAACAATATTGACAAGTTATTTAATCTAAAAAGTCTGTCAAAAAAACTAAAAAAGTCATTTCATATATTTGGTGACAAATTGAAAAAAGTCCTTTTATTTCCATTTCCTTTGCCATCATTTGCTACTTTAAAAAAGAAAAATAACCAAATGAAGAAAACAATTTTCGGAGTCAAACAATTTGAGAAGCTACTTGTGTCTTGGTTTTACTTAGTTAGCAATAGGTTATCTTGGGACACTTCGAACATGACAAGTCTTCGTTTTTAGAAGAATCTAAAGGAGGGTCATTCTTGATCCCTATAAGTTGCTCTAACCATTACCAACAAAACCGAACACTGTCGAAGAGATGAAGAATATTTACTTGGCTTGAAGCTCGGGAACTTGGACTTTGCAAGTCTTGACACACCCGCACAAAAAGAACCCAGAAACCATGTTTAGCTTAAAAACATATCGGAAGCTTACATATTACAATACCAATTCCAAAGCAAATTTTCTTCAATTTCAATTTCAGTATTTTTCTTTAATTTTAATTTCAAAACACTGATTCAATGTTCCAAACACATCATCAGTGTACTAATAACGGTAAGCAAATTAAACTAAAGAAGCAAACAACACTTTTCCATTTAATAGAACTAGGGGTGCAACTTGGGCTTGTCCAACTCGAGCCCAACCTCAACCCGACGTCGGGTTGGATTGAGCTGACCCAAGGAAACACAAATTTGGATTTCAACCCTTGAAACCCAACCCAAATTTTCCAGGTCAGTCGGGTTTCATGGATTACCCCTTTTTTTTTTCTTTTTTTTTAAACAGCATTCGGTAGGCTCTATCTCTATATCCTTTAACCCTAATTGAATTTAGTTTCAAGAAAATTTTAAAAATAGTATTGCAAAGGCAAAAACATGTACATATTACTGGCACTTAATGTGTGTATTATTTACGTTAAAAATCTTATAAAAACAAAATAAGAAACACAAAAGTAAAATAATAATAAAGTGTAAAATGGGCTCTGCCCATGAACCTGAATATTGTCGGGTTGACCCGATTATCAACCCTAGAAACACATCAGTCATTTTTTCTTCTTAACTTCACATACACAATCTTCAATTTGAATTTCAAGAACAGCTGCATATGAGAAAGAAACATAGATTCAAAGAGAGAGACTTAAATCAAAAGATGATGGATGTAAATGAAATGGTGAGATGGACAGCGGCATTTGGCAAGAATTAGGGTTTCAAAAACACAATTTCAAGGACAAATCATTCAACCAAAATAAAATAACCACGGCGGAGGATTCTCTATAGTGGAGGTGGCCACCTTAGAAGCAACATGTTCTCTCATTAGTTCTCAATAAAAAAACCACGGCGGAGGATTCTCTATAGTGGAGGTGGCCACCGTAGAAGCAACACGTTCTCTCATTAGTTCTCTATAGTGGAGGTGGCCACCGTAGAAGCAACACGTTCTCTCATTAGGTTCTGAAATTTTTGTTAGTTCGGGTTGAGATTGGGTTGACCATATTCTAAGAGAGATTTATACCTAGAACTAGTAGCTTGGATGTAGATGACACTTTTTCTACTAAATGATTTTCTTTGAAATTATGTTTTAAAAACCCAAAACATGTGTTCTCTATAGTGGAGGTGGCCACCGCAGAAGCAACATGTTCTCTCATTAGGTTCTGAAATTTTTGTTAGGGTTAGGAAACTTTACATACACCCACAAGAATTCGGGTTGGGCTCGCGTTGACCATGTTCAACCCGAGACCAACCCGAAAATAGGCCCAGGTTGAAATCTGTCAACCCAAAGCCAACCCGATTTGTTGGTAAAAGAAGCCCAATCCGAAAAGTCTCGGGCTGGGATCGATTTGGACTGGGCCGGCCTGTCCTAAGTTGCACCCCTAAATAGAACCGTGTTAACATAGATCATTGGATTAGACAGCAAGTGATCAATTTTCACTTTCAACAGCAATATCATAAACATTCTCGAAACTTATTATTCTATTCTGCTAACCATGTTGCTCATCAACATATCTGATTTTGAGAACATGGAGTTGCCTTCAATAACGTTGTTACTTGTGAATGAAACAATTTCATAAATCACTACAAACTCATGAAGCACCAAAAACATGAAGCAAATTTCGTTGGCTCAGGATATAAATCAAGTCTACGGAGTAGAAGCAAATTCCATTCACTACACATTCCACAAAATTCAACTACCACAACAAGAACACCATAATGCATAGCAAATGACAAGGTAAAAGCAAGATTATCTAATATCTCTTCAGATTAATACCTAGAACTATTAGCTTCAGAATAAAAAGGAACAGCTCCAAAAAGGCATCATCTCGGCTTGGCAAAACCTTAAATGTCCTTCATTTTCTACCATGGCACTTAACAACTTGCCTGTTCCTCTTCTTGACACCAGACTTGGAAACCTTAAGGCTCCTGTTCACAGCACTCAATCTCGCAAGGGCTGCAGTCTTCAGATCTCGCCTGTAATAGTTATCTGCCACCTGCAGATAAAAACACAATGATAAGAAGACTAGCATTCATGAAGACATTTCAAAATGAAAAGGGGAAGGAAAAGGGGAGGAAAGAGAATAAAAAATAGCAAGAAAGGGGTAATGAATTGGGGGAGGAATACCACATACTCTATAGGAAAGTGTCGTCTGAAAGAATGTCAAATCATGCATCTCAATATTTGAAAGAATGTGAGAAAGAAGATAATACAACTGATCTGGTCACTTTCTAGGACAACATTTGCAATGGCACAACCACCAAACCAAGCCTAACTTTATCATAATAAAATATACTAAAGCAAATACCATTCTATTAATACATAGGATACATTGCTAAAGCACCAATAGGGGGGAGCAGAAGTTGAAGTGAAACTTGAATAAGCAAATTTTATTAAAGAACCCACCCAATGGGTTTCTTTAAGAGCTCTATGTTGCTTAGAAAAACTTGCAAATTAGCTTCGAAAGAAATATTCAGAATTGGGCCAAGAGTAAGCTAATATTGATTCTTCACTCTTCATATAAATTTTACTTCCAAGAAAAATTTACAACAGATATCCATACGTACTAAGACTAAACATAGAAATAGATCATCATCATAGCACAACATTTTGATATTATATCAAATATGCCACCAACTGGTCTCCTCCATTATAAATTTCCACCACAATGTGTCCAAAGCAAGATGCATAAACCATTGCATCAATGCAAATAGTAACAAGATGTGCAGTGATAAACTCATTTTTGTGACTTTCCATAAACAAAAACTACTGGTCCGTAGTCCACCAGTTTCAAGGTAATGTAACAGTTTCAATGAGAATTATTTAATCAGTAAATTAATGCATAATTTTCAACATTTTGAACTGCCACAACTCAATCAACAATTTCAGCTTTAAGGCTTACTTTGCTTGAAAGATATAACTAACCTGCATGTTAGCATCCAATGAAAATCATTGATTACCTCACGCATTGAAAGGATAACACATTTTTGGTACCTACTGCACTGCACAACTTCAATAATCTCAAATTTGAGGTATGACAATGGCTATTAACAAGATTAATACACACCCCTAATTTGCCCACGATCCATTGACATCCAGACAAGCTGATTGCAATCATTGCTCAATCAATTGTCTTAAGAGTGGCAAATAATTTGCCCATAAAGCAATCAAACTACGAAAATGAAGCAATCAATAACATAATCTCTGGAATTTAACAAAAAACTGTCCTCTTAAAAATTGAGTACCTGGTTTACAGCCTAACAAACTAAGGTTGAGAAATTGCTTTACTCATTGCAATCATTACCACATTAACCCAGTATAAAATATTAAACCATCTACAAATTAGCAATCAATAACTTTAATCTGTGAAATGTAACACAAAGTGTCTCTTCTTACAAATTTAGTACCTGGTTTTCAACAGCCTTCACCATGTGGCGGAACTCTTTCTTCATTACAGACTTGTGAAGCAAAGATGCAGGTTTGTTTTGCTTCTTGGTCTTTGTAGTTGCAAGCACCACGGAATGATCTTTACCTCCTGGTTGAATGGTTATACTTTTCTTGTTCGCTAATCCTACAACATCATACCATCAAGAAAAATAAAAAATTTCAATACATAACCATAAAACTACAATTCAATCTAAACCCACCACAACTGAGACACAGCAAATCCAATTGCTGTTAAAGAAAGACAATCAAATACAAAAAATAGAGGGAAAACCCTCATATTAAGCGCGCATACAAAAGAATAAGATAATTAATTAAATATTTATATTGGGTTTTCTTTCCCATGCTCCTCCGAACTAAACAGTATGTTGGAAAAATAGAAAAACAAAGAAACATATAATTTTAAAAAGAAAATCATTTTCTAGGAAACAGAACGCATTAGATCTAAAACTTTCCTCTGATCCAAACAGGCCAAATATACGATGTAACGTCATTGCATTGCATTTTACTATACCAGAGTGCTTGTAGGAGTTGAGGTTGTAGAGATTGCTACTCTCTTTGCTGAACTGCACACTCGCGGTTCCGTTACCGAACTCCTTCACGAGAAAAGAATTGTTCTTTTTTACAATCTCCCAGATCAACTGCCCTGGAACCGTCGCCATTTCAATCCACTGCACTGCATCCACAATACAACTTTTATATATATACACACACACACATAGAAATAGATACATATTCACACAAAGCTTTAGAGAGAGAAAATACCAAGAGAGTTTCTCTAGGGTTTTGCTTCGACGGCCTTTCCTGGGAGAGAGAGATGGCAAGACGAAGGACGGGCAGCTTAAACTTATATTTATAGTGGCACCGAAACCCTAATGGGCAGAGGTAGGGCCCAATTTGGTTTTGGTTTTGGTTTTGGTTTTGGTTGGGGGAGATGTCAGCGCAAAAAAAAATAAAAATAAAAAACCGAGAACGAGAGAGGTAATGGGATATAGTGTATCATGTTTGGTAGAAAATTTTGGTTGGAAAAAAAATAATAATAATAAAATGGAAGATTTGGAAGGATGAATAGTTTTGTTACCCTATTAAAAAATAAAAAAAGTTTAATGAAACTTTCTTAATACAAATTTTGTTCTTATTTTTATATATAAATAAAAAAGCAAAATCAAAATACCATGAATCCTAAGCCATGCTTTTATTCTTTTTTAATCCTTTATTTGCGTTTAAATTGCCATTTTTATTTGAATGACATTTAGTTTGATCTTTATATTTATTAATTGAGGTGCACGTACGATACCTCATGTATAATCTCATTATTTCTTCCGGCTTAATAGTGTTGCACATGTAAGATACAAATATGTTTTACAAAAACTGAAAATTTAATTGCTAAATCACAAATTGAGAATCCCAAAAAGAAGGGACTAACTATCCTCACACTTTAGACTTTTTCTTTTTCTAATTTGTGCGCGAAGTAGTGTCGAACCTCTTAGAATATCCTATAATTGACACTTAAATTTCCTCCAAGTGTATCAATCAAAAACATAATACTGGCGGTTCCTTGCATCATATACCCAAGCTTAGCTGAAAGTTTGAAACTGCCTTTTCCGACGATAGGCCATTTGCCAATTTATATAAATAAAAACCAAATCGTTTCTTTTAAACTTTAGGTTCTCAACCGAGCACTTACTAAAACTTGCAAATGGCAAGAACAGCACCAACAACCTGAAATAATAGTTTCAAAGAAATAATCAAATCATATCCAGCAGTAATTAGGTAACTGGTGACATTAAATTGAGAAGACTCCTAAACAGCCAAAATTCATGACTACAGACCCTAAAAACATAACAACATATCACCATCTTTACACTTCAACTAATGTTACACTATATTATACACAGGGAAAGCAGCCTACCTTGGTTGTACTCTACCAGTTCTTACAACAATGAGATCTCATGGCACTATTATACAAAGGGAATTCCACCTTCGAGGCCAAATATACATTGCTGGAAACAACAGCACAACTATAAGAATGTCGAAACTAAGCTGCCTAATTGAATAAAGTTCAATTGAAAAACCAAAAGTGAAAAAAGTCCAGCTACTGCAACTTAGATGGAGAAACAACCTTCACAAATTGTTTGAGGTCAAAACACGGGATGCTGGTCGCATAGAGCTGTTCAGTGCTGCGTTTATCCTACTGAAAGCTACTTTCAAGGGAACACAAGCTATGGCAGGGCCCTTGAGCTTTTCTACCACTGGTCTATTCTCTACTTTGCTTTGCTTGTGAGAACCAGTTAGGGAAGAGAGTTTCCGAATCTTCTTAGATAATAAGCCATTTTTCCTTTTGGGTGATTTACTCGGCGAAACACGTGGATGCAGTGTCAGATGCTTGCTAGGAATCCTTGCGACTCCCAGATTCGGCTTCACTTCGTAGTCCACATCAGCACTTTCTAGAGCAGATATATTTTCTTCCAGATCGTCATCCGACTCACAGCTGCTACTGGTCAGGTAGCATTCAGGGCCACTTATTAGAATATCACAAAAGCCATCATCCAAAACCTCAACTGTGAGAGGGTGACCAATAATGGCTTGACCATTCAGTTTACTCATGAGAGAAATATATGGAACATGCTGAGGACGATAACTGGCTTTCACCTCCAGATTAACATCATACAAGGAGGAATCAGCTTCATAATTTCTGACAAAAAAATCTGACATCTGATATTTTGGATTAACTGAAAAACGGGACTGACGATAGGGCAGTGACCTTTGGGGTGCCGGGGAGCAATCAAGCAAAAGTTTCATCTCAGCTGTTTTCGTCCCCATATGAGGTTCCCTGTGAGAAAGCCTGCTGCTCCAACCCCAGAAATCATCAACCTTGGTCTCCACGACAGGCTTGGACTTTGCTCCATAAGTACCACAGTCTAAAGTGGGGGACCCACAAATGGGATTGCGATCAATTTTCAGACTAGAACCCAGAGAATATTGATCCCGAGGCCCCATACTTGGCAAATAAGGATTGGATTCATCATCAACCTCCACATATTTTCTTGAGTATTGTTTTCTATTCTTTGTTGTATGTCTTGAGTTCCTTTTTCCTTTTAACTGCCACTTTGAAGTACCTTTCTCTATCCTCGGGCTAATATTATTCATATCAGCAGCACCTGAACTGGTAGAACCAGACTCTAAGTCCTCATTTCCCAAAGATATAGTTTCCACTAGACTGCTTTGACTCGATTGCACTCCGCCACCTACTTGAGGTTTCTGAGATGAACAAGATACAAATGGAGAAAAGCCTGGTCAAACAAAATGCATATCAGCATATGATATAAATCCCTAAAAATCCAATACAAGGCCCTATATTAGATACAAGGGCTCGAAATTAATTACTCAAACTAAATACTACAATTACAATGTAGGAACACAGGCATTATGACTAACAAAAATCATTATTTTTACATAGAATTGTTCCACAGCTAGAGAGCAATATGGACTCTGAAAACAATCCAAGAGCAGGAGAAGAAAACCAATAAATATAAGATGAAATGAGATGGAAATACAAAAATTAGCAAAAACTTTATGCATAGCAAAGGAAAAAATCTCTGGGAAAATCTAATAAAAGGGCATAATCCAAAATTAGCTCATCAGAAATACATATTAATAGGGCACCAAGATAATAATAGTTCTGCTATTGCCATACTTAGACTTTTCACTTGACTAAAAATCTTCGTCTCTTAGGATGATGGAACAGGTTTCTGAATATGAAAAGGGCTTAAAACTCCATTTCCATTAAATTATAGTCACTCTTGATAATAGTTCTGCTATTGTCATACTTCGACTTTTCATTTGACTAAAAATCTTTGTCTATTAAGATGATGGAAAAGGTTTGTGAAAAGGGCTTAAAACTCCCTTTCCATTAAATTAAAATCACATTCCAAACAATTGCGGAATATTTTGCCACAGAATGCTGATTTATTACGACATGCAAGCACCTCTGAGGTGTTTCCCATAACATGGCTTGCCCGCATGCCCTAGTTTCTAGAATGCTCATCACGTAGAGTCTACTAGCAAAGTCATGTAACTATACTTGTGAAAAGATTCCATTCTCATAAGAATAAGTAATGTTCTTGATGGAGATCGTAAGGTGTTTCCCGCCTATGTCAGGCGTAGGCACAGAGATATTTTAGTATTTTTAATTTTTTATTATGGAGAAGAGACGAGGGAGTTCGCAAATTCACGAATATAATTCAATAATCCAAAGCTAAGTTGTTTGATTACAAAGGAGCCCTTATATATGCTAAAACATAAACAAACCCAAAAATATTAAAATACTAAAATAACCCTCAAAATAGAACATTGCTAAAAATAATTAAAAATAAAACCTAATTACATCAAATCCCTAATTTCATCTATCTTTGCCCCTTCTCCTAAAAAAGAGACGGAACACGTGTGACTCATCCATGAAAATCATAGCTCCTTTTCGCACCTATGTCAGGCATAGACGCAGAGATATTTTAGTATTTTTATTTTTATTGTAGGGTGATTATTTTTAGTAATTATTGGGATTTTATTTTATTCTTGGGTTTGACTATAAAAGGCCTTGATGAAACAGACTTTGGTAGTTTTTGGAGATTATTGATATTGCTTCTTCTGAGTTCTCTCTGTGTTATTTTCTTCTCCCATTTTCTTCTTGGTTTTCTACCCATTCTGTCTATCCTGCCATTCTGTTCACTTTGTTCTCAGCCCCCCTCGTCTGGCTCCTCATCCCCTTCTTCTAGTCTCATCTCTTCTTCTACTTTCTCACCCCCCTACTTTCCTTCTGGTTCGTCATCAATTCTGATGCCCCTCCCCTAACCCTTCAATCGTTTTTGGTATACCGCTAAAGAGTTGTGATGCAAGGATAAAGAGTCGTTCGGCATTCAAGAACTCCTTAGAAGTCTTTATAAACATGCACATTCCATCTTCTACCTATTTTTTAAATTGTCAACACATTTTAGGACCAATAGTACAATACAATTAGTAATTCGATGAAACGGGTTATCAGTTCACACAACATAGATTTTGATTTAATATATCTGAGTCATGTTACTTTATCCCAAGGACTCGAGTAACATAAAATGGGAAAGCCGTAGCCTGTCAAAAGACACCTAAACGAAATTTCCTTAATGCCATCATTAAATGTTGTTTTATAAGCATTTAATAAAACAAGCACTTTTTCTTTCCCAAAAGATTTACTAGGCTAAGTGTGTGTCCACACACACACCCCAGTGGAGATATCATACAATTGGGACGTGTCACGTATGTGTTACCATAAGTGATAATTAATTAGAAGGCAACTTGCATCTCTTATGAGCAAAATATTATTGTAAACAACAGAAACCAACCATGTATGGGACAGTGGCAGTCATAAATTGTTATATACCAGAGGCTTAAAAGAGGGTTTTGACTTCAAATGAACTGAGGGTGTGTTCGGTTGCTTGGAATTGGAATTTGTGAAATTTGAGAAAAACAACTAAGAAAATTGAACCAAAATTTTCTCAAATTCCACCAATTCCAATTCCAAGGTTCCAATTCCATGCAGCCGAACACACCTGAAAGAACAACTAATTATCATTATCAGACCAAATAATTTAGGAGAAGACACTGTTATTTAAACTACAAATATTTTAAGTTCTTAAATATACCAGTATCCAGAAGAAGATATAAACATGGTATAACCAATTGTGTTTTGCTTCCAGAATCAAATAGCCTCCAAAAGCAATACAAGGGTGCAGATCAAATTGAGCATAAAAGAATGCAAGAATCCATAAAATTTCAGAAGGGTTTATGAATATACGAGTGCCAAAATAAATAATTCAAGTTGCCAAAGCTGAGAGCTGTATTAGCACAAGGGAAAGAAATGTTGAAATGACATCTAAAAAAGGAAAGGTGAGGTAAAAGGTTCAAATCTTATTGACTTTTTTTTTTTAAAAAAAAAAAAAAAGAGGGCAAAGGGCTGGGGGGAACAAGCCAAGTCGAGCATTGGCCACAGAAGTGCATACATGGGTGTAAAAAGGAATGCACTTATAGCCTTAAATTAATTTTTAAATCTTCTTTTTGAGAATTCTCCTTGAATTAATGTTCTGAGCAACCACTGCAGAATAAATTCAAAGGTTAACAAGCTAATAGAGCCGTGTCACTTGGCTGAACAAGCAATCAATCCGTTAAATATATTATACCCCACAATCACAAGAGTAAAAAGCCAAGTTTCAGATGGTCCAGGTTTGGCTTATACAAAAATGTGCCTAAAATCTAGGGTCAAGCTTGACTAAAAGTTAATTAGCAGGCAAACATGAATAAGCATCCTAACAAGGCATACCATTGCAAATCATAACCAACTTGTATCATATCACATTACCAGGGGGAAAATTGGTTCATATGGTACTGAAAGGTAGCCTAGAATTTCTAGAAAAGTTTACTTTATAAAGTTAATAAATAGATAGCCTCATGTCTTAAGTTGCAATTTTGTAGTCTCATCAAAATTTCCTAACTATAGCATATTTAGAAGGAAAACATAACCTTAAAAAAAAGCAAGTTAGAGATCTTTTCACAATAAAAAGTTCATGATCATGGATCAATAGATCCATTTATAAAATCATGTACTCGTAGATTAATCCGTCTCATGTTGTTTGCCCTGATAACAATAAAATAAGGTATTAAAAATGAAAGGTTTTATAGAACTAAAAATTGGCAAAACATTTTATTCTTAAAAGTCCACAAGAAAATAACCTCTTCCTTATTACATACTAGTTTTCAAAGCATTTTTTTTAGAACCTCTCTCACAAAATTAGGATTGGAAGATTCCTTGAATTACCAGCACTGCTTATAATTTATGTTCTTATTTTCATGATCAGGGTAATTGGGCAAAGTGCCTATCACTGAAGCTTCTCCCAAACAAAAGTATGTCCTAGTGATCAGGTCAATTATTAAATCATAAATTGCTAAATTCAAACCCATTTTTCAAGACTAAAGGCTGAACTCAAAAGTAAACTGAGGATTATAAATTCTTCTCTTTTATAAAAGTCGAAGTAAAGATGAGTTTATCCCATTGTCATTTATCAGAAGAAAAAAAAAAAAAAAAAGAGGGTAGAATTTGTTCAATTGTATATAAGATAACGTCACTATAAAATACAGGAGCAAGATAACAAAAACCGTAGAACTGTGGGCTAGTTCACAGTTATGATTAAGCATACCTGCAGAGTGCTTTTCCACCCCAACAAATGGCACATCAAACAACCTGTCAGAAGAATCATTCTCTGGTAGCCCTGACATGCTGGAAATTTCATTCTCCTTCCGTTTTATAAGGGAAGCATCTTCAGATACACAAAATAAAGTTCCATTCTCACATGAAACTCCACTACTGTCCGACCTCTTATTAACAACCATTGGAAAACTTCTCTTTGATTCATGGGATTCTAATCCAGACACCTTGCCGTCAGATACTCCCGGGAGAGGAGACCCATTTGGACTGTCAAGTTGTTCACAGATAACTGGAACAGACACCATAGTTGTACTCTCTAGCACTTTTGTTAGCGGACGGCGACGATTTTTCCTTTTCAAGAATTCATGAACATTGGCAACTTGAGATGCCTTTCTTTTCAATGGTGATACTACACCCATTCCTAAGTCCTCAAGTCCTCTCATACGCTTATTTCTTTCTGTCCCATCATCCTCTGAATCATTTGGGGTTTTTCGTCGCTTTCTCTGCACAGATTGTTCCTTAGAAGCACAGATCTGATTTGGCTCTTCAAATGAGACACCAGATTGAGACAATTCCTGTGCTGAATTTGACATATCCCCAGAACTACTCGATTCCTCAGCCATATGTTCAGTTTCTTTGTCAGGATAAGGCAAGGTCAATGATTCTGTAACGCCACCTGATTTATCCAGTCTTGAGCAAAAGTCCGGCTGATCTTTGGGTTGAAGAGCATTTTCAAGCTCAAGCGCATGAAGAATCGCATCATCCCTGCGAGCGTATTTCACTGCTTTCTTAGAAGAATTAGCCACAGAAGCCTTAGCTTTTTCAATGCACTCATCATACTCCCCACAACGAAATGCCTTCACTCGTTTAGATTTCTCAAGATTATACCAGTCTCTGAATCAATAACAAAGAAGAAATTTGTCAATAATTTCAGAAATATTAAATAAATATAAACACTAAAACCCATAAAACTTTAGAAAGAGGAATTTAATGTTTGTGTTAACCATGAAAAAAAAAAAAAAAAAAGTATCTACAAAGCAGTCAAAAAGTAAAAGAATGAATACTGCAAACACCAAATATATAACAAAAATAATACTTATCAAAAAATATATATATAACAAAAATAAACCCATATTATTATTGGCTCTTACAATAAACAAAAAGAAGATTTAAAGGGGCAATTATGGTTATAGAGCAGAAAGAGTGTTTGAAGACGCAATGGGCTCTCTGATTTTGTGATATGCCCCAAAATGCAAGCAAGTGTTTTCAACTGCATGGTTAAAATACAAGGACAGAAAATATTCAATTACATTCCATTATATCACACAAACTAAATAATATGCAGAACCAAACTGTCTGCCAAGATTTGGCTGATATTATAGTATCTCACACAATCCAGGCCAAATGTCTCGCTCAAAATAAACCATTGAAGCATGTCCATGTGCATGTGCATGAAATAATAATAAATGGTTGAACCCAGGGGCGGAGCCAGAAATTTTGATTTGGTGGGGCCGGATTTGTCCTATGTAACTTAAATTTGTAAATCAATTGTAATATAATTTTGTTTAAATATTAGTCATAGTATGTATACCATCAGATAATCCAAAAATGACAAATATACACTTAAAAATAAATAGATGGAAAACTGATAAGAGAAAGAAAAATATAGAGAAGAAGAAATAAGTTACAATTAAAAAAGAGAAGAAGTAAAGAAATAAGCATTGTTCGAGAATCAAGTTTCCTTCATCAATTGCATCCGTTTTTTAAAAATCTAATTTTTGGAACAAAAAAAAATTGAGTACTTTGATTCCACTTCAAAAGGATATATCATTATTATCTAGATGAAATATTAGAAAAATATAAAGATATTTAACGAAACAAAATCTCTCAAGTTTAAATTAAAAAAGATTATTAATTTAGTAACTTGTACAAATAGTTGCAAAATTTGCCATTTAACGAGAAACAACTAAATGTATTACCATTTATGAACAATACTTACCAATTAATTATTATTTAGGGGTATTAATGAAAATAAATTAAAAATGGGGCCCAGCCCTAACTCCGCCCCCTGGTTGAACCCTTTAGAAAAGAGTAAAATTGATTATCAAGGTTAATAAAAGTTGATCATTTTGCTCTTTCGTAGTTAGTATTATGTGCAATCATCATACCTGTTGTAGTCATGCTTTACTTCCTTCTTAGGAATGAAATTTCCAGAACTACATCACAGATGAGGGCCCTATCAGGATGCCACTTAAATATAAGGGACCCATTCATAATTAAAATAGCATTTAATATAAATATTCATAACCTTGAATGGATCCATTTAGAGAAACAGCGACTTCATATTTCTTCTTAGCTAGTCTTTTTATGTTTCTGTGAAATGACAGAATTCATAATTATAAACATTAGTTTTTAGATGAAAATCATATTCTCAAATGTGATAATTCAAGGCAATGAATTTCTATATCAGAATGCCATGTAAAAAGGGAGTGAAACCACTCAATTCAAAGGGACATTCAAACACGCACTTAATTGCTTTCCTTATCAGACATTTGCAAGCACATTAATGCTATGTTTGGTAAAAGGGAAGGAAGGGAGTGGATAGTGAAGAAGGGAAGGAAGGGAGCATGCTTTTATTTCTTGGTAAAGGGGAGAGCATAGTTATTAAAGGCTCAAGGCTTCCTAAAGCCTAATCACAAGGCACAACTTAACATCCAATCCTGATCAAAACAAGGTGCGTGTGTGATAAAAATGAATATAAATTTAAGAATAAAAAAATAAAATAAAAAAGAAAGTACAATATCAAAACAAAAGTAAAGATCAAAAAAAGTAATTTTTCAGCATATTAATTCAATTGATTAGCAACATATATCTTTTCAGTTTGCATATGAATGCAATCAAATCAATTTACTCGAGAAATAATTCAGTATATGCAACACAACAAAATTGGAACCTTTTACATATCAACTTACAGGAACAAGAAAATCAATGCATATAAATCATTTTGATATGCAAATGCATTAATTAAATCTACTTAACAAAAAAAAAAAAAAATTGCATTATTTAAATCAAATACCATTAAAATTTTGCAACAATAATAAAAACCAAATAAATCAAGTGAAATTTAAACATGTTTTATACAATCACAAAATTTTAGAATCAAGCACTAGACGCAACTAACGTCTAATTTAAGTAGTCAATGATAAGCTTCATGAGTCTCATCAACTATACTATAAGATTATATAATGTAATCAATTGAATATGAGAATAATGTAGGGTAGAGTACGTAAATTAGAAAAAAGAAAAAGATATCAATGAATGATTAGAAAATAGGAGGCAACATGAGAAATAATTCAGTATATGCAACACAACTAATCCCAAGGTTTTCAAAATTGGAACTTTTTACACATATACTTAGGGGAACAAGTAAATCAATGCATAAAAATTATTTTGATATGCAAATGCATTAACTAAATCAAATACCATTAAAAATTTGCAACAAAAATAAAAGGCAAAAATCATGTTAAATTTAAACATATTTTATACTATCATAAAAATTTAGAATCAAGCACTAGACGCAACTAACGTCTTATACACAAATAGTCAACAATAACCTTCATGAGTCTCATCAAGTACACTATACGATTATATAATGTGATCCATTGAATATGAACAAAATGTGGTGTATAGAACGTAAATTAGAAAGAAAAAAAAAAGAAAGAAAAATATATGAATGAATGATTAAAAAATAAGAGGCACAATTTCTTTGAGCCTGAAACTTACTAAAAGTGCACAAGCTTGGGGTCTTTTTGTGAGCCTGACTGAAGGGGCCGGCTTGTGGTAAATTAAGGCACCCCAACTTGGCCTTGAAGAGTTTGGGGCTTTTTTTAAGCTTGGGTGAAAAGACAGGAGTATGGATGAGGCCTCCCTCCGGGCCCACCAATTTACATCCATCTAAAACTAAACAAAAGAGTGGTACCAAAGAAGTACACTTGTTGGATAAAAACAAAAGTACGTTATAATCTCAATAATTAACTGGGGACATGTGTATTAATTCATATAAAGGGGTATAGTTGTCAAATAATATCCAAACCTCCTCTTCCATTACGTCCTACCACACAATGAAAGGTGTCACTCATTCCTTCCATTCCACTTGGAAGGACGCATTCCCTCCCCTGTAGATGCCTCTTCCGGTCCTTGTTTCCTTTAATCCACTTTTTACATTCCTCCAATGTAACATACCATACACCAATAGTCGTGGACTCAAAAAACAAAAAATAGGTAACATATGTATGGAAGATAATCAAGTATAAATATAAAAAACAAACAACAATAATTAGTAAGGATGCAAGAAAAATAATAAAAGACTTTTGAGGAGGTAACCAGTATGTTATTTCAAAACTTTAGTTATTCTTATAAGCTTGATAAATCAAAAAGGCCATATACAAACCATGTACATAGTGAGTAAGTGTGTGTGTGAGAGAGATTGGGAACATAGTATTTGGACACTAGAAATGAAAATTTAAAATTTTATTCTACAAGAGTGAAGACATCACAATATTATATTTACACCAACAAAAGTTGTACGGTGGGTTTCATGGTGAAGACTAAGAATGCTGAACAAAATGAATGTCATCTGTAGTCATCCAAGCACTAATATGCAATATGAGACTACCAAAATTTGTAACAGTTCCAACTGTAGGAAACCACAATGTATTTAATCAAGAATGCATAATGCATTTACATAACGCAAAACAAACATGCACAACGGAGAAGAGAAGACAACAACACCCCAAAAACTACATTATCCATGTCCTCATTTAACCAAAATCAATTTATTTGTTGCCTGTCGAGTATATAGATAACTTCGTATACTATTATCTGAAACCACATATGCATTAATCTCAAAGCAACACTTCCAATAAAAACCCACAACGATCCACCTTAATAAAACTTCCGAAAACAACAAAAATAGCTTCTGACAATTAACATAAGTTTCTCCGGCCTATACTACCAAATAGAAGATAGAAACTAAAACTTAACAAGTAATTAAGAGTCACAATAAGGAGCTTACATGCTTGCATCCTCTCTCCCCAAAAGCTTCACCGGAGTACCTGATCTCGGTGACACCAAACAACTCTCAGACAATTCATCCGCACCCATGATACGCCCCGGCCACCATGACCCATTCCGACGCCGAACCCATACCAACCCGCCTACAACCGGGTCAATGCCGTTTGTGTCGGCCTCACTAGAACTTCCCATCACTCACCACACAATACAACAGACAATGACCGATCTCAGAAATCAATCTCAAAACCCTTTTAATCTAAGCACATTGAAGTCCCCATATATTCTAACCATCCTTCCATGAACAAATGCACATACTCTTTCGCCCCGAAACCCTGGTAATGAAAAAAAAAATTTAAAAATTAAAAAAAATCGTAAAAATCCAATTCCACATGCAACAAAACCCACAAATAACACCATATAATAAGAAAAAAATTACGAACATACCTAGGAAATCTGATAAAGAGAGAGAGAGTAAATAGAAAAAAATCCAGGGTCTATGGGCAGAGAGCGATCTGGTAGAGAGAAACAACAGAAAACATATGAGATTATTTCTAGCGAGAGAAAGATCTTGTTTTTTCCGTTTTATCTAAGTTTTTAAAACAACAAACAAACAAAAAAAGTAAAAAAAAAATAAAATTTCGTTCGATTTCTAAATAAAAAAAAAATTGTCTGATTTTTGCTATCACAAGTTCGATTTTTTCTTAGTTTTCTAACTGAAAAGATTGTGGGTGGTTTCAGAGAGACAGAGAGAAAGAGTTGATGATGAACGAAGCAGCATGTCTTCTGCTTAAACAAGAATTAAACGTACCATTGGTATCTTTTTGCCCAGACAAGAGATGCTTCAGAGAGAGACAGAGAGAGAGAGAGAGAGATAGGTACATACAGATTTTGTGGATTATTAATTTGAAGTTGGGAGGAGAGAGAAAACGAAGAGGTGAAAGTGTTTTGATTAACCACGACAGGTATTATAATTGCGCTTCTACATCTGTCCCACGTGCATGTAATTGGGCCTACTTTTTAAGAGATAAGTCCCATTAGAGAAAGTGTTTGTAATCAACGGTTGTGATCACCCTGCTGGATATAATGAATAATTGTGCATCATACTCGTACCTTTTTTTCCGTGTGAGTGAAAAGGTTTTCATTTGTCTCTGGATTTTTTTTTTTGAGCTCTGCACATATCAGAACACTAGAAGAGGAACGAGGAGAGAGAAGGTCGAATCCAAGTGAAAGCATGAGACTACCATTGTTGGTAATTCAGAGAAACGGTTCTGTTTCTATTTTATCGTTGATTGCATGATGGTTGAGTTTTACTGTTAAAGATTCAATTTTGATGTTTCTCTTAATATCGATATGTGATATTAATGCAATATTTTAATTGTTTATCTTTTTCCCGATGATATTATGATTGAAGGGTCGGTGAAGGGTCTTGTGGTTTTCCATTTTATTGTATTGATTGATTGCATGCTGGTTGAGTTTATAGTAAAAGATCCAATTTTGGTGTTTCTTATAACATTAATAGGTGATGTTAATGCAATATTTTGATTGTTTATCTTTTTCATGATGATATTATGATCGAAGGGTCGGCGAAGGATTTTTTTTTTTTTTCGTTAGGGTTTTCCATGTAGAAATCTATGTGTCTCATCTTTTTATTGTTGTAATTGTTTATGAGCTTGGATGATGGATTGAGTGATTTTTGTGTTTCTGTCATATTATAAATTTCTGTTAAGATTGTTGAAATTCAAGAAGTCTTTAAAATTCGAAAATCGAAACTACAAGCAAGGTTGGGGACTAGAGATTGGTGAGCAAGCGGCCAAATATTTTCCTAATCGTTCTTTCCTGGAGGTGAGAATGGGGTTTAATGCTTCGTGGGCTTGGCAGAGCTTCTAGGCATCCAAAGATTTGGTCAGGGAAGGGCTTGTATGGAGGGTTGTTAATGGAAGTCGAATCGAGTGTTGGGATGATAGGTGGATTGTTGATGAGTTTTTGCTCAATTGTTTACTGCTAGACCAAACAATGCACTATTTTCAGAGTGAGTGATCTGATAATGGGAAATGGAATGAGCAGTTAGTAAAGGAAATTTTTGAGAGAAGAGATTGGATAAGAATTATACAGATTCCAATTAGCTTGTCCTCCACTCAAGACAAACAGTTCTGGTTGTTCAACAAAAATGGTACTTTCTCTGTCAAATCAGCTTATCAGTTGGCTTTGAGGTTAAAAAGGAAGGAATTGGATAGTATTTTGAAGTTTCAAGGAGAAACTAGTGTTTCAAATGCCATGGCAGATCAGTGGTATTCTCATTGGAGGCTTAAAGTAAAACCAAAGATCAAACATTTCCTATGAAGGTGTCTTCATGATCAGATTGCACTTCGGATGTTTGGCCAGAAGAAAGTTGAAAGATGAGATTATATGCAAAAGTTGTGGGCTCGAACCTGAGTCATTGAGTGCTTTGCAGGTGCCCTAGAGCAGCTCGGCTATGGAAGTTGTCTTATTTAAGGGCTAGAATGTGGAGAGGTGGAGCGTGGTATGCACTACAAGAATTTTAATGTTCGCCGGTGGTTTATTACCGACAATTTGGGAAAGTGCCAGAAATTATAAATATTACCAGTGGTTTTGAATAAGTGCTGGAATTTGTTTTCAATTCCGGCGGTGTCCCACGAAGTGCAGAAATAATTAATCAAACCCACCCATCTGTAATTTTTAGTTTTGTCCGGCAGTTTTGAATGCTGGACAAAGCTTAACTTTTGGCGCACTCTTTTTCCTATTCGCGGTATGTTTGGGGCCCAAAGAATATAGAACATTTACGACACTGTATTAGTTACTTCCATCAGTTACAGATATCTAAAATCTATGTTGGCTTCTAAAATACACTAGAACTCTCGAGACTCTCGCGACAGAACTCTCATCCTCCATTTCCAAATCCTTGAGTTTATGTTGGCTTCTAAAATACGCATATCTATCATCTTTTCGATCTGAACTCTCGACTCTCTCGACAGATTTCATGTCTCATTCACAACAGTAAGGTTCTCAGCTAAATCAGGTTCTCCGCTCTCTCTATATAGATGTGTATATTATTGTCATGACATCTGTGAAATCACTCAAAATCATTTTGTTGTGTTACAATACATATATATATTAGGCATAACTTCAGCTTTAGCTTCAACAACTTCCTCTTCAATTTGTGCATGAATCCTTTCAATTGCAATCACTACAAGACCTATGGATTAGGTTTTCCCTCTCTCTCTCTATATATATATATACAAATATATTTATATTATCTGAGAATCATCCAGAAATCTTTGAATCCTCCAAATTTTTGTGAAATTGTTTAGAAATCTGTGAAATTATTTAGAAATCATGACGAATTTGGAATAATTTTAGTTTTGCCTTTGACAAAATCCTTTTCAATTGCATGCATTTCCTCTGTTTGAATTATTAGGACTCTATCTCTCTCTCTCTCTCTCTCTCTCTCTCTCTCTCTGTGTGAATGCATATTTCAATAGATTGTTTAAAACCAAAATTTTAAGCTCATGACTATTAGGGCTCTCTCTATTTGATCTTGAAGCGCATGACTATGACTAAAAAATACTTGGAAACTGTAAATTTACAACTTAATATGGTTTAAAATTAAAATTTGCCAACACATAACACTAAAATATTATTTGTCAAATCAAAATTTGCCGACTTAATATGGTTTATGCTTTCCCTTTCTGAAAAGTTGACCGCAAAAAGAGTTTTTTTAAATGTAATTATGATTATCTAGGAAGTAGTCATGTTGTTCCCTTTGCTGCGCATGGAAGGAGTCGGATGGATTTTTTGAGACTAAAGAAACGAGCTACTACATTGACCTCAAGTTCGGCTCATTCCTTAATAAGGGAAGTCATCAATGAGCTTGTTACAAAGTCGATCCTAGAATTGTCCGTGCATAGCAAAATAAGTATTGTCTGAATTTGATGATAAAGAATGATGGTGGTTGTACAACATACTTAGGTTCAAGTCCTTCTTAATCCCTGTCACAACTTGCCTACTCCTCCCCTTTACAAATGGATACAAATGATAAAAATAGTTCTCAAATCATTCCCATTTGTATACTTACATTTCTTTTTCTTTTCTTTTTCTTTTTTATCGAAAACAGAATCCTGGAGGTTTTCTCTGCTCCAAATCAGAGCCTCTTTGTCAGAGGAGACATCTTCACCTGTTAATGCTGAAGAGTGATTAACAGACCTAAAGGAGAAGGTATGAAACTAGCTGGGCAAATTAGCATCAAATAGAATGTTTCCAACTTCTATTAAGTTTATTAGTGACCTGTTTCCCAGTATGTTTTTCTGTTGGTTATTAATACAACCTCTCTTGATTGATAAAATTTGATAATTGAGTTAAAGGAAATTCGAAGTAGAAAAGGCCAGGATGCATATGTTAAGGGATCCAATATGCTTGGTCTTCCTTCTTTGTCTTCATTTGGACCTAATCAAAGATTTGATTAACAAGTGTGTATATTCTTGTTGAACCAATTTTTGATGTTTTTCCCTTATGATTTACAATGCAAGTTTCCGAAGATCATGGAGCTGGTGGGACTTGGATATACTGGACGGTTTGTCAACCGATACCTTCTCTTCAAGGTAAATTGTTTGAGAGACTGTTCAGAATTTTTAAGAAAAGGAGCGTACTGTTCAGAATTTATAGAATTGCTTATATTATTTCATTTTTTGTGAGCTCAAATTTAGAATAACTGACATGAGTAAGATATTCTTTGTGTTATCTGATGCATCTCAAAGCAATTTTTGGTATCTTTTGTTTAGCATTTTATGTTTCTAGAATTGCATGTACTCAACCATTGGTTATAATTCTTCACCAATTGCTTCCCTCTTTCTTTTCCAGATTCTTTTGCCAATTCTGCCAAAAACTTATTTAGAGTTGTTACTTCTATTGGATTTGTACAATTAGTTGTGAATTTTAACACTTTTGTTTCTGTATGTCTTTCATTTTGGATGAAGGGTATCCAGATGACTCATTTGATAGATGCATCTTCGGATATATCGATAGTTACCTGCACACAACGAGGCTTATACTATTTCAGCCACCATTTTGAAGTACTGTTTTTAACTAAAGACAGAATAAAGGGAACTGCAATGTCATTTATGAATAATAGAAAAGTTTGCTTCACATTTTTATATGAACAATTTCATTCCTTGGAGTTGGGATTCAATAAAAAATCACCTCCATACGCACTCTCTCTACCATGCCTATCACATCTATTATGCTTGGCAATAATTGCAGTAACCATAACAATCAAAATTTTATTTCCCATTCCCTTTTCATGTTTTCTATGCAATTTTTGGAGTGTATTTAGTGTGTACTCGTGTGGCTTAACTACAGGGAAGCAGTGGTGGTTTCTGTTTAGAATTTGTCAGGGATTGTATCAGTTGATGTGGATGGAAGTTGGGGTTGCACTGTCAGAATAGGCACAAAACAGAGTCTTCCAGATCCCATAAGTTACAATTTTAATATTTTCTTATGTGTCGAAATAACTTAGCATTGTTCTAGCATGTTTATCACCATTCACCACAATGGTGTCTATAGAATGAACAACTGTAGGCTTCTATTTAGTTTCAGTCTTGTCTTTATTGAGTGCCATTTTTTCTGATCTTTTATTAAATTGAACCTTGTGGATTACTTAAGTTTTAGGGTCAGTCATGGATTAATTGCATGAGTTTAAAAGTCATATGTACCCCGGCTTGCAGTGTTATTAATTCCATCGAAACAAAAGAGAAGGGAAAAGAAAAAGGGGAAAAAAGGACAGAGAAATGATGGTTCATATCCACATTCCTGTTTTTCCCCAATATCAATATGGCCTTTATAATTAAATCTTGACTAAATTCCAGCATTTTCTTTATTATTTTGCAAAGTTTATTACGGCAAATTGAAGTAAGTTCATTGAGTTATCAGTCTTATCAGCTGAATTATTATTCTGCTTTAGCTAATTAGAAAGATCTGTTTCTGCCCTTGCATGTGATCGTCTAGATGTTTGACTTTGCCTCAACTGATTTGGTCAAGACTATTTGGTCAAATTAACTGCTCTAATTGAATTTTCGATCTTCAATTCAATATGAATATTTGATTATTCCCCTTGATTATTATTATGTACATTAAATTTTAATGTACTGAATAGGAAAATCATGTTGCAGTTATTTGCCGAAAGCAGTCTACTTGCAGCATCTAATGGGTGTAGAAGGTGTGATTGTTGATTTGGTTCAGGAAATCATGGGCTGTTACCAATATGATTAAGCCATCAGAGGTGGACGAAGGGGAGATAATTAGAGGGGTTGGAGCAGATTCAAGTTGAACCCAACCCCCACTACTCACAAAGGAAGCTGTCATTTCTGTGGAAATTGATACCAGAATTAATACCTCCTCTATAAGAAAACCTCTTATAGTCGGAGTCCTGAGTTGTTGGATGGGAACCTCGATCAAGTAATGTTCTGGGAAAAGAATGGAAACCTCTTATATCAATTACTGTTATTTGTATTTGACGTATTTTAAATTTGAATCGAAACTTTTGGTGGTTATGAGATTTAATTGGGTGGCTTTGCAAATTCGTGACGGAATGTGGGGGATTTTTGTGTAGTGGTAAAAACAAAGCAGACATTAATGACTCAAAAGTTTTGAACAAGAGAGTAAAGAAGTGCCAATGCTTAATAATTCTGCAAGGAATTCACCTGTAAAAGTCAACACACCGGCGGTTTTAAGTGCAGCTGAAAACCGGTGGAAAAAACTGCCATAAAAAATTAAAATACCGGCACTTAAAATTTACTGGCGATTTTATAAAACTGCCGGTGATTCCCTAGCACCGGAGGCTTCCCTGGTTTAGAATACTGCCGGAAATGTTTTCACAGGTGGTTTTTTTTGTGTCTCTTCCGGCGTTTAAAGTGCCAGTGATATCCACAACTCTTGTAGTGTAAATTGTAAATGCATGGGTTTTTGAAGAGCAGTGGTGGAATGAAATGGAAATTGTGAAGATGGCTACAAATCAGTGGGTTGAATTTGGTGGATATTATGGTTGCTTCTGTAGCGAATACCATTCCCAATCCTGATAGTTATTCAGTGCAGCAGCATATCTAATATTTGGATTGTGCCTAGCTCCAGTGGGATGGGTAAAGGTTAATAGAGACCCTGCATTTTATTGTCAATCCAAAGAGGCTGGGAGCATGGTTATGACTTACGAGAGATCACTTGGGATTGTTATTGGAGCAGCTCTATTTTATTTCAGTTAGGTGGTGGATCCAATTATATGTTATATTCCAGTCAAATTTAGAGGTGGTGGTTAAAGCTACTGATAAATCTTTGCTCTCTCCTCTTTTGCTTTCAACTGTTCCGGAAGATAACGAGGTATTGGCTTATGCTCAAGCTCAACTGTAGCTTCTCTATGGTTTTTGGTGATCGGGATAGTAACCAGGTGGCGGATTTGTTGGGTGCTTGAACTATTAAGAAGAAAGTGAATTATTTCCTTTCATTCTAATTGTGTTATATATGATTCACTTCAAATGAATTTGCAAACTATTTCCCCACCTTATTCTGATATATATTTCAGGTATGCAGAAGATACACCCAACCAAACAACATGGGTGTCTGCTTAAGTTGATGCAAACTCAACCTAAACTAGTGTAGCTAAATTATAGAACTGAAATTCATGGAAAACATCGTAACTTGTTTATACACACACAAAACACATTACAAAAGAGCTGTAAGTGAGCTAGCTACATCCTCTAAATTTCCTAGCCAAATCCATCATAACACACTTACATGCCATTGAAAAACACATTCATTCTGTCAGCATTCATTGCCCTTTCAGCTCTCCAAGGCTCATCAAAACAGAGAGGGCTGCAAGTCCGGGGAAACGCCACAAGAGACCAAGAAGATGCAGAGGTCGAGTTGAAGTTTTCCGGGTGTTAAAGATCAGTAAGCAAGTCTTTCAAAATTTCATCTTCATAACTAAGGGTAGGGTCAATAAGAGCTTGCTGAGAAGAGATATTATGGGCCAACTCGTTGCACTTGGCTCTAAGCGAAGCACATTTTGCCTCCTCTACAGCCAAATCGCGACGGAGGTCCATAATATACTTATCAATCTGTTGCAACTCGGACAAAATCTGTGCAGATTCTTGGTGAAGTCCACGGACCGTAATTCTAGCATTAGCATCTGCGTACATCTGCTCGAGCCATGATAGATCCAACCCCGCCAAGGATTTCCAATCCATCATTAGACCTTTAGCCACATTAATATCATCAGTAGTAATTTGGCTAATTCTTTTTTCTGTCAAAGATTTGATGAGACACGCGAGGGCGTCCAAGAACATCCCTTGGAAATATGCACTTTCCACTCTAAAACCGTCAAAAGTCTTGGGGTGTTTGTGAAATATGCAATCAAGGTATGGAATGCTTCCAAAGCTACATTTATAACCGCGCCAGTGCACTAACTCGTCAGGGCCAATGTTCTCCTCTCGAGGTGGAGAAAGGGGCCACGCAAGACTGGTCTTGGGTACTGAAGCACCTGCAGATGAAACTAAAGCTTCTCCCAAACAAAAGTATGTCCTAGTGATCAGGTCAATTATTAAATCATGAATTGCAAAATTAAAACTGTTTTTCACAAGACTGAAGGCTGAACTCGAAGTAAACTGAGGTCTATAAATTCGTTTCTTTTATAGAAGTTGAAGTAAAGATGAGTTCATCACATTGTTATCTATCAGAAAAGAGAAAAAGTAGAATTTGTTCCATTGTATATGAGAAAACATCACCATAAAATAGAGGAGCGAGCTATCAATTTTTTTTTTCTTAGTTGGAGTGAGATATCATTCTTACTTTCTTTTTAATTTTTTTAAGAAAATATATAAGAGATAAATATGGAGCAAAAAAAGAAGTAAAATCCATAGAACTTTGGTGTAGTTCAGTATGATCAAGCATACCTGCAGAGTACTTTTCGTCCCCAACAAATGGCACATCAAACAACTTGTCAGAAGAATAATTCTCTGGTAGCCTTGACATGCTGGAAATTTCATTCTCCTTCTGTTTTATAAGGGAAGCATCTTCATATGCACAAAATAAAGTTCCATTCTCACATGAAACTCCAGTACTATCCGACCTCTTATTAACTACCAATTGAACACTTCTCTTTGATTCATGGGATTCTGATCGAGAAACCTTGTCGTCAGATACTAGCGGGAGAGGAGTCCCATTTCGACTGTCAAGTCGCTCACTGATAACTGGAACAGACACCAAAGTTGTACTCTCTAGCACTTCTGATAGGGGACGGTGACGATTTTTCCTTTTCAAGAACTCAAGAATGTTGGCAACTTGAGATCTCTCATACTCTGAATCATTTGGAATTTTTTGTCGCTTTCTCTGCACAGATTGTTCCTTAGAAGCACATATCTGATTTGGCTCTCCAAATGAGACACCAGAATTAGATAATTCCTGTGCTGAATTTGACATATCCCCAGAACTACTTGATTCCTCAACCATACGTTCAGTTTCTTTGCCAGGATGAGGCAAGGTCAGTGATTCTGTAACGCCATTTTGTTCACCACCTGATCTATCCAGTCTTGAGCAAAAGATGGGGTGATCTTTGGGTTGAAGAACATTTTCAAGCTCAAGAGCATGAAGAATTGCATCTTCCCTGTTATTATATTTCCCTGCTTTCTTAGAAGTTTTAGCTGCAGAAGCCTTTGCATTTTCAATGCACTCATTATACTCCCCACATCGAAATGCCTTCACCCGTTTAGATTTCTCAAGATTATACCAGTCTCTGAATCAAATATAAACAAGAATTTGTCAATAAATTCAAACATATTGTATATATAAAAGAACTAAAACCCTTGAACTTTAAAAAGAGAATTTCATGCTTGTGTTTAAAATAAAAAATAAAGAAAAAAGTAGTTACAAAGCAGCCAAAAAGTCAAAAAGAATGAATGGTGCAAACACCAAAAATGTAAGATAAATAAACCCATATTTATTATTGGCTCTTACAATAAACTAAAAAGATTTAAAGGGGCAATTATGGTTATAGAGCTGAAAGAGTGTTGGAATACGCAATGAGCCCTCCGACTTCATGATATGCCCCATAATGCAAGTGTTTTCAAATGCATGGTTAAAACACAAGGACAGCAAATATTCAATTACATTCAACTAAATCACATAAACTAAATAAGTATGCAGAACCAAACTGTCTGCCAAGATTAGGCTGATACTTATGGCACCTCGGACAAACTCCAATCCAGGCCAAATGTATTCACTCGGAATTCACCATTAAAGCATGTCATGTGCATGAAATGAAATGATAATAAATGATTGAACCCTTTTTCTTTTTCTTTTTTTCCTAGTTGGTACTCACACAGCCCCCTCCAAGGAACTGTTTGCGCCCAAGAGGAGTCGAGTAAATTGATTATCAAGTTTGGTAAAAGTTGATCATTTTGTTCTTTCATAATTAGTATTATGTGCAATCATTGTACCTATTGCAGTCATGCTTTTCTTCCTTCTTAATAATGAAATTTCCAGAACTACATCACAGATGAGGACCTATCAGGATGCCACTTAAATATAAGGGACACACTCATTATTAAAATAGCATTTATTATAAATATTCCCTTGGAGACTTCTTGTCTCAGTCAATAGAGTGAAATAGTCATTTAAAAGATGGTCTTTCCTCAACTTGTATCCTATTTCTAGTCGTTCCTCAACTTGGACCCTATTCCTATCTGCCAATAGAACAATAAGGATCTCTTAATGAGAAATACATGGATGGGTCCATTTAGAGAAACAGCGACTTCATATTTCTTTTTAGCTAGTTTTTTTATGTTTCTATATCAGAATTCGTAATTATAAATATTATTTTTTAGATGAATTTCTATATCAGAATGCTTGTTTATATTTTAGATGAATTTCTATATCAGAATGCCATGTAAAAAGGGAGTGGAACTTCTCAACTCAAAGGTACATTCAAATATGCACTTACTAGCTTTCCTGATAAGATACATGCAATTACATTATTGCTATGTTTGGTAAAAGGGAAGGACGGGGGTGGATAGTGAAGAAGGGGAAGACGGAGCATGCTTCTATTAGGTGAACAAGTAAATCAATGCATAAATCATTTTGATATGCAAATGCATTAACTAAATCAAATACGATTAAAATTTGCAACAATAATAAAAAGCAAAAATTGTGTGAAATTTAAACATATGTTATACTATCATAAAAATTTAGAATCAAGCACTAGAAGCAACTGACATCAAACATAAGTAGTCAACTATAAGCTTCATGAGTCTCATCAAATATACTACTCCCGACGTCCCATTTTAAGTGTCCCTTTTTGGGAACCTAACTTTTTAAGATGTGATTTTAATATATTTTTTATTGTATTGGTAGTGAATGAATTACCAAATCTACCCATGGTGAGCCCACAATGGCATGATGATGTCTTGTATTTAATTGTTTTTATAAGTTCAAATCAAGAAGGGTAAATTGGGAATATTGTACAATATAGTACATTGACTTTTGAGTTGGGACAATTGTTTTGGGACAGCTAAACATGGAAAGGTGGACACTTATTTTGGGACGGAGGGAGTATAAGATTATGTAATGTGATCCATTGATATGAACATAATGTGGTTTAGGGTATGTAAACTAGAAAAATGAAAAAGATATGAATCAAAGTTAAAAAATAAGAGTAGCAATTTTTTTTGAGCCCAAACTTGCTAAAAGAGCACGAGCTTGAGGGGTTTTTGTGAGCCTGACTAAAGGGGTCTGGCTTGTAGTAGATTAAGGCATCCCAACTTAGCTTGAAGAGTCTGGGGTTTTTCTTAAGCTTAGGTGCGCCTTTATAACAACTATTTGGAGAGGGAGAAGGTAAAGAAGGGAGTATAGATGAGGCCTCCCTCCCGGCCCTCCAATTTACTTCCTTTTGAAACTAGACAAAAGAGTGGAAGGAAAGAAGTACAGTTGTCGACTTGTTTGATAAAAATTAAAGTACGCTATAATCTCATTTATTAACTAGGGGCATGTGTATTAACTCATATAAAGGGGTATAGTTGTAAAATAATATTCAAACCTCCTCTTCCATTATGTCCTACCACACAATGAAAGGTGTCACTTATTCCTTCCATTCCACTCGGAAGGACACATTCCCTCCCCTGTAGATGCCTCATCCAATCCTTGTTTCCTTTAATCTACTTTTTATATCCCTCCAATGTAATGTACCATAAACTAATAGTCGTGGACTCAAAAAAAATTAAGTAACACGTGTGTGGAAGATAATCAAGTATAAATATTAAAACCAAACAAAAATAATTAATAAGGATGCAAGAAAATTAATAAACGACTTTTGAGGAGGTATCCAGGATGTTATTTCAATATTTTAGTTAATCTTATAAGGACATCAACTCAAAAAGGTCTTGTCCAAACCATGTCAATAGTAAGACATAGAGAGAGAGAGAAAGATTGGGAAAATAGAATTTGGCAACTAGCTGACGAAAGTTTTTATTATACAACAGTGAAGGCATCACAACATTATATTTACACAAAAACAAGTTGTACAGTTTGTTTCATGTTGAAGACTAAGAATGCTGAACAAAATGAAGGTCATCTGTAGTCATCCAAGCACTAATATGCGAGGAGGCTACCAAAATTTGTAACAGTTTCAACTGTAGTAAACCACATTGTATTTCATCAAGAATGCATTATCCATCATCATGCATACAAAAAGCAAAACAAACATGCACAATGGAGAAGCAAAGACAATGCCCCAAAAACAAATGGAAAATCTTTGTGCTCTTTTGTGTGGTGTGTTTACTTTCCTGCTTGATTCTTGATATGTTCTTGGTTCGTGGTGCTAGTCTTAACAAATACCATAATAATAAATGGAAAATAAATATATTACTGCTCATTGTTAAAAGAAAAAGGTACAATAAGGAAGTTTTCTTGCAAGTCCAAAATTTTAGAGACAGCAGCTTTCCTATATCAAAATCTAAATAAGCAAGAAATGTCAAGGCTTGTTGATGATCTGATCCTGATCCTTAATTGGAACTTGTTTTATGTAACAGACGTTACAAACCTAACGCAAGTTGTGGTGTCCTCAACTCAAGTAAAGCTGGGTTCTTCCATTGCCAATGTCGATGTCTAGAAAGAATGTTTAAATAAATTTCATATGAAAAAAGTTACTTGACATGCAACCTTTTTTTTGATAAATTACTTGGCAAACAACTTCATGGTTGATTTATAAATCAAAGCTAAAATTAATAAATATGACTTTAAGTTATGGACTCTATATTTGTTTATTTAAGATTTTTGGGATGACCCATTGCACTAAATGAAAGTAGTTTTGCTCGGGATGTTAAAAACAGCCTTGCAACTAAAAAAATATATATCACATGCATATCATAACTCAGTCAATAACTCTATTTAATTTGCAATCAAGTTTCTTTGGAAGACCAGCAATATCACAGAGCAAACTAAATATGGAGCTTGAAAAAAAAAAAAAAATTTATTATACAAAACTGAAGACAACATTATATTTACACCAAAACAAGTGTACAGTGTGTTTCATGATGAAGCCTAAGAATGCAGAACAAAATGAAGGTCATTTGTAGTCATCCAACCACTAATATGCAATATGAGACTACCAAAATTTGTAACAGTTTCAACTAGATTATCCATGTCCTCATATAAACCAAAATCAATTTATTTGTTGCCTCGTCTAGTGTATAAATAACTTCATTCATCTCAAAGCAACACTTCCAATAAAAACCCATAACAATACATCTCAATAAATCCTCCGAAAAAACAAAAAAGCTTCTGAGAATTAACATAAGTTTCTCCAGCCTATACTACCAACTACCAAATAGAAGATAGAAGCTAAACCTTAACAAGTAATTAAGAGTCACAATAAGGAGCTTACATGCTTGCATCCTCTCTTCCCAGAAGCTTCACCGGATTACCTGATCTCGGTGACACCAAACAACTCTTAGACAATTCATCCGCACCCATAATACGCCCCGGCCACCACGACCCATTCCGACGCCGAACCCATACCAACCCGCCTGCAACCGGGTCAATGCCGTTTGTGTACGCCTCACTAGAACTTCCCATCGCTCACCGCACAACACAACAGACAATGACCGATCTCAGAAATCAATCTCAAAACCCTTTTAATCTAAGCACATTGAAGTCCCAAATATTATGGCCATTCTGCATGAACAAATGCTCATGCTATCAGAAAAGCCTAATTCCGCATGCAACAAAACCCAAAAAAATAAAAACACCATATAAGGAAAAATTAACGAACATACCTAGCAAATCTTCTATAGAGAGTGTTAGTAGATAGAAAAACCCAGATTACAGGGTCTATGGGGAGAGAGCGATCTGGTAGAGAGAAACAACAGAAAAGTGATTGAATCGACCCTCAAGGTTACAAACTTAAACAACCACCACCTCAACCATGATAAGAGCAGGAGTCATTTAAATCATGAAAGTAATTAACATTTATGAGTCCTCAAATTTGACCAAAACGACCCTTAAAAAAAAAAAAAAAAAAAAAAAAAAACTCCACCACGACCCTCCCATTTTTTTTCGCAAAACCTTGTTATAGCATTAAATTAAAATTTTTATGGTAATGTTTTACATAAAAATTAAAGTTGGCCCTTTAAATATTTTGTGACACTCTGTTAATGGTACTAAATAATAGATACTAATAGTTATTTTCTATATAAAATTTAAATTTGATCCCTCTAATTTTATAAATAATAAAAATCTATTTATGATTCCCGGATATTAAATATAAAGATATGATTTTATATTATTTAAAAATTTTAATTTTACATTACTAGTTTGGCCCCACCAATTGAAAATTCCTGGCTCTGCCCTGTCGGTATACATAGAGTTTTTTGTTTTTTTTTTTTTTTTAGGCCTAAGGGTCATTTTGATCCGATAAAAGGACTTATAGAGATTAATATTGTACTTTAATAATTTAAATATGTCAATTCAGAAATTAAAGGGCAATTAAATACTCTTATGGGGTATTGTTGTTCAAGTTTGTAAATTTAATGGGACAATTGAATCACACTCTCTCTAAATTGTATCTATCTGTCTTTAATATAAAAACCGATGGAGTGTGAGTGCAAATTACCCACCATTTTTTTGGTAAATTACACTAACACCCCTTAGGTTTTGATTAAAGATTTGAGTACTTTTTTTGACAACGACACTCCCTAGGTTTAGTATACTGAATGAAGACACCCCAACTACGATAAAAATATTTATACGCCATTTGACTTTTGAATTGACCCTTGTGAATTATTAAATTACTTTTATAACCTCCTATTAATTGACCAAAATGGCCCTCACGAATGAAAAAAAACAAATATAATTTTATCGTGACATGTTTTCATTTTCTTTTTTCTTTGGTTTTGTGGAAGAAAAATGTCATGTTGTGTGAGTAATGTTTCAGCAAACACTAAAAAATAAAAATATTAGCTTGTATGTGATTACTTGAAAGTGATATTTAATATTTGAATATTAAAAATGATCTTCTATTTAATATATTACTACGGAATAATAAAAAATAATATTTTTTACTGTTTGAGATGAAAAGTCAGAGTTTTGTATTAGAATTTTATTTAAGTATTAGATAGTAACTAATCTATCTATTTTAGCGAGGACATTAAAAATGCACCAAAAGAAATTCTTACAATGGTTTTATATTATTTTAAAATTTTAATTTTACATTACTAGTTTGGCTCCCTAATTAAAAATTCATGGCTTTGCCCCTTGCGTTGCCGAGTTTTTTTTTTTTTTTTGCTACGGGTAATTTTGGTCAATAAAATAACTTAAAAAGGTAAAATTATACTTCAATAATTTAAACGTGTCTATTAAGAAGTCAAAGAATAATTACATACTCTTATCATGATTTGGGATGTTATTATTGAAGTTTGTAAGTTTAGGGACAATTAAATCAATCTACCTATCTTTATTACAAATCTAGAAAGATGTGAGTGCAAATAAACGAATAATTTAGCATGCCTTCTGCTTAGAGAAGAATAAAACGTTGCACTGGCATCTTTTTGCCCAGACATACAGATTTTGTGTTTTCCCTGTGAAAAAATAAATAAATTACATTTAAAAATATATAATAAAAAACAATTACAGATTTTGTGAATTATATTAATTTGTGTAAAATATAATGACCTCCCTGTGGCCTAATTGTAAATACAGAAAAATTGTCAATTTTTTTTTGTCACAGTCCGTCTAACTAGAATTATTAATTTAAATAAAATATAATTGACCCATTTCTTGAGGTTTGACTTAATTCGACCCTATCATTTCTTGAGATTTTTCTTAATATAATCCTTTTGTAATAAGGGTCATCCCATCCAACTTTCAGACATTAAAATAAATTTCAAGCCTGATAATTATCATAAGAGTTTTTCGAAACTGTAAGAATAAATCTGTATAATTATGACAAATCACAGGTTTGTGTAATTTCTCAGGTGTTTTGATCAACCACGACATGTATACTTGCGCAACTTGCCCCTGCTGTTAGTTGGCCTGTCTTGGGCCTCTGCTATTGGGCTTTGTACCATGTAATTTTATCATTTCAATACAATTGTTTACCTTCCAAAAAAAAAATATTTCCCCTCTGTCGCTATATCAACAATCCCACGTGCATGTACATGGTCCCACGTTTTTACGAGATAAGTCGCACAAGTGAAAGTGTTTGTAATCAACGGTTGTGATCACCCTATTGGATTTAATGATCACACTCATAACTTTTGTTCCGTATGAGTAAAAACTTATACAGAAAAGGTGGTACATTGGAATGAATTTTCTATACATCTCAGAAGTGGACGAGAAAGAGAGAATAGGTCGAAACCAAGTAATGTTTTTTCTTACCATTTTATTCTATTGATTGCATCATGGGTTGAGTAGTAAGTTTTAACACTGATATGTGATGTCAATGCAATATTTTGATTGTTTATCTTTTCCCTGATGATATTATGATTGAAGGGTCGGTGTCAGTGAAGGGGCCTTGTGGGTTTCCATTTATTGTATTGATTGCTTGATGGTTGAGTTTATTGTAATAGATCCAATTTTGGTGTTTCTTTTAACATTGACATGTTATATTAATGCAATATTTTGATTGTTTATGTTTTTTATGATGATATTATAATTGAAGGGTCGGTGAAGGACCTTCTTTTTTTTTCCTCAGGGTTTTCCATGTAGATCTCTCTGTGTGCATCTTTTTATTGCTGTATTTGTTTATGCGCTTGGATGATATATTGAGTGATTTTTATATTTTTGTTATTTAAAATTCGATATTCCAAACTACAAGCTGTTCGAGGCAAAATATATTCCTATTCTTTCTTTCCCGGAGGCAATAATGCCCATTGGTATTGGTATTGGTATTTTAGAATTTGATCTTCCATATATAAAAAATAAAAAATAAAAAATAAAAAAACTACAACACCTATTTCAACCCCCTTCCCCTCCCCTCCCCCCTTGTGCAAGTGTAGATCACAGTCCTTGGGTGACTCTCTATTAGAGCCTCGGATTCCGTTCCTTTAGGTGGGAAACAAAGTAATTAGAAATTGCTGGAATGGTGTGCATTTAAGTAGCCAAACCTGATGCCAATTGCACTATCCAAGCATGGCTATGGTCTGTTGCTGCTTTATAAGTAGAATACTTCTGCTCAGGAAATTCAAAAGTAACAATTCAGAAAATCCAGCAAAACTCTTCTAAAATGCAAGGTAAACAAAATAGTTTAAAGTCAAGAAGTTTCATAAAGAAACAAGTCAAGTGGTAGAGGATGTCTCACCAAATTCTGGTGGGTTTTTCAACTACATTTTGTTCAGTCTTTCAGTAACTTAAGAGTAAATTTGTCATGAGTAATTCAATATATAACTGTAATTCACCAATTAAGGTCCTAGAGGATTCGTGTTAAAGAGTTGAGAATGTTTTTTAGTTTAATTTGGCAAAATAGAGAATAGTAAATATTGAATATGTGAGATGTGAAAGAATCCTTACACACACTCAGCGCGCCTGTCTTCCATGTTGGATACAAATTTGGACATTTAAAAGACGAAGACAAGATGTGAATATGGGTTTATTATGGACCCAATTAATTTTATTTGCCTATTTTAAGTTATTCCTTTTCTGTCATTGTCCCCTCAAAACAAAGATAAATATATAAACATTAAGAGGACATCTATAGCTGTATAGACATGTCCTTGCTACATTTAGGGAGTTGCTGTACCTAAAGGTTTTGGTTGGAAGAATGACTGTCTTGTGCATATGCATAGGTCAATGTTGCTTTTTTCCTTTTATCTAATGAGTTTTTTGGACGAGAAATTTGTCAACAAAGAATCATTTTCAAGTTCTGACTCTACTTAGCACCTGAACATTTTAAACAAGTTAGAGAAAGTTTTACAGGGAAAGCTAACTTGTACCTAGATACCTTTATCATGTTCTACCAACGTCTACCCCTTGATTATTCATAATATGGAATTAGTATATGGTTTCTTGTGTAGGTGGTTGATGAGTTGGTACCTGCACTTGTGCACCTTGCTGAAATCTATAGTCAGGGGGATCACAAAAAACTTCGCTATTCCATTGTTAATGTTCTTCAGGAATGTACCCAATCACAAGGGACAGGACCGAACTCTCTCAGACCACATTAAAGAACAGATGAAGGAGATATTAAGTTCTAGACAGACACTAAAATGGGAAGGAAAAAAATGCCGAAAGAAGATCTCCATATCAAACAGCCATCAGCATTAGTGGTAAAGCTTGAAGGAAATTATGTGCTCTCATCAAGAAATAAATCAGCAGTGGCATTGTGTCCAATGCGATCAAAGCAAGAGAGAGTTGTGCTGTACAGTCATTGAGTGCAGTGTAATCTTTTGTTGCAACACCACTTGGAAGCCACAAATGGGGTCACACGCTCTCTACATAACCCAGTTAACCTTCATGCCAAAAGCCTTTGGAGAAGAACCTAACCAAAAAAAATAATAATGTCTTTGGAGAAGAGCTCAGGCTTATGACATGCTTGGGTTAGCTTAAGAGAGTTTTTATAGACTATTTTATTCATAAATGAGTGCTCTCAGTCACCTGATCCTGATCTCCTGTCGAGGCAAAGTAAGGTTCCTGACTGTGCTGAGTGTTTAGTCGAGAAGCAGATGTGCGCAGCTTGGTTTTTTTGGAGAGGCAGCTATCGAATACGGGGGGCATCCACTGCAAGGGTGATGCTGGCGACTCCTATGGCCAAGAGACTGATGATTCTGAATAGAAGACAGCAAGTGAAGGTGACATAGGAAATGATAGGAGGGATGAAATGGGTGAAGATGATTGTGAATGGAAGAATTAGGATGAAAGGAAGACAAATACAATAACCTTCAATAAAAGATACTACGATTCTTAGCGGTAACACACATCTAACGGAGATTTCAATGCAGACATAGATCTGCATAGAGTAGTCAACCTAAGAGATTTTGTGGGTTGACAATAAACCTCATATAATGATGTTTGTGTGTGTGTGTGTTTTTTTTTTTTTCTTCCGTAAATTCATATAATGATGGTTATCATTTGATGGATCACATTGTTTTGCCTATTCAAACTGAATTTCAGTAGCATACACCTCAAATTGTTGGTTGCATAATTGCCGTCCAGGGATTATGTTTAGTCTTCTGCACATGTTTCAACTGGTTATTCCTCTTACA